ACCGCAGTTTCCGTGCGCAGGAGCATCTACGGCACGCGCGGTGAAAGCGCCGGATTGAGCTCCGCCGCAGATTAGAATCTCCGCCGTGGCGAAATCCCCTTGGATCGCTAGCATCGCCGATGATCCACCCGAGGGGTAATTCCTCGGACCGCCGTCTAACGGAGGATACTCTTTCACAACGGCGTTTATCCGGTGATCGTATTTGACGGCGCGACTGTTGGCGAAGACGAAGAGATTTCCGCCGTCGTCGGGGAGGAGATGGACGTAAGGGTAGAGATTGTCCATCTGTTTGTCCTCCACGTCAGCAAGGAACTGAAACGGAACGGCGCCGTTTTCGCGAGGAGGGTAATACTCAACCGTATTGGTTCCTCTCCCACCGACGATGATAACCGAACCATCCGGCAGTATCTGGTTAGTAGCGTACCAGCGTCCGGTTCTTAACTCCGTATCCTGAAGCTCCACCCAATCGCACCACTCGTTCGGGTCACACGGTTCGAATTTCCGGATCTTTTTAAAACCGTCTCTATCCCCACCGGTTTGAAGCAAAGAACCGTCCGATAAGAACTGACCCGACGAGCACCACGTGTCGGTTTGGATCATCAACGGTCGGATCTGATTTGTACCGAGGTCGAATAGAACCGAGTGAGCGTAGCAATCACGTTTCAGAGCGACGTCGTTTGGATCTTTCCGGCACCGGTGCCGACCAAGAGCTTTCCTTGAGGGTCCGATATTCGTACGATCAAGAAGAACCACCGTGTTGAACCGGGTCACCGCAGTATGCATAGAGGCTATACCGGCGTCTTGTACAATGAGTTCCCACGTGCCTGGTAACTCGGCACGTGTGAACGAGAAGAGAAGAACTGGTATAAGTATAACTATCAGGCACACTGCCATTTTTGTCGGCTAAGCTTGGAAGCTTTCTGCTTCACTGACACTTTTTTTTAAAGAGGATTAAGTGGGGAAAAGGTGTACATTGTAAGTTGATCACAGCCGTTGATTCGGTGGAGATGATTTTTGATTCAACGATCAGATAACTATAATTCCCTGCGTGTATCCCACGGGCACATTACTTGATTCAACTATAGATAAAAGAAGAGATTAGAGCAACAACATAATTCAATTGTTAGTAATCAGCATAAACTAAAGTCTTACAGTTTTCGGATGATCGATCGAAAACAACATTTTAAATGGATTAATCTAGCGTACGTATAAGAATTAATTTGTTTTCGTATACGTAGAAGTTTGGAAAAAGATAATAGTAAAACGTATTGAACAATTGATTAACTAGCAAGTTTTCTCCCCATTACTGCTCAAAAAGGCATAATCATGATAATCAACAAAAGAAAACGTTTCTATTTCTACCTTTTCAGCAGGTAAAATAATTTATTTTCACCTAATAAATATCTCGGAATATACATCTCTACTCTGAATAGCTCACTATTGGTACTGAGCAAGGCTTCGAACTTAAATCTAATAGAGGGGGAAATTAAAAGATCTAAATAGATTAATTTCAAATGTTAAATTTGAAGATCAAATGCTGAATTGAAACAGTGTTCATGTTTTTATCCCACTCCGAAAACATAAGGGAAAATATATATTTGTTTATAGTTTGGTCCAAATGACAAATTGGAAAAGTAATTTGTTCCTTTCAACTCAAAACTTGTTTTTAAAATATAAAGAGATCCAGTTTTATACTTTCTCTCTATAAAATGATGGGATCTCTAAAATGATTAGTCCTATTGGTTAACGTGTTCTTTTTCCTTATCTTTTCTCCATGCTTCTCCTTTTTCTAATGTTCATATCTTTCGTCATCTTCTACATGGACACCAAAAATAAATGATACTTCTTCTACATGATTAGTTGATAAACCAATTTATTAATTCGCTATTTTAGATTAGTTGTTAAGCTTTTTGGGCTGTGCTGTCTGCAGCTAGTGATTTCAAAAAGTATAATCCATTTATTATTCCCTTAGCTCTTATAATATACTACTATCAAAATGTGATAAGCCAATTATTGTTACTCTCTTTATCTTTCCATACAAAAATTCGCATTTGAGTACAAGTAGTAACATACATAAACCATAACTATAAGAACGATAAACTAAAAATTCAGAATAGATGTTACTCAATCTAATTTTTCACGTTGATGAAATATTTCTATACCTTTTTAATCCATGCCAATCCTAATTTTAAAGAAAATATGTAATTGAGGTTTTAACACTCATATGTATTGACACAAACGCGCACGATCTAGCGACAAAGAATCTTAGAAACTACAAATTGTTACTACAAATGAACATGGACCAAAGACTTCAACTAGTTTTTCAGCAATTTTGTTTTTCCGAGATGTGAATGCGAAATTACTGATGCATAAATTCTGTAAACCATATAGAACCTCTCTAAATATTAGCTGAACCTGTTGATCAAATCAACTAATTGTTCCATCAAAGTCGGTAATTTAGTGTACGACGCTGTTTTTAATTTATCTAATAATTAATCGGCTCTTGTCACTTGTGTGTGCCGTCATTTTTTTTTTTTCTTACCAATAAACCCTTTTCTCCTTTCTCAGTACAGGTTTAAGGGTTTCTCTAGGGTTTTCCTTCTCCACTTCGATTTCTGCAAATTGTCAATCGGAAAATTCGAAATTCCATTTCGCTTTTAATTGATGCGATCTCGGCTTCAAATTCCGCCGACCCACCCACAAAGTAATCTCGGAAATGACTATGGAAGCTCGAGTCGGTGTGGTGGTGGAAGGAGGACAGAGGGCTCTTAACACGGCCACCGCATCCGCCGTGCATAACAGCGTCGTAGACGCCGGAAACAGGAAACTGCTGCAGCAACAACCGCAGACGCAGCCTCAAATCTGCCATCAACACCACCAAAGCAACAAACAGTCTCTGAATCAGAAGCAAGGGGGCTCCATTGCGAATTTCGTCGCCGGCGGAATTTCCGGCGCATTCAGTAAGACGTGCACCGCTCCTCTCGCTCGCCTCACCATCTTGTTCCAGGTATCAACGAAAAAGACAACATTTTTGGTGTGAAATATAGCTGAAAACTTTGGAATGGAATGGTTTGGCAAGTTTTGTAGCTGAATGTGAAGACTTTATTATATGATACCCAAAAACATGAACAGTGCGTGAGCGGTGAGGAATCGAATGACAAATTGTTATTTTTTTTCACTCAGATACAAGGTATGCACTCGGAAGCTGCAATTCTGAGCAGTCCAAGCATTTGGCGTGAAGCTTCCCGTATTGTCAACGAGGAAGGATTTAGAGCTTTTTGGAAAGGGAACCTTGTTACTGTAGCTCACAGGCTTCCCTACTCTGCAGTAAACTTCTACGCATATGAAGAATACAATACTGTGAGTTGCATTCAAGTCTCTTTTCAAGAGTGTGTGGTCTGTAGTAGTTCGTGCTGATCCGTCGCTCAGCCTCAACCTTGTTTTCTTTGGTTTGTTTGTTTGTTTTGCAGCTTTTGTACTCAAATCCAGTCGTGCAGAGGTATAAAGGAAATACATGTATGGACGTTCTAGTGCGCTTTGTAAGTGGTGGCTTGGCTGGAATGACAGCTGCTTCAGCTACTTACCCTCTCGATCTCGTAAGGACACGGCTTTCTGCACAGGTATGTTGTGTTATATTATCCTACTTTATTACATAACCAGTGTTCCTTGTCTTCCATTGCCCTGAATGACGTTATATTTGATCTCTTCCAGAGAAGCTCAATCTATTATCAGGGTGTTGAGCATGCTTTCCGTACCATCTGCAGAGAAGAGGGATTTTGGGGTCTGTATAAAGGACTTGGTGCTACATTGTTGGTACGCTTTATCTGCTTCCTCTTAACGATTCGGATTTGTGTTTGATTGTTAACTATACGTATATTTATTTAAGGACATGATATGATTTTTGATGTATTTGTGTGTTTTGTACATCTTTTATATTGCAGGGTGTCGGTCCAAGCCTTGCAATCAGCTTCTCAGTGTATGACTCTCTGAAACTATCATGGCTATCTCATAGGTAAAGGGCCCCTCTTTGTACTTTCAGTATTGCCTAGTGAGTTTGTTCGTCCAATAAGAACTCATCCTATCGTAATACTTTCTTCTTCAAACCTTTTTTTTTTCAGGCCTAGTGATTCAGAAGTTATGGTTAGTCTAAGTTGTGGAAGTCTCTCCGGGATTGCTTCCTCGACAGGTATGTTAGGAGCAAGATATGGTTCATGTTTTTTTTTTTTTTGGTATATGCAATTACATGATACTTTGCTATAGTATATACGAATATAACTTTTTGTAGTGACATTCCCGTTGGACTTGGTGAGAAGAAGAATGCAGTTGGAAGGAGCTGGTGGGCGAGCAAGAGTGTATAAGACAGGACTCTTTGGAACATTCAAACATATATTTAAGTCAGAAGGCATGAGAGGGCTATACAGAGGAATCTTACCAGAATACTACAAAGTGGCTCCTGGTGTTGGCATTGCCTTCATGGCATACGAGGGATTGAAGAAACTCTGGTCTCGTGTCAACAATTAATAGTCTTATATACTTTAGTGTAAGCTGCTTCATAGGGTTTGGAGAAGAAGAACAAGAAACAAATAATCTTTTGGTAGTAGTTTTGTTTCTATATATCTTCCAGTGTATAGTATTGGCAGTCGTAGGTGTTAACGATTTACAATTTGTTTATCCTCTTACATTTAGTGATAACAGTTTTGCCTTGACAGAAATATTAGTTGCTTCAAAGATTTTTTCCCTTCTTACTCCTTGACACGAGCATAGACAAATCCTCTCATATTTGTATATATATAGAACCAATAGCTTAACCTTATAATAAAAACAATTGATGAGTGTTGTCACACAACAAAGAGAATGCTACAAGTCCCTTTGGATTTAACACCCGAAAGAATTAAGAAATAGTCTTTTCTGTTTGGCTGTACAAACAAATGGGTTACTTTTACAGACACTACACAAAACAAACAAGGAACATTTAGGACTTTTGTTTGTGCCTCCTCCTCTCATGGTTTCTGAAGACCTGGAGTTCTTTTATGTGACTGTAGATGTTTTAATCTGCTTATGAGGGAGTCAATATATACTCTGATTCGATACTTTACTGAGTTTGTGAGCGTCAAAGGCGGATTTAGAATCAGCGTTTGCGCCTCCACTACAAGGAAGACTAGCAAGCGCACCGCTTTTGAGTAGAGGTTTCCTGCGTTCTCTGCCTCTCCCATCACCACCTCATCCACCTGCAAGTATTCGAATTCACAAGTCTCAGTTTCAAAATCCCGAAATGAGCGTTGATCATCATGGCAACAGAAACTTACCCCTCCACGTATGCCGAGAGTAAGAGCTGCTTGGAATATTATCTCCATTGCATCCGGCATCTTTGTATTGCCTACAGTCATGTTCTTTGTTAGTTTAAACAATTCTGATTAACCGAAGAAAGAAACAAGAGATTTGTCTCAGCAGTTTTTGTTACTCCGAGAAAATGCATACCAGGTTCAACAAACTTGGCAAGTTCTTCAGCACGCTCGACCTCTTGCACAAACTCTCTCTGAATCTGAGACAATATCTTCTCTGAACCTTCATGGATGATATTCCTTCTTACTCTGTTAGTGTCTTGGCGCAAGCTTCCTTCTAGGCCCGAGACCGCCTGAGTATGACTGATGTGCAGTGCTTGATTCCAGATTGCAAGAATCACAAGTTGGATCGAGAAAGCCTCTAACTGTTTACCTGATTCAGTCTATGAAAGAGAAGCAAGGCTCAGAAACTCACGTTGGCAAGGATTTGTGCGCAACTTTTTTATAACTACTTGAAGTTTTGCTTACTCTTTCACGAACCAATTCTGCAATCGTTGCTGCACACTTTTGCAAAGACCGGATTCTTGTCGTGCTGTTAGTTGACGGCTGTTCAAAAGCATCCACAAGGTCCAGAGACCCATGGGAAGTACCGGGGAGAGAATTCTGACTCTCCAAGCTTTCAAACCGACCAATGTTGCTGCCAGTGGAACCAGCTATTGGCATAGGAGGCGTTGAAGTAGTTACGTTTCTCTTAGTGAACTCTACAGGAGGAGAATGCGATTTGAATGGGTAATTGAAAGGCTTCGGAGAACCAGATGCAGATGATGGTATATCCACTGGTGGTCCAGATATCAGAACATAATCTTGATCCATTGAATCTGGCGAATCCCCTACTGTGGAACCGATGAATGTTAGAAACCAAGCGAGACAACTATTCCAAAAAACAAGCAAATGATAGAAATTCAACTACCTCTTCCTTGAGTACTAAGTGATCTGGAATCAGGCAAGCTTGAGGGTCTGTATTGGTTTCTATCTGATAATCTATGGCTTTCGAACTTGAATTTATTAGTTTCTGCTCTATTACTAACTCTACTATATCTGGAAGTAAGTTCCATGTTTTTCAGAGGACTAGATGCAGCCTCCCTTCTCTCACCTCTGCTCTCAATACTAAATCCATAAGAAGACTTCATCGGGGAGGTATGTTTAACATATGAAGGGCTTCCCTCAGGTCCACTAGAATCATCATCTAAAAAGAACGGCAAACCGTCCTCTTGAGAGATTTCTTCCATGTTTCTTGAGGGACTACTTCCGGATGAATTAAAATCATCCATCGTTCTTGAACCTAATCTACTCCTGCAACATAAAATCATAATCAGTACAACAATTTTAACCAGAAAATGATAGAAGAAAATAGTTTATCCCCGCATCAACCTTGGCAAATCATATGATTGTCTGTCTGAAAGAAAAGGGTGATGAAAGAACTCTTCAAATGTCAAGCGTTCCACTGTGAAGCAGAGGAATTCCAAAAAAAAACAAATGTTAAAACATATACAGATAAGGACCATCAAAACTCTTCCAAGTGTAACTAACACGGAGACTTAAGAGATGAAGGGAAAAATCAATTGTAAGCCTCCATTTCAGTTCAATAACCAGAGTTTCTAACAAACCCCCAGCTTGTATGCATGGAATGAAGAAGCACTGATACTTTCAGATTTAGTTATAACTTCAACAGAGAAAAAAAAAGCTGTGAACAAGACAAACGTTGGAAATAGTCTGACTCTTTAGAATTTGATGGGCCTGCGTATGCTAATAGAATCGGGGGTTTATCCACAAAGAAGTTTACCTGGATTACGGCGCAGCAATTTTTGACATAGATCTTTACAGTCAGTACACAAGTCTCTACAGTCTACTGGAAAATGCAATTTAGTTGATCTCATAATGTTCTGGAACAACTGTGGAAGCCGGAGGGAGATCATGTTAGCCAATGATGCATTCACCGAACACAGACATTTGAACATTTTAGAAATTGATGACATGTGTTGGTATACAAAACCTGAATTTGGCTGTTTCCTGTAAAAGGGGTTCTGCCTGTCACAAGTTGAAATAATATAGCACCAACACTCCAGAGATCTGCCTGTGTATCAAGCGAGGTGTTAAGCACTAAGCAGGATATAGTATAAGACTGGTCTAGGTGGTCTCTAGAGAAACAAAAGTCGCACCTTTGCATCATACTTTTGAAGCTGCATAATCTCTGGGGCCATATACAGTGGAGAACCACATAAAGTTTCTGCCAAACCCCTAGGCTGCAAAGATCTGAGCTAAGAAAGTGTGATGTTTAAGTGTAAATTACGAATTCTAAGTGATGTAATAAGTATCAACCCACAGTCAAAACAAATGCAATTACCTAAGCCTAGATAGTATATATACATGAAAAGCAAAACGAAACTATATAGGCTCAACTCTGATCACAACATTACACTCAATTATTTGTGTAACAAAGGAGCTGATGAGAATACCTTGCAAATCCAAAATCCGCAATCTTCAGAGCTGCATCATTATCATCTGTGGATAGAAGAAGATTCTGTTTCAAGAATGAAAGAACCTTAGCATTCGTATTTCAACTTCTAAAAAAAAAAAAAAAGACTCTCTCTGCTTAGGGCAAGAAATTCTCGGAAAGCATATCCTGTGAGAAAGAAGGAGCTCTCACGTTGCCATGAACTAATTGACAACAATGACAAGAGAAGATCATTCTCTGGGTATGAGAGTTAGACATACCTGAGGCTTCAAATCTCGGTGAATGATATTATTGTCACGAAGAACTTGTAAACCAGCCGCTAATACATTAAGAAAAATCATTAAATGTGAGAACTTGGTTCTACCGATCAAAGCCAAACACACAAGCAAAGAAGAATCGTTTGCAGAAATCACCTAACTGCTGCATGAAATGCTTAGCAGTCGCATCAGCGATTCTTCCATGTCTCTGAATAAACATAGACAGATCACCCCCTTTGCAGTACTCCAACACCAAATTTATTTTCCCGGGAGCCTATATCAAATTCCAGAAAACAAAAAATAGACCCATAAGCACTCTTCTAAGCATTTACCATTTCCAACACAAATTATCATCAGTCTGCATCGTCTATGGAGTTCAAAAGAATGCTAAGCATCTGAATTTCTACAAGGAACATGCTATGTTCCATGCATATGACCCATTTTTCTCGTTGTAATTTCCAACAAAGCTAACACATTTTAGAATCCCACCAAATCGAAGAACAATTAAGAAAACCGAAGAAGCTCAAATATTTTTGGATCTTTCATCTAGCAATGGCAGCTTATACGACTGTTCTGATTCTATCTTACTATGAGAACCAAAGGGAACTCGGGAGAATCAGAAAGCGAGTGCTAAATCCCAAAATCCAACCCCAAAGACTCATCGAATTCGAATTGTTCTAAGCTAGGAGACTAAGAGCAGACAAAAAAAGAGGAAAAACGAAAAGGAAACCTCGATCATGTCGATAAAGCGGATGATGTTGGGATGATTGATCTTCTTCAAAATGAAAATCTCCGACATGAGACTCTCCTGCAACTTTTTGTTAAGCCGAGCCATGGCGATCTCTTTGATTGCAACCACGGTGCCATGGACAAGATGCCTCCCTTCCCAAACCACCGAGAACGAACCCGACCCGATTTGTCGACCCACCGCGTAATCGCCGATAACCCGCCCGCCTCTCCCCGCCGCCGCCTGAGACATTTTCCTCCGAGGAAACGGCGCCGAAAAAAAAAAACTAGAGGATACAACGGAGAGCGAAAAAAGCAACTACGGAGATCCGAAATTGAGCTGGTTAAGAAGTTGCAGAAACTGAATCTTCTTTGGAATTCAAAAACCCGCTTTGTGAATTGTGTTTGGGATTCAATTGGGCGTATTCAGGTAAATATGATGAGAGAAGGAGAGAAGGTTTAATTTGAATTGAATGGAAAGTTTTTATTAATAGAAAGTATATATCAATAACAAGGGGAATCAACTTGTAATGACGCTTCTGGTTGTACGATAAAGATACCAAGATTATTTGTACTTTATAGACTTTATAGTATATGATTTTGTGTTTCTATAATTACAGATTAGTGGTGGTGTCAGATTCCGAATGTTGATTGTTTACAGAGATGGAATCTGTCTGTTAGTATGCGGAATGTTCCACGGTAAACCTTTTTTCTAAAAAATTACCTCATCATCACAAAACTTAGGTTAACACGTTATAAATGCCATCATTAATAACAAGTAACAACAACAACAAAACAAAAAAAAACAAAATATCTCCGTTACATGCTTCATTTTTCGTTGGTAGAAAATAAATCAAGACATTATATATATATATATTCATGTGATTGTAAAACCAAGGCATTGTCACCTTCTAGACTGTTGTTATTCTTGATTATTGTGTATTCGATTTAAATTATCGATGTCCGTTACAAATCAAACTGAGACTTCTTAACACAGACTCTTATATAATATACGAAAGTGTCACTTATATATAAAAAAGAATTGTCGATAGAAAGATGAAGTGTAAACGTTTTATTAAAATGAAATGTGAAGATGAGATTACGTGTATACATTGAAATATGAATATATAATAAAATAAGGAATTTTATTTAGGGACCTAAATAACCATAGCATGCCGTAGCAAAACCCCACTAGCTTTTTCTCCTTGATTGCGACGAGCCCGCTATTGCTAAAAAAATTCCCAGCCGTTGATTTCTTTCACAAATATTCTTACGTTCTAGTTTTAAATTGAGAAATAAATTATTCAATAATCGCGTGGACATTGCATTTAGCAAACTTTACAGTTTACACGTAAATGTACCACCTCTCTAAGGAGTGGTTTATTTGTTGAATATGGAACATGTTGTGTGTTATATATATAAGTCGTAAAGGCAAAGAAAGAGAAGGAATATGCTGAAATTTCTGTTTGATGGGATATTGAGAATTGACCATTTCCAAGGATTATGATGTGATGTTGTAATGATTGTTGAATTATTATGGTTATCTTTCCATAGTGTTATGGGAACATGTTGTCTAGTAGGCTTGTTAATTAGACTTTACCATAGTAAATGTTCTTCACTTAAACGATATAACAACTACTTGAATAGAAATATCTATATGCAAGCATGGATGTATCAATACATGTTTAATAATAAATAAAAAAATGGTTGTGGACCTTGTGGTTTGTCAAACATCATCAAACTATTGGATCTCACAATCAGGCATAAACAACTATCACATATCATGAGAAAAGAAAGGAGTCGAAATGATACTTGTTGACATTAGTAAAAAAAAACAAAAATTATGGCAAAATCATGTAGGGAACCATGTATTAACTTCTGCATACATGTAAGTCACTCTCAATTTTGGTTAATCAGCTTCATTTTGATTAAGAAAATTCAGCACAAAAAATAATAATGGTTATAAACTTATAAATTCCTAACAAGTTACAAATATCCAATACAAATATCTGTCGGTTAAATTCTAGTTTATAAACTTTGGTGGTTCGGTTCGTTTCATTTTGACACACACGCTCAAATTAGTTCGTTTCTTAGAAATTGGTTGAAACCATGAAGAATATGTTGTTACTTATAATAGTCTTTTTACATTCCCTGAGATATAAGAAAACCCTAAGAGAGTTACAATGCTTTGGTGAAGACAAACGCCTTGATTTGATCACAGCTCTTGGTTACACGTTCAACGCCTCAATTCTTTTATTCACGTAAGTATATATCTACAAAATCCAAACCCATTGATGATTTTCTTCAAAAGAGATACGTATATGAATATGGTGCTTTATTGGATTAACAATGCAACGAACTAAGCAAATAATTAGAAAACAAGATTTTAATAAAATAATTTAAAAGGTCTCAAGAAAATGGCGAACCCCTGGCTCGCTGCTGCCCTTCGTTCTGGCTTGAACCCTCCTTTAGCTCCGGCTGAATATAGCTCCTCCCCAGCCCTCCTCCGCCCTCCCGACCCACCTGACTCCTCTCACTCCCTTAGCTCCACTAATTTCCCACCCCTCGCCTTTTCTCCCTCACCCTCCTCTTCTTCCCCCTTTCAGAACTCATCTCCTACTGCTTTTGTTGAGCCGGAGAATGTAGTTCTTGCTTTACCTGTTCACCACATTTCTCGACCGGTTGTTGTCAAACACCCCACTCAGTCACCTGTGACCTCGCTCCAAGAGGTGGCGGCCATAAACCCTAACTCTGAATCTCACTCTGTTATTCTAACTTTACCCCCACCTTCCTCTTTTCCCGATTCCAGTAACACCGGGATCCTCCCCACTCCAAGCCTTCCTGTCTCATCTCAAACTGAAATTAATGCCTCTACCCCTTGTAGTGGTGACGCCCCTGGTTTCAAGCCTGCCTCTACAAAAACAATTGGTCCCTCGGCTAATACTCACACTCCTCCTCCGATACCTCAGAAATTGAAGACATGGGCAGAGAGGATTAAGCGTGATACAGACAGATCCCTCGAGAGACTTGCCCCAATATCCTACTCCCCTGAAGGAAAACCCAGAATTGCAATTCCTGACTCTGTTTTCCAGGAAGAAGCAGATCTCCACAAAGACTTTATTATCTGCCGATTCAAGGGTAGACCTCCTTCCTACACTCACATACACAATGTTCTGAGCCACTTGTGGGGAAAAGGTCAGCGCTTAGAAATTCATCTCAACATTGTCAACCACTCCATGCTTGTCAGAATCCCGAATGAATTCATCCGCACTAAAGTTCTTCTCAAAAAGCTCTGGTACATTGGCGAATGTATATTCACGGTGGCTCAATGGGATTCTACCGGTGGTTCTTCCCAGGATCTCGATGCTATCCCTATCTGGGCTCACCTCCAAGGCATGCCATTCAACCTAATGCACCGAAAAGGAATTAGTCTTGTTGCAGGATTAATAGGAGAACCAATTGAAAGGGATGAATACACTATGAACCTTGTTAGCCTAACCGAAGCACATGTCAAAGTAGAAGTAAACCTCAACAAACCACTTCCTTCTTTAGTGGAAGTCTCCAGAGATGACGGCTCTATCATAGAGATTAATGTGGTCTATCCTTGGACTCCTCCCACTTGCTCTAACTGCAAATTGCTGGGACATGTCATCAGATACTGCCCGTTGCTCCCCCCAACTACAAATGCAGGGAAAAAAATCAGGTGTGGAAGATAACCCGGGTAAAGGCACAAAAAAGGGAAAGCCTCTACCTCAACTGATGTGCGCAATCCGGCCCCTGCTCCCCCGGGCCACCATGCTACTCCGACCTGCGATCATCCTGGCATCGTCGTTTCCTCTGGCCCAGACAACTCAGTTTCCACTCCCTCTACTAAAACCCTCTCTTCGACCCCTCCCCCATCTTCTTTCTTCACCCCCTTATGCCCTGAAGTCCCTTCTTCTAAAACCGGTTCCCTACAATCAAACCCTCTCTTCGAGCCTGCCCTAAACACTACTGCACCCCCACAAACACCCATCTCCAACTCCTTTGCGGTCCTTGGTGACCCTGACCCTGCTGTAAATACTTCCGCTTCCTTAAATACTTCCTCACCACGCTCAAATGACATGGTGATTGATTCGCCCCCCCTCCCAAAATCTTCTCTTCCGTCAGTACCATCTCCTGCAAAGGAGATAAACTCAAACCTTTTTTAATGGATATTAAATACTTTTTTTGGAATGTCCGTGGACTAAATCTTCCGGACAAACATCGGCTTTTCTCTTCTTGGCTCACTTTTAATAAACCACTTTTTGGTGCTATCTTGGAAACACATGTAAAAGAACCTAACCTGAACCACATAATGACTCGTTCCTGTCCAGGCTGGAACTTTCTTTCAAACCATCAATCCGATGAGGATGGTCGGATAATCATCATTTGGAAACACCCTGCAGCGGTCTTTATCATCTGCCAATCCAAATAATTCATCACCTGTCATATAACCATTCCCGGTGGACACTCATTCTACCATACAGCAGTCTATGCATCGAATTTACGTACTGAAAGGACTGACCTATGGTGTGAACTCATCCAAATGCAACACTCCTTCTCCCTTGACGAGTGTCCTTGGGTCGTTAGTGGGGACTTTAATCAAATCATGCACCCCTCGGAGCACTCGGATCCTATGATCAATCACTTCACATCAGATATGTTAGAAATGAGGGAAAGTATGAGACAGCTCGAGCTTTTTGATCTTCGTTACCAATGCTCTCCTTTTACCTGGTCAAACAGACAACCTGCAGACCCGTGCGCTAAGAAACTTGATAGACTCCTGGTCAATAACCACTGGCTCGCGCGCTACCCTCAAAGTGCCGCTATCTTCTCTGCCCCCGACTTTTCTGATCACACCCCTTGCCATCTCAACCTAGCCACCCCTCTCCCCCTCGCAGGAACAAAGCTTTTCAAATTCTTTAACAGTCTCACCACCCTCCCATCTTTTCTCCCCTTGATTGAAGCTTCTTGGACTCGAGCCGGAACGTTACTGCATCAGGGAGTGGGTTTGTCAGCCTTGTGTGCAAAACAAAAGATCCTAAAAAGAGAGCTCTTAAAACTAAGTAAACAGACTTTTTCTGATATCCAAAAACGAGTGAGTGAGACTAATGAGTTATTTAAATCTGTGCAGGTGCAAGCTCTAACTACCCCCTCCCCCCATACCTTCCAACAAGAGCGCGATCTACTCACCAAACTAGAACAACTAAGATGCATTGAGGAGGCGTACTACAAGCAAAAATCCCGTATCAACTGGCTAAAAGAAGGAGACCAGAATTCCACTTACTTCTTCAGGATTGTCCAGCTGCGAAACAGCTTCAACGCCATTCGCTCCTTCACATCCCAGTTTGGTCTCCATACTTCTGACTCTCTAGAAATGGCAACACTTGCGATCTCTCACTTCCAAGCCACCCTTGCTCCGGATGTCTTAGTTTAAATCTCTTGTCCGCCCTCCCTCATTCAATCTTTCATCTCCTACCGCTGCAGTGAAAGCTTGAAACAGCAAATGGTTAGAATTCCTTCGCCAGAGGAAATAACTAATGTTCTCTTCAAACTCAACCCTAACAAAGCCCCTGGACCAGATGGTCTTACCTCTGCTTTCTACAAGGCCGCCTGGTTGATAATTGGGCATGACGTCGTGGATAGCATCTCACGGTTCTTCAGCACAACGTTCTTGCCTATTGCCACCAATGCTACGATCATGTCCCTCATCCCGAAGCATTCAGGTGCTTCTCTGGTGTCTGACTATCGCCCCATCTCCTGCTGTAACACTCTCTACAAGGTCATCTTTAAGCTCCTTGTCGCCAGATTGAAGCCGGCTCTCCCAGATGTAATTGTCCGCAACCAAACTGCTTTTGTCAAAGGAAGGCTATTAGTGGAAAACACTCTCCTTGCTGGAGAACTGGTTCAAGGCTATCACAAATCCAAGGGTCCAAAAAGAATTACCATCAAAGTGGATATTGCAAAAGCTTTTGACACTGTCAGATGGGAGTTCATTATCAGCTGCCTTAGAGCCATTGAGGTCCCCAAGCTCTTCATTCGCTGGCTTCGGGCATGTATCTGCACTCCTTCCTTCTCGATTGGGTATAACGGCAACGTGCATGACTTCTTTAAAGGGAAACGGGGCTTGCGACAAGGTGATCCTCTCTCGCCTTATCTCTTTGTTTTTATAATGAATTGCCTATCCCAAATGCTAGATAAAGCAGCGTTAGAGGGTCGGTTCCACTATCACCACAAATGTCAAGACACTAAGACCACTCACCTCTGCTTTGCGGACGATCTTCTCATCTTCACGGATGGGTCCCTTGCATCAGTGCAACAAGTCCTATTGGTACTCAAGGAGTTTGAAACCTTGTCGGGTCTTGCGATCAGCTTGCCTAAAACAAGTTTCTTCTCTTTTGGACTCCAACAACCTGAAATATACCACATCAAGCAGACAACAGGCATTAGCTACGATGTGCTCCCAGTCCGTTACCTAGGGCTTCCGTTAACCACTAAGAAACTCACCCTCTCAGACTGCGCCCCTCTACTACAGCAAGTGAAGTCACGCCTCAACTCCTGGACAACAAAAGCCTTGTCTTTTGCAGGCAGACTACAACTTCTCAACTCTGTTATCTCCGGCATCACCAACTTCTGGTGCTCGTCATTCGTACTTCCTAAACGCTGCATCAAGATCATTAACTCCCTTTCCAGTGCTTTCCTATGGAAGGGTACAACAGAGGGACATCATTCAGCTAAGATCGCATGGTCAACTGTTATCAAACATAAAGATGAGGGTGGTCTAGGAGTTAAAGATTTACTTACTTGGAACAAGGCATGTCTCCTTAAGCTGATTTGGATGATCTTCTTTAGAGCCGGTTCAATCTGGGTCGCCTGGATCAGAAGAGAGGTATTATCAGACAATCTTGGCAATTTCTGGACACAAAAACCGAACCAAAAATTCTCTTGGTTGGTCAACAAACTGCTAAAATCCAAAGCTGAGACTTACCCTTGGATCAAAGTAAAACTTGGCAATGGAGCGAACACTCGGTTTTGGATAGATAACTGGTGCGCTATGGGTAGTATGTCAACCTTCTTGGCCAGTGAAAGCTCACGGCAGGTGGGGATTCCCAGAGATGCAACCCTGGCATCACTCTGGAGAAGCGGCGCGTGGCATCTCCCTCCGGCGAGATCTGAGCGTCAAGTCTCTTACCAGCTCCAGCTCTCCCTGCTGAATCTTTCGCCTGACACAGAAGACACATATCAGTGGTGGATTGATGATCATGCAAAAAATAATTATAACACTGGCAGTATCTACTCGGCTATCATCGAGCAATACCCCTCTGTACCTTGGAGCAGGATCATCTGGTTCTCACAACGGATTCCTAAGCACAGCTTCCTCGCTTGGCTCGTCGTACTTAATCGATGCCCCACTAGAGATCGAATGAGGGAATGTGGCCTTCAAGTTGATCCGCTTAGTGTACTCTGTAATTCGGCAGCAGAATCCCGCGACCACCTCTTCTTTGACTGCCCGTATAGCTGCCCCCCCCCCCCCCCCCCCCCCCCCCCCCCCTGCTGCTTGGTCTGACTCACTCGCGGACTTGTGCGCCTTTCAAGGACCGAAGATTAAACGACAACTCCTTCTTATTGCTTGGCAGGCGACGATCTACTTCCTTTGGTCTGAATGGAATCACAGGATTCATCGCTCCTCTTTCAAACCCGTGCATGTCTTGATCAGGCAAATTCATCAACTGATCCGTAATAGGGCGTCGAGCCTTCGCCCATCTAATCCTCCTCTCGCCTCTGCGCTCCTTCAGATGTGGTTCGCAGGTGCTTCAATTACCTAATTCACTTTCACTGTCGCTCACCTACCACTTTGCAATTCAGTTAAGATCGCAATCAACCATCCCAACCAACTCTCCGGTTCGTTTCTAACTATGTGGTTCAGCTATGATTCTATCTCAACTGTATTCTCTAACTTGTAATATTAGGCTTTCAATACTGGGCCTCTAACAAAGCCCTGTAAACTCTTGTTTCTCATGCATTAATTTGAAAATCCTTTACAAAAAAAAAACTAAGCAAATAATTATATATGTCGTTTTACTTTGGCGCTTTTGAAAAACAATCAAATGTGATATACTGTTTATATCTTCCAACGTGATTTTTTTCGCTTTTTGCATGTAGACCATGACCCATTCTATTATTTTCATTAAGAGAACGAATATATAAAATATATGACTATATATTAGATTCCTAATGAAAAGAAGTACGAAACTTTTATTTTTATAGATCCTTTTAGAAATATATCGTATGGAAACAAGAAGAGTGAAAATCTAGTGGAATGGTAAATAATTTTGAAAACTGAAATAAGGGCTAACACTACAAAAAAAAATATTACATCACTTATAAAATATTAATAAAATAACTGATTCTATTTATAATCACTTATTAAAAAATAACATTAAATATAAAATTTTACATCAGCTTTTTAATCGATACTAATATTAACTTGACTAGTATTAATTAAAAATAATTGATACTAATACTAACTTGATTGACATCAATTAAAAAAACTGATATAAATCATAATTAATTTATATCACTTACAAAAATTAACACAAATATATAAGTTTACATCAATTATTTAAGTGAAACATTTGACCAAGTGACATTAGCATCAATAATAAATAATGCTAATATTTCTTTCAGTTATAAAAATGATGCAAATATAGCCTTGCTTTTTATATTTAACTAAACAATTACTTGTCTCACATTGCTAAGAATGATGAAAAGTACTAGTTTCCTCCTATATAAAAGAAAATCATCAACAATAAACTTTTTTCATGTTAAATCATATGTATGTCTTTACATATATTTTTAGAATAATAAATATAAATGATTAGTTATTTTAAATTTATAATAATATAAAAATTAACACAAAATTTTAAATCAATGTAAATTTTAATATCTCTAAATTTTAATATATAATATCATTTATTTTAAGTGATATAAATATTAATATTATTTATTTTAACTAAGTTAAATAATAATATTATTTATTGCAAATGATATATATTAATATCAATTAATGTAAGTAATAAAAATAGTTGCATCATTAATAATATTGACATAAATGATTAGCATCATCATTTCCAAAGTCATTTAATTAAATGATGCAACTTAATTTACATCAATCAAAAAATAATATTAATAAATAAAATAAATAATATAACATACATGATTTCTTCTAGTATAAAACTTAACTAATGAAACAATTCACGCAAAAAAGGAAGAATCTGAAACTACTATCATATTTTCGCATAGATTATTGTTTTATAATCTTGCTTCTTTTATTTATTTTTTTTATTGAATATACCCATATGTAAAACACAACCAAAACTGGATAAGTTTTTTTAAATAGCCATTCAAAGTTTTAACGTCGGTCCAATGTTTTGGGATATTGCAAATTTAGAAATTGTGTTTTTTTTATAAGATCTTAAATCAATATAAATGTGATCTACTGTTTATATCTTCCAACGTGATTTTTGATGTTTATTTCAAATGTTATAAAGAAATTAAGCTAACAAATTACATTTTTATATATATTTTTGCACAAGCTTTGTATGTTCATTCTATATTAATATGTTTTGATTTGTAGGTAATAAAACTTCAACTTCAACTTTGTTGGTATATGGTCGTTCCAAGTTTCTAACTCGTCAAAGTATTCTTGATGAGATCGGCGGGGACAACCCACATTTGGCAATGGATATCCATAAATTTGATTTGGCTTATTTCAATGAAGAAGAAGATGCAAAAAATACATTTCAAACTCTTCAATAGGATTTAGAGAAATGGTAAAATAATTTTTTTAAAGTTATTTTTGATATCAATTATCTTTTTATTGATAATATAATTCTTTTTAAAGTTATTTTATTACACTTTTGATTTCACAGTTTTGACGTTAAGTATGCCATTGGTGATACACAAAATATTCTCACTCAAACTCTTGGTGTGAGGTAATTCACCAATTTTTTTTCATACCAAACCAAAATTTCACAATGTCTTTCATAATTACTTTGTCTTTTTTTTTTTTTAGAGGACTACACACTTCTGAATTCACCCTTGCGAAGATGATTTGGGATCTTGAAAACGTACAAATCCCAAAAGGTGCAACAACGGATCGCTTGTTTGAGAGAATCGCTGCAAAACTCTTGGAGGTATGGGTATGTTTTAACTGAATTCCATGCATATAACTGAATAACAAGTGTCGTCAGGAAATATAAGAGGAAAGAGAAGTACAATTGTACCATATCGAAGGATCTAAATGTAAGTTTTCTTAATTGTTTTTATTTTTGTATTCTTGTAGTTATTATTTTAATTTTCATAATATTATTTTTTCTTTTTCCTTCTTTTTTCTCTATTAGTTAGAGACTAAGCCGACTTTGTAATCAAAATATAGTTTTGCCCCACTTCTCTAATGGGTCACGTCTATGTCCCCTGTTTCTCACCGCAAACAAGATTTCATTCACTTTCTTAAATCAACGAGTTTCCGGAAATTTGATATTTATCTAGTTCACAATGACGACGCTCCAGCTTCGCTGAAATCTGCAGCAAAAGATTTTTGGCACTTTTATGAGATTTTTGGGATAAACAAGAAGTCACTTCTTACAGACAATAAAAAAAGCCGGGCAAAAGATATAGAGCCGCAAAAAAGAAGGGATTGGCAATAACTTTTTTTTTTTTTTGTCAACAGTTTCATTCTCTTAGAACTGTTCATATAACCAAATCGGTGGAGAAGAGTTTACATAATTTGAAAAAACATAAATTATAAACTGAATCAACAAAATGATTCGATCTGGCGAAAAAGCAAAAAAGTCGTTAAACACACATAAAAATCCCACATGCCCACAGATCATTTGAACAACACATTCCATCAAAACTTAAATATAAAAGAATCACAGGTCATTTATACTCTCAACCATGTTGGTCTTTGATTCCTCTTCCCTCTCTCTATATAAACCCTTCCACATCTTTCTCTCTATGCATATCTACGGATGCTCCTTTTTTTAAAAATTAACATGAAATTTCAAAGGCTTTTGGGTTTGTATATGTAGTGATGTGATGGTCGAGGGAACACAAAAAATGGAGAAATACTTGAAGTTGGCGCAATCATTTGCATTTGTTTGGGGATTCATCTTGCTGGTGGCTCTTGTGTGTTGCTGCATTAGCACCAAACCTGATCGGGAAAACGTTGACGATGCTAGCTGTGGCGGCTGCGACGGAGGACATACTGCCTTTTAGTCTAGGTCTTAATCATCCTCTGTTTCATTTACTTTTGTTCTTTAATCCTCTAGTTCTAGGTGGTGTTTTGGTAGATTTCTACACACACATCGTCATGGATTATCTATCAGTTAATGGTCTGTTAGTCTAGTGGTTAAAAAAATTTGTTTGAGAAAATTGTAGGGATTACGGTTAGAGATTTTTATCGGTTATAATAATAAAATAAAAATTGTTTTTGATATCCATGATAAAATTACACAATTCACATATATTTACACACACAAAAAAAAGAAGGAAAAATAAAAAGTGTGGCAACGAAACACAGAGAGGGAAATAGTCAAAATCACAAGGGAGAAGTCGTATAGACCATACAATTACACACAAACTATATCTCCATCATCTCTCTCTTTTCCCCGTCAATGGCGTCCTTCAATTCGTTCCCAATTCCCAAACAGGTATGCATACATACATGTTTTGTGTTGTTTATGTATCTGTATAGTACGCGCGTCCACTCTCGAGCTGATATTTACTTTTTCCTTTTCAATTTCGGATTACAGATTGTGGGTTCTTCTTCGTCGTCGTCTTCTTCTTCTGCTTCTCGGCCACGTATCTTGGTGCGATCGAGTACGGCGTCGTCCATGGCCTCCACCAATAGTATGCTGGTAAACATCCTTCTCCTCCTCTTTCCTTGAATTCAATTTTCTCTTCATTTCAAAGCTGAAACTGAAAATATGACTGCGATGTTTCCTTTTGGCTCAGGTCTTCGTACCTCCGCATCCTTTGATCAAACATTGGCTCTCTCTTCTGAGATGTGAGCAAACTCATTTCCCCATTTTCGGTGAGTACTCTCGCTCGAGATTATGATCAATTTTGCATCTCTCTCTCTCTCTCATAGTTTAATGTGCGAATTATTCATCTCCGGGAAGATATGTATCTCTGCTCTCTATCATAGTTTGATGTGCGAATTATTCATCTCTCCGCTTTTCAATTTCCGATTTGTGTGCTAAATATTGTGTCACTGATTTAAATATGGAGATGGCTTTTAAGTGGCTGAGAATGAAATTGATCTTTACTTCTTGTTTAACTTCGGTTTATCAGTTTAAGAGACTCTAATTGAGCAACATGATGAACCATTGTTACAGCAACTTTGCGCATGGATCGATGATCTTCCTAAATATGACCTCTTGTTTACTTTGATGCTTCAGTTAGAATTCCGGTGAACTCTTTGGTGGCAACGAGGTCGTCTTTCTTATCCTCAATCAAGGAGGGAAACAGATTTTACCATAAAGATCCTATTAAAGCATGTGGCTGTACATCTGCGAGTCCTTACACTGCAGAAAATGTGTATGTAGAGCTCAAAAATCCAAAGGTGTGTATGGAACTTCACTGCAGATGGAACACTATGTTCACTCTTTTTGTTGTGATTCGTTTTTCAGAATTCTTTGCCTTGTGTTCATTTTACAGGAAAGTATTGGCGTGGGTTTCGTTGGGGAACAAATGTCTTCTGTTGAAAAAGCCCATTTATCACGTAGCATGTTGCAATACAATTTGCTAGGGAAGAACCTTTTGGCACTAGAGGAAACTTTTGTGGCATTGGACTCGTTAGGAATGGAAAGAGATATTATGTTGCAAATGGGGAAGTTGGGGGCTACTGAGTTATTCAAGACCTGTCTCTCTAGGTCCCGTGGTTCTTCAGTCACTTCATGCTTATCTGACTCAGGAACCGAGTTGGTGATTACTACAGCAGAACAAGAACCTTTTGTGCCTTCGAGAAGAAAACTGAAAAAGAAAGCAAGAAGGTCGAGTTTGATTACCGGAAATGGTGGTCAGGGTTCTTTGTCAGCCGTTTCAAGAATCACATGGAGCGATATTGATGTCCCTAGAGTGAGAAAGTCATCGAAATACAGAAAGAAAAGAGAGAGGGTATCTAGAAACGAGGCTGAGATGTCAGCAGGAGTCAAGGTTCAGTGTGAAATCTTCCTGTTAACTGTTTTTAATCCTTTTTTTTTAAGTTAGCAAGAAATTCTTATGACACTCTCATGTGGCTTTTGAAGATAGTGGCGGACATGGAGAGAATCAGAAGGAAATTGGAAGAGGAAAGTGGTAAGGTAGCGAGTATGAGTTGTTGGGCTGAAGCTGCAGGGATGAACGAGAAACTTCTGATGCGCAATCTACATTACGGTTGGTTCTGTAGAGATGAACTGTTGAAAAGCACCAGGTCTTTGGTTCTCTTCCTCGCAAGAAATTACCGTGGACTAGGGATCGCCCACGAAGATCTAATCCAGGTTCCTATACTATACTCTCCTTAGATTTGTATTAAGAGTCTTGCAAAAGTCCAACTAGTTTTTTTTTGTAATGGTCTTGCTTGTGGGTTTCGTAGGCAGGGAATGTGGGAGTGTTACAAGGAGCAGAGAGGTTTGATCACACAAGGGGTTACAAGTTTTCGACATATGTACAATATTGGATAAGGAAATCGATGTCCATGATGGTGTCACGGCATGCAAGAGGCGTCCATATTCCTGTTTGTGCAATTTTTGATTTTTTTTTCAGTCGTTTCTTTGTTTTAATGGTTTGTTTCACTTTCTTATTTGTTTATCCGTCTCTGTTTCTTTTGGCAGTCGTCAATAATCCGAACTATGACTCAGATTCAAAAGGCTCGCAAGACCTTGAAAACGAGCCACGGGATAAAATATCCGGCCGATGAAGAGATTTCGAAACTAACAGGCTACTCGTTGAAGAAGATTCGAGCAGCGAACCAATGCCTAAAAGTGGTTGGTTCAATCGACAAGAAAGTCGGGGATTGCTTTACTACAAAATTCCTGGTACTGTGTTGTCATTTCTGTTACCAGTCCGGTTTATTAGAAATCTTGGTTCGATAGGTTTTTCGAGACTTGAATGTTTTTTTGTTTTTCCGGTGCATGCAGGAATTTACACCGGACACGACGATGGAGAGTCCTGAGGAGGCAGTGATGAGACGGAGCGCAAGGAGAGACGTACATGATCTTCTAGAAGGACTAGAGCCAAGAGAGAAGCAAGTGATGGTTCTACGTTATGGACTTGAAGACTACACGCCCAAATCTCTCGAAGAGATTGGGAAGCTTCTTAGAGTTAGCAAAGAATGGATTCGTAAGATCGAACGGAGAGCAATGGCTAAACTCAGGGACCAACCCAAGGCCGAGGATCTCAGATTTTATTTGAATCCATGAAAACATAGATTTTTTGTAACCAATTACGTTTTATGTCTTGTTGATTTGTAATAACATTGGAGATCATAGTTATGTATATTATAGAGAAAAAATAGATTATCATCACATAATGTAAACACATTCTGGTCCTATTGTTTATTTCAGTGGTCCCGAAAACCCTAATGGGCTTCCGAATAAACAAATATAGAGCCCAATCAGAAATTTGAAGGCCAAAATCTGTTCGGTACAGATGTGACGACCGGTTTATCTTTTGCTCTATCGTCTTTGTGAAAAATCCGTAGACCAGATTTCGAACATCGTCGAGAGAAATGGCGTGCTCAGTTAGTAGTAACGCCTTCCGGTGTTACTCTGAAACGCTGCGTTTTGCTCCCCGACAACAATGCGTCCGCCTAAACCCTAGTCCTTCCTCTCTCCTCTCCTTTAATTCCTCCCCCTTTCCCGGTCAGGTAACCACTATATATATGTCGCACCACACTTTTCGAGTGAACCCTTTTTGATTTCGGATTCTGTAGATTTTGGGTGCTTCTCAGTCGCCTGTTTCCCGGCGGAATATCTTGGTCAGAGCGAAAATGGCGGCGTCGGAAGGCTCGATTAACGGTAGCAATAGGATGCTGGTAAAATTAATTCGGATTTTAATCATATCAATTTTTGGAGTTTTTCTGTTTGTTTGAGAGTGAGAGTGATGAATTGATTGTGGTTTTCAGGTCTTCGTGCCACCACATCCTTTGATCAAACACTGGATCTCCGTCCTGAGAAACGATCAAACCCCTTGTCCCATTTTCAGTGAGTAGATAAGATTTTGATGAGCATTTATACAGATTTTACCACTGTTAGTACAGTATGTAGGACCAAATTTACATCAGTTTATCGGAATCGTAGTTTCTGCATTTAGTGAACAATCTTTAGCTGGTTAGGTTGTGTTAGCTGCATTTGAAATTGAGTATTTCTTTTGATTATCTTAGGGAATGCAATCGCTGAACTAGGGAGACTATTGATGTATGAAGCAGCACGAGAGTGGCTGGTGCGTAACCTTTTAGACCAAAGTTTTCACATTTTCATTACTTCGTTCTCTCCGGTTTTTGCTTATTGTTTCTTGATTTTTTTTGTGGTACAAAAGCCAACCGTTGTTGGAGAAATAATGTCTCCAATGGGTGCTGCTTCTGTTGAATTCATTGATCCTAGAGAGCCTATAGCGGTATTGTCTCATCCCCAAATCTCTTATTACCCTTTTTTCGATATTATCTTGACAATCAAAAAATTAAGACATTTCTTATTCTTGGTTTCTTTTTGTCTCTGTAGGTTGTTCCGATATTAAGAGCTGGTCTTGCTCTTGCGGAACACGCATCCTCAGTTTTGCCTGCCAATAAAATATATCATTTAGGTAAGTATTCTAAATATATCATCTCTTGGCAGAAGATAAAGTTGTCAAAATTAAGACTTTTTTTTATCTATATAGCTTATGATGTCCCTTGTGCTTATCGTCCTTTTTATCAGGAATAAGCCGGGATGAGAAAACACTTTTGCCTTCGGTGTATCTTAACAAGTAAGAACTTCTCTGCAGCATCATGTAGTTCACTAGAGTGTTTACAGTAGTAACAGTTTCTGATGCATCGTCTTTAGGTTGCCTGATGAATTTTCCACGAATTCACGAGTGTTTTTGGTCGACCCAATGCTTGCCACAGGTAAGGGCGCCTTGTCAATATTTGTAATGTAGCGAGTTTTTATTTTGAACAAGCGTAATTAGTGTTTTGATGTGTCTCAAATGTAAGCAATATATGGCAAAGTGAATCACATGACACCGAATGTTTCATAACTAGATGCAACAATTTGTTTTCTCTACTCTTCAAAAAACATGTGTTTATTTGTGTTTTAGGCGGTACCATAATTGCGGCGATGGATCTATTGAAGGAACGTGGTTTGTCTGTTCAGCAAATCAAAGTGGTAAGCATAAATTTATACAAGGGGGCAGAGCTTTTTACTGAAATGTGTTTGGCTACAGAAGAATTATACTTTGGTTATATATTTTGCTTTATTCTGATTACAGATTTGTGCGGTTGCTGCACCTCCTGCACTATCGAAGCTTAATGAGAAATTCCCTGGGTATTAATACAGACATTCGTAAACTTTGTTTGACTTTTGGCGGAGACTTTACTAAACAGTTTGGTTACATGTTCAGGCTTCATGTATATGCTGGAATTATCGATCCTGAAGTCAATGAGAAGGGGTAAGTTTGAGGCTTTTATGCACATTACATCGATACGAAAGTTGATTTCTCGAAGAAAACAAGCACATATAGAATGAGATTACAATGTCGTTAATACATTTGTTATGATGAATCAAAGGTTCATAATCCCTGGGCTTGGAGACGCTGGTGACCGCAGTTTCGGGACATAAACCACGCGATTTGTATGTGTATCATTGTCGCCTGCGGCTAGTTGAACAACTTTGTCTACAAAATTATTTTTTTGCGAGAAAATCAATTATTTATACACAAATGAAACTACATGATTACTACTGTACTTCAAGCTCAAACTAATGAAAGTTCGTTAGATGTTTAAGAAGAATAAACTAACTAAATAATTAGCATCACTGGGATGGAGACTCTGTAATCCGGTTCAGTTTGGGTTTTAAATTCGTTCGATTTGAGGATTTTAAATTTCAACTGACATGTATTCTCAATCAAAATGCCTAATAAGTTACAAATACACCTCGGTTCATTCGATTTGAGGATTTGAATAAGTTACAAATACACCTGTCGGTTTAATTCTGATTAATAAACTTTATTGGTTCGGTTCGATTCAAATTTTAAAATACCCGCTCAAATTAATTAGAATTATCATCGGTTGAAACTTGAAACCATAAAGGGTATAGTAGTCTTTAACATCCCCTATGATACAATAAACCCTAAGAGCTCGCGACTATAAATCACATATTCTGCTTTTTAACATCGGTTTCCATCGCCGCCGGACTGACTTTCAAATTCATCTTCCTCTCAGGTGAGATATTTGGCTTACGATCCTTAATGTCCCGATGCTGATTAATGCGTGTATCATTCTCTGTTTTTTCTGTCAAACGCGTTAGAATGATTTCGGTTTTGATTTCGCGGGATACATATCTATCGCTGTTCTGCATGCGTTTCGTTAAGAATTCACTGTCGAATTTTCGTTGAATGTTCTTAATTATTCATTTAGAGCTTGAGATTACTCTTCACTTAATTTTCTATATGTTCCTCTGTTGAAGAATCTTTCTCTCTTTCAAAATGATACATTGCTCATCAGTTTTTTTCTTCTTTTTCTTTTTCTTATGGATCAGATTGTTTTACAAGCTAAATCATGCAGAACGAAGAAGGGCAGAACACTGAGCTATACGTTCCGAGAAAATGGTATGAACAGCTTCTTATGTTGTCTGTTTTGATTAATCCTAAAACTTTTTTTATATCTTTGGTTAATCATCTGATTCGGTAAGCTCTGATTCTTTTGTTGTCTGGTTTTTAATTTGCAGCTCGGCCACAAACAGATTGATCACATCAAAGGATCATGCCTCTGTTCAGCTTAACATTGGTCATCTTGATGCCGATGGTATCTACACCGGCCAATTTTCCACCTTTGCTCTCTGCGGATTTGTCCGAGCTCAGGTTTGTTCCTCTAATTACACTTCAAACTTCTTTCAGTGATCATCTCGATGCTTGAAATTAGTCTTCCTCAGTTGTTAAAGCAAAGTTTATGACGTTTCATCTCAAATGTTTTGTCTATTGACGTTTTGATTGAATGAAACATAAACTGCAGGGAGATGCAGACAGTGGCATTGACAGGCTCTGGCAGAAGAAGAAGGTCGAAGCCAAACAACAGTGAGTGAGAGAGAATGAATCATCTTCGCTGCTTCTTTCTTTTTTGTTTTTGGATGATTCATTGAATTTTCTCTAGATGCGTACTCGTATGTTGGTTTTCTGATTTATGGAAGATAATTACTAGTTTTTGATGCCAATCGAAGCAGATTCTACAATTCAGTTCTAAATCTCTCCCAACTTTTTAATATAAAACAGATTCTATTTAATCAATCATCCTGATGAAATACTTCTCAAGTGACTAGTACCAAGTGCATCTGCAAAAACAATCTTAATCGTTGAAATTTAATTATTTTGCTTATTGCTGCTCATTCACAAAAAAGTAGCAAAATAGTGTTCTCTGTATTAAAGCTTTGAATTTCGACAAAAGACGTCTTGTGATTCATATCTCACCATCCCAAAGTTCTTCAAGTGTCTTATACGGACTCAACGTCTCATGAACGAATGATGTACCTTGGACCAACCTAGCCTGCACAGTGAAAAAGATGATGATTAGCTGTTCAAAGATAGGCAATTGATGTGGCTGTGGTTTAAACTTTAACTTGCCTGTTGTATCTCAGAGAACTTGGCAAACATTTCTTCTGGAATTGACCATCCCAATACCTCGAAGTTCTCTCTGATTCTCCCTTCATTTGTGCTTTTGGGAAGCACACTATGACCCATTTGAAGACCCCATCGAAGCGCGGTTTGTGCAGGAGACTTCCCGACTTCTTTAGCAACCGTTTCCAGAACTGGGCTCTTTAGAACATCTGCCTTCACCCACGTTGTCCCTGGAGAACCCAATGGCGAATATCCCTGCCACGATCACTACAGTCACACAAGTGTACAACACATGAAACGTATCATCATCTGTTTCCTTGAGTCTGTTTTTAAAACTTACAGACAAGTGGATTCCTTTGGACTTGCAGAACTCATGTAGCTTATGTTGTTGCCACGAAGGATGACATTCAACCTGGTTTACAGCTGGAGGAACCCGAGCAACCTCCACGAGATCCGAGAGTTTCTTTGTAGAGAAATTGCTTACGCCAATGGCTCGTGCTTTCCCTGAATCATACAGTGCTTCCATCGCTTTCCATGTGCTGGGAATATCGATAGGCATAATGTTCTCTGGCTTGAACTCGACAGTGCCTTTCTTCAACCGCACAGGCCTGTGCATCTTGACAATTGAAACCCAGTTGAAGTATAAGCAATCAAGATATGAACACATGTTGCAAAATGTGTGAATATAGTCTTGCTTACGAGATACAGATCGACGTAATCAAGCTGCAGATCCTGTAGAGTTCTGTTCATTGCGTCTTGTACATCCGGTGGGTCAAGATCAGTCAGCCTGTAATGGCATAATTTGTAGGTTATACTAAGCACATGCGAGGGAAACTGAAAATGCGTGAAGATAACAGAAACGTTATGAAAAATTTACCAGATTTTTGAGGTGATGAACAGATTCTCACGCTTCACTACGCCATCTTCAAACAACTTCTTCAGAACTTTCCCAATCTGCAGGTGAAAAAGAGTTCTTAATAATCTCCATAGCAAAAAACAGAAATGCACAATTCATTTTTAACAGAGATGCATACTAAAACTCAGATCGGTGAGCCATAAAATGGATTTACCTCCATTTCATTGCCATATCTTGAAGCACAATCAATATGCTGATAGCCAATCTGCAGCACGAAAAAATGATATTCTCAGTTCTTATAGTAATGAAACGAAATCTCCAATTCAATCCCTAAAATACCGAGATCAATCAACAACTGTGGAAAAAAGCAATTTCCTATAAAGATCTGAATTCAAAACCTGAAATCTAACCCAAAACCTCCAGGGATCAGTTAAAATGAGATGCCATGAGACGGAAATCAGAGACGAACCTTCACAGCGGCGGCGACGGCGTCTCCGACGACGCCAGAAGCAGCCTGCCATGTCCCGAGACCGACCGATGGGATCTTTGCTCCGGTATTGAGCTCGAAGAATCCGATTTCGTTCGCCATTGTCAGAGCTCGAAAGATTGCAATTGTAGATGATCTACAGTAGATCTCAGTTCTTCGGGTGGGTAGAGCGGGAAAACCGTGGGAATTTTCTTCCTGCAACGGCCAGATTTTAAACACGTGGATGAATCCAATGGTTTCATATTCAGTGGTTGCTTAACTAACTCCAGTAATTACGATTGCTAAATTCAACGGAAATACCAAAACTCATTGGATAGTGAAAGTATTGTGCTAACTTTTTTGTTAAGATAAAGGTTAACAAAAAATTAAAACCTCATAAACTAAAATCATTGGAAAAGTGAGAGAATTTTGTTTGGGACTGCATATATTTTTTTTTAGTGAATATCTTTACATATTTTATACAATTTATCTGCCACGTCGGACGCATCCTTTCAGTCCCACTTGCTCACAAGCTTAAAAGCAAGCAAAAAAGTGGAAATGTTGAAGGACATTGAAGAAGAAACTTATAATCGAATCTAGAGCAATTTCGGAAACTTTCATTAGTAAGGGTGTCATTCATCTTCTAGGGTTCTTGGTTATGCAGCTCCTCTGCATTTGCTTTCCTCGCCAACATTCCTCCTGAAGCAAATGTAGCTTTTAATCGCGGAACTAGGGTTTTTGTTTTGGTGGCTCCTCGATTTTGTTCCTCTTTTTTCTCGCTGATTTATCGGAATTCCTGGGCTGGGAAGACAAAATCGACTCGGTTTACACTGAGATGAAGAAGATCTTCGGAGGTCCAGGAACTGTGTGTGGCCTGTTACTGAGAATCGGACAATGTGCTTCAGCTGCCGCATCCATCGGCGTTATGGTCTCTTCGACGGAGTTCTCTTCTCGCACTGCTTTTTGGTATGGGTTTTTCGCTTCTTTACAAGTGTTAGATTTGTTTCCCTCTAACCTCGTTTTGTTCGCTTAGATGTCGGTTTTGATTTTCGGTAATGTCGAAATTTGGAGGATGAAGAAGAATCGAAGGATAATGAATCTGTGTAAAGAAAGAAATTGACCTCTATAAGAAATGTTGTTTTCGTTTTGGTTGGTTTCAGCTACTTGATTGCTTCAATGGGACTTCAATTGCTGTGGAGCTTTGGGCTCGCATGTCTTGATGTTTATGCTCTGAGGAGCAAGAAAGATCTCCAAAACCCGATTTTAATTAGCTTATTCGTCGTTGGCGACTGGGTATGCTTTTCTAATTTACTGTTCTCTCAAGTTTCGGTTTGATCTTAGCAAATGATAGAGCTGCTTCTTTGCTTCATACTTTTTGGAACTCAGAATCAATTCTTGTGGAACGTTTATCGCAGGTGACTGCAATGTTATCTCTTGCAGCTGCATGTTCATCGGCAGGAGTTGTAGTCTTATATGCCAAAGATCTCAAGTATTGCTATATCCGAGACCAGTTCTCATGTCCTAGGTATGAAGTAGCTGTAGCGCTTTCTTTCGTCACTTGGGTTCAAATCGCCGTTTCTTCTCATGTCACATTTTGGATCTTAGCCTCGGTTTAGTTCGGTAAACCTTTTTTTTTTCTTGGAATGTTGACAACAACAACTTGTAGCTTTTGATGACAACATTTTGCTTCAGATCAATCCATCAATGTTTCTTGAAAACTCGACAGTACAAGCATTTCTGGCTTAATCCACCACACCAGAGCATACTCATCATCTTGTTATACCTTGAGCTCTAGAAACGCAAATTAGGATTGATCCTTCAGTGCCATGAGTGTTGATCATCCATGAGTATTACAATACAAGCTTGGATAATATTGGCAAACACTCATCTTTCGGCAAAATGCCAAAGGAAAAATCGATTAGAAGAAGAACGAGTTGGATCGAAAAAAATATCTAAGCCTCTTTCTCATATATTATTTACGAAATTCTTATAGGACACAACCAAACGTCGTTACACAAATTTCTTCAATTGGAATTCTCTTAGTTGAAGGAAAAAAATAGACTTTTCACGTTATGGTTCAGGTTCAGGATCAGAAGCAATTCCATGTATAATGCTTTCGATTTCCTTAGCTGCAGCTTTCATCGTTGGTCGACTTTGCCTTGTCTCCCTCACGCATCGCTCCGCCAAAACTCCAAACTCCTTTATAGACTCCAACTCTGTCACCGTCGCTTCTTTTCCGATCACCGGATCTATCACCTCCGTCAACCTCCCTTCCTTCAACCTCTTCCTCACAAACACTACCAGATTCACGTCTTCCTCCTCTCGATTGAAATCGATCGCCTTCTTAGAAGTCAACAGCTCGAGCAACACCACACCGAAGCTGTATACGTCGCTCTTATCCGTCAAATGGAAGTTGAGGTAGTACTCTGGATCTAAATACCCTAAGGTTCCTTGCGCGCAGGTCGTCACGTGGCTCACGTCGCTCACGCCCAATCTGGATAATCCGAAATCGGCGACCTTAACGTCGAGGTTCTCGTCGAGGAGAATGTTGCTCGACTTGACGTCCCTGTGGTAAATCGGCGGCGTGGCGGACGAGTGGAGGTAGGCAAGTCCTTGCGCCGTCTGGTGCGCGATCATGAGGCGGCGTCGCCACGGTAAAGGATCGTATGATCCGCCGCCGTAGATGTGCTCGTACAAAGTTCCGTTTGGGACGAATTCGTAAACCAGAATCGGCATATCCAATTCGATGCAGCATCCTAAAAGCTTCACTAGATTCTTGTGGCTAACTTGGCAGAGGATCTGGACCTCGTTGACGATCTGGTATATGCTCTTCTCGTTCCCGAGCTTGGCTCGTTTCACGGCGACTGTTGTACCGTCGTCGAGATCTCCTTTGAAAACCTCACCGAATCCGCCGAATCCGAGGAGGTTGGATTTGGCGAAATTGTTGGTGGCTTTAACGATCTCTTTGCCGGAGAAGATCCTATCGAGTCCGGCACTGTTGGTACTCAATAGGTGTCGATGGAGTTTCCTTACGCTCGCCCACGATTGGCTTCCGGCGACTCTTTGATTCTGTTTCGAGATTATCATCTTCATTACGCATCCGGCGATCAATATTGCCCCTACACCACCGGCCAAACCTGTTCAATAACCAAACCAAAACAGTCCACATCAAACCAAACCGAACCGACTGAATCAAAATTTTGGATATTGAATAAGCAAACCAAATAACCGAACCGAAACTGACCCGTTGATGCATCAAAAGAATCAATCAAAGGATTTGAATTTACCTCCGATTAAAGGCAAATTGCTCCGTCGCTTGCATTTCTTTACACTGAAGCACCGGTTAGCTATTTAACACAGATAAACAGTTTTGCTATTAGTAAAAGACTCATCAATCTATAAACAATCAAAAGCCATATCACAAAACCGTACCTTCACATATAGCGTTGATCGAGTCCCATCGAAACCCTTTCTTGCAGTAACATCTCTTCTGTCCTACGTTGGTCGAATCAACCGAACAAGCCGAATTCACCAAATCGGTACAATCTCCCGGAATCTTACAAACCGGCTCTCTCGGAGCTTCCCATAGTATCTCCACGGCCGGTTCGCCCCATTTGCTAACCGGTAACGTCAGATCCAAATTCATAAAACTCTGATAAGCCGAACACATATCTGTCCTAGCCCTATAAACTTTATAAGTATTAACAGATGCACCGGTCTTATACCAGCAGCACTGTGACACGCCTCCACACTTGCCTCCTCGTGCCTCGGGATTGGCATTTAGAAACTTGTGACACAAGCTATTATCAGAGCAGTTAAAGCCTTGAGAGGTGTATGCATCTAGACCGTCCTTCGTGCAATTCATGATGATAACCGTGTTGCTACTACTGACATTAAAAGGAAGGTTCGGGTCTAGCTGAATACCGTGGTACTTTATGTCGACCGATACACATGTGTTGGGTTCGAACCCAGGTTGAATGAGGACGAACCGTTGGCCTGACGGGTCGATTGTTTTGATCGGATTGGTTGATCCGTTGAGGGTATCGAACCAGAGTAAACCCCGGTTGTCGCACCGGATCTTGTAATCCGGATCGCCACAGTCGAGACTTGTGCTTAGTGGGTATGGAACTCGGGTGGAGCCACAGTTAGGGCATCGTTTGAAAGATTCTGCATAAGAAGAAAAGGTAAGAAGTAGAGAAAGTGTGAAGGTGACGAAAGAGAGCCATGGAAGCTTCATTTTTTTTTTCTTTTTTTTTGGTATGGGCAGGTGCTTGCTCAGGGTGTGGAATGTATACTAGCTGCGTACTATGATTTCTGATTTGTCTTTAAAAAGAGAATTATAATATTTGTCTTTATTTTAGGGCATTGAGTAAAACGAATAGATTCTTTCAATGTTCCGATTGCATCATGGTACATTAAAAGCTGCGTTCAGATATCTAGAATTTACACAAAATTCTCTTGTATTTATAATTCGTTAATGCTTTTAGAAGCCATGTGGAAGATGGTTTTTCAACTGCATGCATATGTATACGTGTTCCGTGTTCATTTGTATGTATTTTCCGTGCGTGTATAACATATTTGATTTGGAAGATTTCCATACCGAAATCAAACTAAATTTCAGTGTTATTTAAAAAAAAAATCATAGCTCTTTAATTTAAAAATGAATAATATCATTCAACCACTACTATGAATTGGTTATGCATGTGCGTGCATATTACATACAATATGGAGGATTCATGAGAATACTTGAGGCGGTTTTTCAAATATCGTTTAAAAGTTTGTCATAGTTAGCAAATTTTAAGAAATATTTGATTTTTTTACTTACAATAATAAACGAATGATGCTTTGCTGTAGAAAAGGGACAAAACTCCTGCGACGTGACATGGGTTCCGAGGAATATATATTTCTTTATATTTGTATGGTCAGTAGCCAACTGGTCAATTATAAAGTGGTACAGTGCCATATCAACTCAACAACTTCCAAGCATATAGTTTTTAGCTAATCTTGGGTGAAAATACTGTCTGGTAATTAGGAGGCTTTTACAAACCAAATCTCAAATAAAACATTCGATTGTAATTCATATTCGAGTAGTTACAATAAAATTGGTTGTACATAATGGGAAACTGAATTCCAAATGTCACACTGAATCTAGTATCTACGACAGATCGAAGAAAACACTTGTCCATTAAGTCAATGCGTTCTAAATATATAATTTGCTATGGCTCAAGAACTAATAATGTGGAGTTTTCTCCATTAAAACATTTGTACATACCCAAAAACAAGTCTAACTCGTTTTTTTAAAACGTAAATTTTTAAAATCATGGATCTTTCAGATCCTTAAATTGTCTTGAATAAGGTAGCAAAGTCATAGATCTCTAGAATCCTTATAAGTTACAAATAAAGTAATAGAATCTTAGATCCTTAATCGCCAAAATAAAGTAATGTTACTGACTTTTGCCTGTCCATCCATGTTAAGTGGAGCCTCGTGCCTTCCAACATATAATACTGCACTTATACAGACACTCTTGTTTTGTTTTTTTCCTTAGTTTGTTACAATATTTACGTAAAAATAAAAAAAAATCAATGAAAGTACGTTACAGTTATTCATTTATTTTAGTCATCATAATTTGATTCTGATTCGATAGTATAATTATATATGACCTTGGAAGTTGGAACTTGGCTTTGTTATGGAATATGCCACAGATCTTTTAGTAATCACTGCATCCACACTAGTCTGATCCAGCTTACCTGATCCTCAATAGTCTACTTATATTAGTATTATTTTTAAATATTGCAAAACTAATTAATCAAGTTTATGTTGGATTTATATTTTGATTTACTTTATACGAATGGTCTAAGCACATAAACACACAAATGTTATCGACGAACAAGCTGAAGGTGATTTGTATGAGAGCCTTGTCTCTGTAGACATATCTAAGTGTCTAGATTTTTCTAAAGTCTCGATCCTCGGTTTTTTTTTTTTTTTTGTAGTTATTTAAGATTGTTGTTTTCGATCCAATTGTTCAAGTCATTGCTTAAAATGCAAGTTAGCGTTAACGCTCTTTTACAGTTTTGGCGTAAAATCGCAACAAGGAAGCCGTGATGTTTGTGATCCCCCCCAGCTTACCAAATCGCGATTTGTGGTTTTAACGTTTCTAGGGTTCGAACATACAAAAAAAAATGAAGTTTTGAAGCAAAATTGCAAAACAAATGTAGGTCATGACACACAGTTACTAATCGCATGTTTACTGGCAACTTGCAATTTTAGACATTTACGATTTTCAAAATAACTAATTACATGTATCCTTAATCCCTTTAAGGCTTTTGTGACGTTGTTCTCATGAGTTTACGAAACAAGAGTTTCCAAAGAAACAAATACAGAGCTACTACTACAATTATATATCCACAAAGAAAGAAGAGATTTGATCATAACATACTATTAACGGAGTGCGTTTATGGCTCTTTTCAAAAGATTACAAAATGCATAACTTTTCTCACTCCTGTTCTTGACTTATGATGCTACGAAAATTTGTTGTGGTAGTATGTAAAATTTGCATACTGCTATTTTTTACAACTAGACTTTTCATGCTGCTTTATTAGCAGTCTTGTTGATTACGATGCTGTTACAACAGTCTCCAGCTTTACCATGTAAAATTTTCATGCTGTTGTATTAGCAGTTTTTTTTTGCTTAACAGTTTCCTGCTTGACCATGTAAAATTTAAATGCTGCTATATTAGCAGTCTTTTTGTTTACAATGCAGTTTCCTGATTCAGAATGTAAAATATTCATTATTTTTGTTTACGATGCTGTTATAGCAGTCTCCAGCTTCAGCATGTAAACGTTTCATGCTGCTTTAGTTACATGCTGCTTTAGTAGCAGTTTTTTTTGCTGTTGTTGTTTACAAAGTTGTTACAATAGATTAAGCATGTAAGGGTTTTGTGCTGCTTTAGTAGCAGTTTTATTTTTGCTGTTGTTGTTTACAAAGCTGTTACAATAGTTTAAGCGTGTAAGGGTTTCGTGCTGCTTTGTTTGCAGTTTAGTGTTTGGTATGGTCACTCATTCAGGCTGTGAGCTTTTCGCTCAATTTTATTTCTTCCTTTTTTCAACAAGGAACATGTGATTTGGAAGACTAATGCCTTGTCGACAATTTAGTAGCAAATTTTTATTTCTTTAGCTCATTTTGTGTGTGTTATAATTGTATTTATGCGATTGAGTCCAATGTCATTTCAATGTTGTATATAAGTCACTTAGGAGAGTCCTCAACACCAAAATTATTATAAAAAAAAAAAGAAGCTGAGGAGATACTCAAATCAAACGAAGAGAGTTGGATTGCTTTCATTAAAAGGACAAAGAAACATTAAAACAGATCATACACTCACTTTTTCGGCCTTCACAACCTGGAGATGGAGTTGGATTGATTCTACAGCTCCTCTGGCCCTTGAAGTTGTGGTGAAGACGACGGTCAAGAGATCGGTGAATCAAAAACACTAGTTTAACCTAATGGTATATGGTGGTGGCATGCTGAAGGTGCTTGCTCTGTTCGTTACTAGCATTTAGAACTTTGTGATGGCAGTGACCGCATAAGACTGTGACTCTTCAAGCAAAGGCATCCAAATATCGCCTACCAGTCTCATCAAACAAGTAATGCATCTTCCCCCTTCAACGATGTTAAGCTACAAGAATACATAACAAGCAGAACCAGAAGACACCCTAACAATTTGATCATTGATACACAACAGAACCTTATATATATATATATATCAAACCGAATGAATAAACAACCAAGTTCTTCTTCAACATCGAGTTTTCTTATACCATGGAAACCTCGATGTCTCAACTCCTTGATGCAGGGAAGAAAGTCCACGTCATCAGATGCAATTAGCACCAGTTGAGGTTCCTTGAAGACAAGCAGCTGATTCCATGCCCAGGTGAATGGGCTTAATATTTCTTATCTGAAGTCTCTTTAATTGATACGGATGCCTTGGGTTTGCCCTTCTTTTTCTTTTCTTCATTGTGATTATTAACGTGGACGAGGTTCGTAGTATTCAAATCTAGTTGTCCCAAATTGACTATATTGCCGTAACCAAAAATATAATTACGTACCTTCATAATTATGTTTGCCTTGTTGACATTGGGGCTTGCACGCCCATGCATACTCATGTATGGAGAAGCTATGATTTTCTCAATTTGTAGCTTCATGAGATCATCTATCGCATCGTAGAGAGGACATAAAACAGACGGATTATAAGAAAAGGTAAACTGACAGACATAATTTAACAGAAAATTCTTAGTATTAAGATATTTGGATTTTTCAACTATTTTTGTGCTTTATTGATTCGACTGGCTAATGAATCCCCCACATTTAGAGTACAAGACATGTTTTGGTCTCTCTGTCGATTCTTCCCAAGTATATTAGCCGGTTTCTTTATCTTAGTGTAAGATGTTTCTTTTAGGGGAATGTCATTTTTTTTTAACATCTATTAGGGGAATGTATTGAAGATTTGAATTCCAAATATGTATTTTTGCACCAAAGACGTTCATACTAAAGAAGGGAAATGTTTATCAAATCTTTTTCAAAGATGAGTGGATTGAAATCAATGATACAGTCTCTCTTTGATCTCTTTGATTTTCCTCTGAAAAGTGAACTTAAAAATGTTAAGTTCAGTAGAAGAACGGGGGGATGATTTGCAAGGTTGGAAGCAGGAGGATGGCTCGTAGAGGCAAGAAGATGAAGTAACTTCTTCTAACTACAAAAATTTGAGAAATTAAATGATTATTTTAAAGAATTATTTTATAAAAATATTTAATTTGGAAAAATAAAATCAACTATAGATAGCTTTATAAATAATAAATTTTCTTAATAATAAATTTGTTATTCAATTATACAGTATTAATAGATTAATTTTACTTATTTTTTGCATTATCTAGTTCAGATGATTTTTTCAAAGTTGTTAATAGAACTAAGTATATGTAATTTGAAATAAAATAGCAAATAACTTTCTTCACATATAATCAAATAACAAATTTATACTTAGTTCTGATGATTTTTTCAAATCACACAGTTACTAATCGTAATTTACTGACAACTTTCAAATGCAACTCTAGACATGTACAACTTTAAAGAATTGTAAATCAGTTGTTGATTGTACTCACTGTCACAAAAATTCAGGGGCTAAGCTAAGACGTTGTTCTCATGAGTTTACGAAACAAGAGTTTCCAAAGAAACAAATACAGAGCTACTACTACAATTATATATCCACAAAGAAAGAAGAGATTTGATCATATCATACTATTAACAGGGTGCGTTTATGGCTCTTTTCAAAAGATTACAAAATGCATAATGCTTCCCACTCTTGTTCTTGACAAATCTAAAAATATCCAGACTGTTTATTTATACATTCATCTAAAGAAATCCTACGATTCTTTCATACCAAACAGTTTTATTGTTCTGTTTCGCAATTTCCCCATGTGACACAATGCAAAGTCAAAGCTCTGCCCCTAAAAAAAACCATGAAGACAAGGGAGAGACTGAAGAAGAAAAACACATACAGCAAAAAGCCTGTACGTACAGCCTTTGTCAAACCTATAAGCATATCTCTTCTACGAGGTGAAAACACGAAAATGTGTGTTTTGAGGATCTGGTGATTTGATTGGTCGGGAAACTCAAGTGGGTGAGTCAGCTAGTAGTAACGTATGCCACCATCCACACGCCACTTTCCTCAGTCTGCTGCAGCCATCGAGCTGAACACGAGTAGGGATGTTCCGGTCAATTGTGTCCCCTAGACCTAGCTGTTAAATAACAAAGGGGGATGCAAAAATGAGATGCCTATACAGTGATGATGAGCCATGACCGCTTAGCAAAAACCAAAACAGTAACAACATCTTACCTGTCCGTATTTGTTCCATCCCCAACATAGCAACTGACCATCTTCTGCATAAACAAAATCAGCAGCAAGGATAAGTAAAACAGTTAACAATCCCATAAGAACCACTTTCAAAGATACAATCGTCAATTAAACTTAGGGGAAGCAAGGCAATATATCACAGAACAGAGTGTGTTTTCACGAACATGTCATATGTGTTAGAAAAGAAGGAGATAACTTTGTCTCCCTTTGAAAGAGAGACCACGTATTAAAACTGAAACAATTCAAAAGGAGACCTGAAGACAAGGTGCAGCATCTCACAAGCTAGAGGGCTCTTTAGTTTCTTCTCGTTAAAACAACTGAAAACAAATGCCAAGTGTTGCTAGGGCTCAGTTCGGTTCGGAGAGGTTCCTTTTCTGCCATGAACATTTTAATAACCATACCTGCCAAAACAGCACTGTGTCGCGCTCCGCAGCTAACTACTCTTGCATGTTTGTTCTCCAAGTTCTGGCCATCCAACAACCTCGGTATCGTCTAGATCAGAAGAGAGATGATACAACAGTTGAGTATATACCAGATGTTTCAGTTCATGAACTGCACAAAACTTTCAGAGACATTTTCAAGCAGAAGTTGGTAACTTTGGGTTGCACGAGATGTACCTCCGCATGATCAGTGCCAGTTCCCAGTTGCCCGAACTGGTTTCCGCCAAAGGCAAACACTTTACCATCACTAGAGATGCAAATCGTATGCCACAATCCAGCTGCTACACTTTCCATCCGAACACTCTGCACTGCTGACACAGCCATGGGCCTTAACTGGTCATTTGTGTTCCCGTGGCCACACTAAACACACCAGGAAAATTGTCGGTTTAGCATGAGCACATAATGATTCAAGTCTCCGTCCGTTTGAAAAATCATATGAAGTACAACATTCACCTGTCCATAGAGACCCCAGCCAAAAGTTATTAACCCTCCAGCATCTGCAACTAGCAAGGACGAGCAATCAACATCACACACCATTACAAAATTTTCTAAAACAGTCTTGAGTACCAACTTGAGAATACAAATACTGCAAATTAGCGTTAAATCAACTATACAGAGAAATCACAACAGACCTGTAATTGCCGCACTATGACGCCCTCCACAAGAAATCGCCTTTATATACTGACCAGGAGTTCTTGAGACTTGAGTAGACGTGGTTGCTGTCCCTTGATGTAACATGAAATATCTCTCCTCTCCAGATCCAGGTGATTCAAAGCAAGGTATTAGATGAGGAGACGACACCATTTTGATCCGGGAACCCAATCCTAACTGCCCTTCGCCTCCATATCCCCAACCCCAAACCTGTCCCACATCTGAAACTTCCGCAGATACATGACACATAAGATGCAATCATTCCTCAGTGAAACCTTCATACTTCACATAACCTAGGCTTAAAAAAACTACAAGTCTACAAGGAAGCAGCTTCATCTCGGCTTTGTAAAGTTGTTACTTCCACTTCACCTGACAATGCCAGAGTATGCCGACCACCAGTAGCAACGGTGGTGATCCTCACTCGAAGGCCAACGCTTACAAGCGAAGGTGTTGTAGCAAAGAAGTCCTCTCCAGACGTAAGACCTTCCGTTTCATCTTTAGCGGTTGAAACCCGTCTCCTCTTCACTGATTCCTCACCAACCTTCCGGTTCTCATTCTGTAATGCCATACCGCTTGATGCATCTGAACCTTGCAACAATGGATTCACTAATCACAATAGAGAAGAAACAAAAAACTAAAACGGATGATATCCCAACCAATCTCACCTTGCTCACTCGAGCCACTCTGCTGCTTCCCACCAAATTCCTTTGATGGAATGCACTCTTTCCAACCCCAAGTAAATGCTTCACCAGCCTCTATACACACCAAGAAAAAAGACATAGTTTTTAAGTGATCAAATCATAAATCTTCCACCTTTGGCACAACAAACATAGACCATTATTGGAAAAAATTGACTCCGAGTCAAAGAAGAGATGGTAAGGCACTAAGGCTAATAAAACTACCTGTTACAACCGCACAGTGTGCCCATCCTGCAGAAGCATGTACGACTGGAGCCTCCGTGGGAAGAGGAAACGTCTCTGGAGTTTCCTTAACCAGTCGTATTCAAGAAAGTTCAATAACCGAGAATCAATTTCGTAACAAAAATGTAGAAGAAGAAGAGAAGACAAAACTTCAGTCATTATTAAAAAGTAAAAACTTTACCCCATGCTTTCCAGAAGTAACATAGCTCTGTCCTTCATCATCAGAAGAGCCCCATGTTATAAGCTTCCCATTCTCTAAATCAACAAAGTCAAGCTCATATCGATCTTTTGAAATGAAAGAAAACTTTCGAAAAAAAAAACACAGCTTTTAATCCGACCTGAAATAGCCATGGCGAATCCACAACCTCCGCCACATACGTCTTTCCAGGAATCGCCGCCGTGAACAGCCGCCGGAAACCGCACGGGAACAGGAGAGAGAGTTGGGGATTTCTCCGGCGCTGCTCCAGGGAGGTAACCGGACATGTAAACTACAGTCGCCTTACGTTCCCCAATCGGAACTAGCCCTCCATTGTTTCCATTCATGGCAGAGATTGAGGTTCTTCCAAAACCAGAATCAACCATAAAACACCAGCCAAAGACAGAGAACAAAGATCGAGAAGCAACAAAATTCAATTCTTTTTTTTAAACACAATCTAGTCTCCTTCAGTAATCTGCGTTTCACTTTCTGAGCAAATCGGCGTTTGTCCTTCGTTGGTGACAGAGAACGAGACCATTAAAAAAGAAAAGGAGCCACAGAGAGAATCGAGGAACCCGCCGAACAACAAAAGAGAACGAGTTGACTCAGAGGGGAGAAAAATGAGAGTGGGAGAATCAATTACGGATGTTTAGGGAGTGCCACCTTGGATGCCATGTCATCTGTAGTACACGTGGCGTGATCTTGACCGCGATTTTCTTAGTATTTTTTAATAACTAAAAAATGTCGAGAAGTTTCTGGAAGGAAATAATATCGACCAAACTGGAGCTCCTTTTCTCTCTGATTGACGCGTGGTGGGGAAAGGCCTTCCAAATTATATTCTCCATTATTAGTTATTACTAATTAAAATTAGTTTTGTAATTGGTTCAATTTTTTATATTTTAAATTATACACACATCTCTTCTTCTTTTTTTAACAACACAACATATATATCTATTCTAGTATTCTCTATCGGTTCTAAAAGTATATTAAACGGTTGACTAATTTGTAAACTAGTCATTAGGACTTAGCTGCAATTTATACCAATCTGCATAAGAGATTTAGACAAACGTAAATTTATTTTTTCTAATTTTGTAATGATTATCACTGTGAGAATATATCTGTGCTACGCAAGATTTGTTTTACATATTTGATTTGTAGTATATTGTCTTTTGTGTTTCATAAGACTTTAAACAAAATGCTTACCCTTAATTATCTCATCTATATACGCATACTTGGCAAGTAAACAACTGTGATAACAAATCAATGATAAAAACGCATCAAAATCAGATGTAATGTTAGAGTGTGTATATTAACAAATCAAAAGCTAAACAAACGAACAAAACAAATTTTAACTATTCACATAATTACATACTGTATTTATTTACTTGGTGATTAAACTATTCACATAATTATATAGCAAAAAAAAAAAAAAACTATTCACATAATTACGTACTTGGTGATTTCTTATAAGGATCTAATCCTAGACGAAGCTCAAGATCTATCACTTCTGCACTTTGGGACAAAGCTTTTTGAAGTATCCTCATTTTCTTCTCTTCTTCATCTCCCAAATAGTCTCCACTTTTATCAGTGCCTTCTTTTGTTGTTGGATCGACCGTATCAACGAAGAAAGGCAGTTCAATCAGATCTTGCTCGAACCGATTACTCGAAGTGGTGCAAGTGGACTCTTCACGATCATCATCTTTTAGGTTCGCTTGTCGCAGCTTTGCCCTGTCTTTTCTGTGGATGTTCATGTGCCCTCCTAAAGCTTGTGCGTTGGAGAAACCTCTCTCGCAAAAATCGCATATGTATGGTCTTGCTTGTCCAGACCATGAATATGATCGACGATCCAAGTATTTTCTATTCATTGTTGTATATGATCTCGGGAGTTTATTTATATATATAAACAAATAGAATTTGAAGGGAGTATGTTTTAATTTGTGAAGAGATGTAAATTTGATAAATCATAAGGTGGTGTTAGATCATTAGAACGGTTAAATATACATTGTGATAATTTTTATTTAAAAGTCAGAGCCGACTTTTTCTTCCTCAGCCGACAAAAGGCAAAGATAGCTTATGTGATGATTGATTATTTTATTGGTTTGGCGTTTACATTTTAAACTTATTTTGTATAAAATAATAACATATTTAGCCGACAATACTATTATTTAGAAATATGTAAGTTTTTTTTTTTTTTTTGCAGTTTGAGTTTAACTATATGATTTTGTATAAGTGTAGCCATTCTGTCATTATTCGAGTTCGAATTCCGTAATATGCGAGTAAAATGTAAATGGATTATTCTAAAACATCTAAAATTATGAATTTATTAAAATGACACTATGTAAATATTGGAATAGATGAAAATTTCAAACGTAAACAAATGAGTAATGTCTAAATAAACAACGTCTTTCGATAAAACATAAGCACACACGTATGAGCGAGCGGTTGACCACAGATTATTTACAATTTTCTTTAATCAGTCTTATATAAATTAGACATATGTATGAAAGTCAATTACTCAGCTATATTTTTAATGAGTTCATCATTGAATTTCATCCAGTTAGAGAGATAAAGTCATAAAACTACAAGCCGGCGTCATTGTTCTTGTTTACGCTAATTAAATGATGACGACACTTGCTTAGTTAACTTCTTAACTTAAACATTATTTCTAACTTATTAAGTGGTTAAAAGATGAAGAAGTATTATAATCATACGTCGTGTAGTTTTCTTGAGCAAGAAACTATAGAACAATTCTGCATTAGCCTCTTCAACTTATCCAACAATTAATTGATATAGACAAACATTACAAGCTCCATATGTTTATTTTTCTAACCCTATGGTCAGAATGTGTCAAGGGTTATACATATGTGGCTTCTAAGAAGAATTCTGATTTGAACATTTCTTTTACCGACTCTTCAATGTTGGAGTTTCACATGTGTCTTATATCTACAACGCAAAGAACAAGTGTCGAATATGATTGTTAGACGACGTTTTGATTATATACTTTACAAATAATAGTATTTATAATGACCAATACCAGACAGCAAGTTATTCAGAATATATAACTTTGAGATATTAAGAAGTTCAATATAATGAGATTCTCACCGATACGCGTTTACGGAATATATAATACGATTACTACTATACAAGAAGCTTTGCGGAATATAACTTTCATTTGAGATACTTTGTATAATTGTATTGAACAACTTTAAGACATTTGTCACGTTATTATTAACAAACTAACTTTGGGCCTGGACTGGGCTTAAAAGTATCATTTTTCTCTTCCTTCTGTAATCAATAGTTGATCCATTAAACCCCTCACCCAAAAAAAACATTCAGAAATTTCTTGTAAGGTGTTAATTTCCTTCTAATTTTATATTCCGATGCTCTATTATTATGGCCTTGTGTATATATTGTAGGCACTACGCACAAGCCAAATGTTTCTTTTCCAAAAAGATTCATGAATCATGACTCTTGCATACTTCAGTTAGTAATGCCCCCTCTAAGACTCTTAAGAAACCAACATATAGTTGTGAATACGACGACATAAACACAAATAAACGCGAGTTTGTATATTTTTGTATCGTTCGAGAGACATTGGATGTAAATATCAACCATGCATTTGATGTGGTCTAGTATACTACTTCCCTACTGTATGGATCTAATAATATTTTAATTAAAACATACATATAAAAATCATAATTTGATTAGTATTGTTTTACGTGGCCCATGTAATACCATGTGGCAACAACTGGCAAGCCCCATACGTACTTCTCTACTCATACAACGAAGAATTAGGCTTTACGGCACGAAGCCAACGTGAGTGCAACTGTGCAAACAGTTTCGGGGTTTTTAAGATAGGTACCGACTAAATCTTGAGATCTTCTTATTAAATCAGGACTAAATGATTTTTGACCAATTGCCATACTAATTAATTTTCTTGTTTTCGTTTTCTTGTTTTCATTGGCTATTTAATCTGTTCGTAGTTTATATACTTCCTTGTCCGGTTATCCGACTATAAAACACAATCCTGTTTGTGTCGGGATGGAATAAAAAAATTGAATGAAGTCCAAAGAAAATTCAAAAGAAGATCATATCGTTAGACCGACCCATCATTACGAATGTAGCTTAAGCTGACTAACATAAAAAAAAAATATCAACGGTCAAGATTGAACTGAGAAGGTTCCTTGAAAGAAATAGAGTGGACAAGTTTTGACCAGTTGTCCATTTGACCCATCAATATCATTACCATTCCTTAAAGTCGTTGTTCACTCCATCACTTCCTCATCTCACAAATCCAGGATATACATTCATTCATATTTTCCTACACTCAACTAGTTTTTACGTCACTAAAGTTGTTACGGAAACTTTCATTTTCGAATTTAAATATATGTATCAATATTTTATAATTAAAATATTAATTACTTTTTGTATCTTGTCATATATAAAAAAAAAACATTAATAGAAATATGTATATATTACTTGTTCGCCTGTACAACATTTCCCATTAGTGAACGTGGAGCAAACATATTTCCACCAAAATTTCTGTTACAATATTGTTTTTTTCATGCAGTCCGCAGTTTTTTTCGAAAAATTGCAGGATACCTGTATTATTATAATACATACGTATTCTAAGATAAGTGATTAACAAACATTACGTATGCCAAACAATGAAAAATATATTTCTGCACATGTATGGATAAGTCCACGTTTTAGTTTGTTCCTGCAACGTGCTCAAGGAGAAATATCAAAAGAAAAGATTATCTATTGCATCATGAAGATAATTTTGTGAAAACCCTTGTTGCAAAAAGAGAAATAATAATAATTTTGGTGGCAATTTTTTAGATGAGTAAATATAATATCATACCAGTTTCATTTTTTTTTTGTCGGCACCAAATTCAAATGTATAATCTCACTAATTCATAAATCATTCCAAGATATAATTTTTGTAATTCCCTATATTTTTTTTAACATATTGTAGCTAAAATTATTCTATAAAAATTCAAAAAAAAAATTATTCTAAAAATAATATATGCAGGAAAGTTCAAAAAAAAAAATATGTGCAGGAATATTGTATGTCGGTCACATAACCATTAATAAGATACGATAACTACAAACTGGATCTCAGCCCTTCCTTTCGTTTTGTCGTCAATCTCAGCCTTTCAAATCTGACCAGACAGATTCTGATATCTTTTCATTGTTCACATTATACTCATTTTTGGAAATATCGAAAGAACAATAATTCTATCGCCATCCAGAAAGTTTCATTATTCGAGAAAGAAATTATAATTTTTTAAATATTTCTAAATTATTTCTATTTTTGGCCAACGAGAGATGGTTTCTAAACTCTGGAGACCAAAACCAAATAAAACTGAAAGAACCCCTGTTTCGGAGAAAAAACGTCTCTAGAATTACATCCTCTTATTTATTTATACTCATCCATCTTTTAAAGTTTTGTATATTTTAAATGGTTACTGTACATGAACCAATATGTATTAAAATGAAGTAAAATTAAGAAAATTTCATCACACATTAAATTAATTTTTTAGTGATTTCTTATTTTGCTACAAAACTAGTATATATCAATCAGTAACTGTATAGGCAACTAAACAAAAATATCCGTTAAAATTTTTGAATTTTGTGATCTAAGTCCCCCCAAAAATTAGGTTCAAAGCTTCGATTTTACTAATTTAATTTTATAGTGATGAAAATAATTATAAGAATTTAAACAAAAGATATCAACACCTCACTGATCGACCATTTGACTATTACAAAGAAGCTTAGAAATAGTTAGAGCCACATGCAGACAAACTGGATTTCTGTAGTAGTCAAAATCAAAGTGATGGTGTTTAGATACTCCTCACGAAAACGAATATAATAATTTATAATCATAGAATGAAATTAATTGTCTATTTATTAATTGAAGCTTTACTACATTTTGATTCTTGATCAATACTTCACCTACCTCTGACTTGTATCATTCAATCACGGGCTTGTCCTAAAAGAAACCCCTTATTACCACGATTTCTTTTTTTTGCTTCACATCTTAAATTTCGATACTCTTCTTCATCTTTTCCTCTGTTGTTGACACATCCTCTTCAAAATTGAGCAGAACTAAACCGGAAAACCGGAAGCCATGTTCATCAAGCTCGTCTTCATCTTCCTTCTCTGTCAAACTCTGAGATCTTCCTCTCAAATTCTCAACTTCACCTACAATGGCTTCCATCCTCCGACAGATATCTCACTCCAGGGCATCGCCACAGTCACACCCAACGGTCTATTGAAGCTAACCAACACATCGGTACAGAGAACCGGTCACGCCTTCTACACCGAACGAATCCGGTTCAAAGATTCTCCGAACGGCACCGTTTCTTCCTTCTCCACAAGCTTCGTCTTCGCGATACACTCCCAGATCCCAACGCTAAGCGGCCATGGAATCGCCTTCGTCGTAGCTCCAACGCTCGGTCTTCCTTCTGCACTTCCGAGCCAATACATCGGCCTCTTCAACATCGCGAACAATGGGAACGACACGAATCACGTCTTCGCCGTCGAATTCGACACGATCCAGAGCAACGAGTTCGGAGATCCAAATGATAATCACGTCGGAATCGACATCAATGGTTTGAGGTCAGCGAAGTACTCGACCGCCGGATACTGGGACGAGAAAGACGAGTTTCGGAATCTGAGCTTGATTAGTCGCAAACGGATGCAGGTTTGGGTCGATTACGACAGTCTCAGCCATCGAATCGATGTCACGATGGCTCCGTTCGATTCCGATAAACCCAGAAAACCGCTTGTTTCGTATGTCAGAGACCTTTCTCCGATTCTCCTGCAAGACATGTATGTAGGATTCTCGTCTGCTACTGGCTCCGTTCTCTCGGAGCATTTCGTCGCCGGGTGGAGTTTCCGGGTTAACGGCGAAGCTCCGATGCTTACGTTATCGAAGCTCCCGAAGCTTCCTCGGTTCGAGCCCAAACGAATCTCCGATTTCTACAAAATCGGCATGCCTTTGATTTCCCTCTTTCTGATATTCTCTCTGATCATCCTCGCTCTGTACATCGTGAGGAGGAAGAAGAAATTCGAGGAGGAGCTCGACGACTGGGAAACAGAGTTCGGGAAAAACCGATTCAGGTTCAAGGAGCTGTACCACGCGACGAAAGGGTTTAAGGAGAAGGATCTTCTCGGATCCGGCGGATTCGGGAGGGTTTACAGAGGAATTCTCCCGACGACTAAGCTCGAAGTCGCCGTGAAGAGAGTCTCGCACGATTCCAAACAAGGCATGAAAGAGTTCGTGGCGGAGATCGTGAGTATCGGCCGGATGAGTCACCGGAACTTAGTGCCTCTGTTGGGTTATTGTCGCCGGAGAGGAGAGCTTCTTCTGGTCTACGATTACATGCCCAACGGAAGCTTAGACAAGTATCTATACAACAATCCAGAGACAACCTTAGACTGGAAACAGAGATCTAAGATCATCAAAGGAGTTGCTTCCGGGTTGTTCTACCTTCACGAGGAATGGGAACAGGTTGTGATTCACCGTGACGTGAAAGCCAGCAATGTTCTGATAGACGCTGATTTCAACGGTAGGCTCGGCGATTTCGGTTTAGCCCGGTTATATGATCACGGGTCGGATCCTCAGACGACACACGTTGTTGGTACATTGGGTTACTTAGCACCTGAACATTCCCGGACCGGACGTGCCACGACCGCGACCGATGTCTACGCCTTTGGTGCGTTTCTTCTAGAGGTTGTTTCCGGTAGACGGCCCATCGAGCTCCGTAGCGAGAGCGACGACACGTTCTTGCTTGTGGAATGGGTTTTCGGTTTGTGGCTCAGAGGAAACATAATGGAAGCGAAAGATCCGAATTTTGGGTCAGATGGTTACGATGTTGAAGAGATCGAAATGGTTTTGAAACTCGGCCTGTTGTGTTCTCATTCAGACCCTCGGGCTAGACCGAGTATGAGGCAGGTGCTACAATACCTAAGAGGAGACACGGCGTTGCCGGAACTAACGCCGTTGGATTTGTCGGCAGGGAGCGGCATGATGAATTTGGGAGGCCGAGACGGTTTCAGCGGTATTGCGATGTCGTATTCTTCCTCCGTGTTCAAAGGGTTCACCGGCGGGTCTTCGATCGCTGATTCTCAACTCTCCGGTGGGAGGTGATTGATGTTACAACAGTAGCAACTAATGATGCTCTTAGCTTTATTTAGTTATATTTTATGAATACGAGTCATCATGTATATACAATTTTGCCTTTGTATCGAGCGAGATGTAAGATTTTCTTACAAGAATTAATCAAATACTATAAGATTATGATTGCAATTGTTGATTGACCATGAAAAAACATTCCCACAGGCAAATATCTTTTAAAAAATGGAACACTATAAACGAAGAAACGGTAGAACATTTGAAATATGTGTTCCACAAGTTTTTCTTTTCCTTTGTGATCAGATCAATGAGATCACTGTGCAGGACCAAGAAGAAGTTGAACCGTTGGTTCGTCTATTTCATCATGTCGTCTTGCAGCCCAAGCCCTTAAAGGAGGTTCAAAGCGGTCTCTAACCACATCAGGAGCCATCTCATCATCACAAGGAAGGTAAACCAGCCCTCTCTCTCTTAGACGGGACGGTTCATTATAACACGTGGTCCAAAGAATATCAACTAGCTCTCTTTCTTCTCTAGCTGCACAAAGATCTTCGTCTGACATCCCAATGATCCTTCTTGTTCTCTCCTCAAGAAGCTGTCTCAGATTCACATCCGCTCTGTCTAGATTCCTCTCAGACTCTTCACGGGCAAGCTCTAAGAGACCACGAAGGGCGAATTCCCGGACTTCGAGGTCTTGGTTGGATGCTAGGTGGATCATTATGCGAGCGAAGCCAAGATCTCTAACGATTCTACAGTCTGAGTTGCTTTCTTGGAGAAGATAGTGAATCAAGTTCAACGCTTTTCTGAAATGGAAAATAGTATTATATATGCATGGACACTTAAGAACACTCCTCCTATCTTAATGCATAAGATTAAAAACGTTTTTACCTTTGGAATCTAACGGTACCAGAGACCAAAGCGTCTCGCAAGCCAGCATAACCATTTGCAAGACGGAAAGCTGTAATTCCGGGTTGGTTGTGACGGATAAGAGCTGCAATGCAGGAAGCAATATAAAAGATCTGTCAAACTTTGGGTCCTCAAGCAATTTTTGCTATATATAGTAACTCTTACATGATATAGCACCGAGCGCCTTGGTCCGGACTCTAATGTCTGGATCAGCAATAAAGTTGGTTAATAAGGGCTCGAAGCCATTTGCCTCCATAACAAGTTGCTGGCTACGAGGATTGTTTTGGACAACAGTGGTCAAAACATCGGCTGTCTTAGCTCGAATCTTCGCATTGGAGTTCTTAAGATAGCTAAGGAGAGGGACCAAACCTCCAATAGAATGAAGATCTGAACATTGATGATTCAAATTTGTCAGATGAGAAGAAGAAAACCTTCACAAAACATAACAAAAACCAAACAATGGTTTATGTAAGAGATCAAACCATTTGCCAGATCGATGGACTCGACGTGTTCCTGCAACTCATCCAACATTCCTGTCCAAATAAAAAAGTAGCAATTTTTTAAAAAAGTTTGAACATAAAACTGATCAGACAGGTGCTCTTGCATAACCGAACAAGCGAAGAACCTTCAAGATCGTCAGTTGTAACTCCTTGAGACTCCAAGAGTTGTTCAGGCATTTTCATGATCTGAGATATTTGTTTCATACGCGAAATTGAATCGATGGTGTGTCCTTGCATTGCTTCCATGAACCATCGTCGATCTTCCTCACTAGCCAGGACACAAATCTCATATCAACAATCGAAATTTACAGAACAATAATCATTATTAGCAAACAAATTCACATCGAAATTCCCGAGAAATCACTACAAGACTAATCATTGAACAAAACTAAAAGAGAGTAAGATCGGATCAAGAGTAAAGCAAAGGTATTTCCATCGAATCTAAAGCGGAAAAGAGAATAAGAAAAAGCTCAGGGGGACCTCAAACGGCGAGAAGGGGAAGCTCCATCAGAATGGGAGAGGCTCCATTTAAGCAATCCGTCCCAATTGGGTCCATTGTTCGCCATTTACGCTTCTTCAAAAGAACAAAGAAACAAGTAAACAACACCAGAAACGCAAAACTGTGGAAGATAAAGAGCGGAAGAGATTGTTGTTGATTTATTTATTTCACGAACAGAGAGATATTTTTTTTGTATGGATAGACAAAACACGTGGCCAAGTTGCAGAGATAAACGGACCAAACCACTTTATCGGTTAAGGAGAATGAGTGGAGAGGGACCTACCATGCGTGGATCAAAACGACGGCGTCTGCATCTATTGGATCGCGGGTCCAAACCATCCTACAAGGTACGTATGGCCCAAATGCGGGGAGTCAGTAGAAGTAAAAATCAGTTCTTGAGAAAGATTAACGTTTAACACTTAACAGATTAATTAGTAGTTAATCATAGTTTAATGTTAATCGGATTACATCTTTGAGTGTCTCATAGAGAAGTTTGAAATAATTAATCACCATATTCGATTCCTAATATTCAGCGTTATATTAGAAAGAGTGTAATATACTTCTTTTGGATCATCAGTTTATATATTTTCTCTTTTTGTCAAGTCTTTTTTTGTACTATCGATAGATTTCAGATTTGAAATAATGCAATAAACCGAAAGTCAAAAAATCAAAAAGTTCATTACAAAACATATATTATCTATACGGGTGTTGAATCACAACCTTACATGAGTTTAATCATCTATTATGACTTATTACAACCTACACCATCTCAATAAATCAATAGCAACCATACCTTTCCGGGTTGTTGAATTGTTCCCAAATTATTTTTGGTGGAGTAATAACTAACTATATATGTAACCTATTATCTACCACTATCTTATGTGTTAGAAAATCAAGATCCTAAACTTATATAACTTATATAATTCTTAATATAATCTAAGACCGGATCGTATATCAAAACTACTTCCTACCCCAAAAAAAGAAGCGTTAATTGAGTTTCTATTCATCCGGTCCGGTCAGACCAGAAAGCGTGAGCGACTAAAACTCTATCAAGAAGGTCTTGAGGCACAGGTTCGCCTCTCCTTTGCCTTGCTGATATCTTTGCCGTGTGAACCAATGTTTTCCATTTATCCTGTTGTAAGTTACACATATGAATCATATTTAAGATGCTTAATTTCTTTATTTATTAACAATAAAAATTAGATTATATATATGCATGCAGCCTTGTTATTTATAAATAGAACACACCTTGAGGTCAACGTAAGTTCGATGATTTGCATGGTCAAATGCATGAGACTTAACGTCGCGCCACCTGAAAAGCATCAATATACAAAGAAGGTACAAGATTCAATATTTAACACACCCAAGTTACAGTTTAAAATTAAACAATGATATTAAAAACATCAGTAAACCTAGAAATTTGGAGCTTAAAAATATTTAATTACCTTCCGGTGCCGAGCCTTTCTACGGCCTGAACCAATGCTTCTACTTCTGAGACCGTGAATGGCCGTCTGATTCTGCGTTGAACCATCTCTAGCTGCGAGGCCGGTTTCATGCGAACCGGTACCACAGGTTTAGCTACCACCGTTTTAGTACTCTCCATGGACCCCGGAATCCTAATGAATTTTGTATTTAAAGTTGAGCATCATGATCATTCTGACCGCGATAAATTAGAAATGCTTATTCATATAATTGATTTAGATTTTTTTTGTAGACTACTAGTTTATACACACACAAAAAAAAACCTTATTTATGGATGAACAACAACTACTTCTATTATGGTTTTATTTATGTACCTAAGTCGCGTTTTCGGAGAAACAGCGGTTATAGCTGTTGTTTCTGATTTCCGCGGTTCTAGCGTGAATCCCAAAGAGCTGAGGTTGTGGTTGTTGTCATCATCATCACGAGGGATCCCAATCTGAAGAAGCGTTTTGGAGTCATCAACGATGGTTTTACCTCGAAGAAGCACTCCAATATTTAGTCCATCCTTAAGAATCCGTTTAACCGCCTCCAATACAGCTACTTTAAGTGACCCTACCGTGGCTGAATCGGGAATGTCCACCAATAGCTCCGAGATTTTCAACGATTTGATACCAAATTTGACTGAAAAATTACGACAAGATCGAATCTTAATTATGTAAATAAAAATTATTATTCATATAGATTTGACCTCCAAAAGATCATGATCCATATATACCGGTACACGGAGCATCACGTGATTCATGTCGATGATTTTGGTAAAACAACTTTCTTTTCTTCAAGGGATACAGATTCTGCGACTCTTGGCTGCTACAACCTCTCTCTTTCGTGGAGCACATCTTTCTTTTCCCGTCTAACAGAAATCCAAAGAAACTCTTAATAATTCAATCTTTTATGTAAAAAAAGCTTTCGGTACGTACAATTAAAGTTAGCGAGTGTGACTTGAGAACTTACCGATATTGGAGTTTTCTACTTCTTGTGTGATTGGAGAGCTAGAACTGGAAGGACCAAGAGCTAACCAGTCCTTAGACAATAACACATGAGAAGAAGGTTTCTCTCGATCACAAGGTTGAGGCTTAACCTCAACTTCCATTGTCTCTAAAAAGTTATTGACGGCGAAATCGTCTTTTGTCTCCTTTGTTTCATAGGCCTTGCGATCACCTGAGAGTTTTCCGGCCACTTGTGCTAAAACCTCAAAGTCGGATCTATGTTTTTTCTTATATATTTGCCTGCGTCCCTGAAAAAAAAAGGGGATACACGATCGAGTAAGTCGATCGTATGTAACTTGTGGAAGAAGAGGAAACCTTGTTGGACGCACCCTGGGTGATCTATAAGCCCTAGGAACAACAGGAAGTTGGTAAGCATCATAACCAGAGTCTAACATGATCCTTGCAACACACGCAACTCCAAATTGCTTACGTTAAGCCTGAACCATGCGCAAATTTTTTTTAATTATTTGTACACAGAAATCAGATCACAGAACACAACATTTGAGGAAAATCAAACCCGTAAAATGTTTTTGGATTGAATCACATATACAGACAACCTTATGATTGATTGTCTCTCTATCGTTTCTCTGAATTGCTTTCGTTTTGATTTCGTGTGAGAAAGGAAAAGTGAGATTTATGTTAGAATTTGTTTGTGGGAAATAAGACATATAGAAAGATGTAAGCCGCAAAACACCCGCCTTTAAAGTTGGGTTTGTGTCTGAACAAAAACCCCATGAAACCACAAAAATTCTTTACCAAAAAATAAATAAATTAAATACCAAAAGTTTCAGAAAAATTTGAACTCAGTTTTGACAACATCTGTCACCATCTAATTAGTCTGAAATTATCAGTAAATTAAAAACGTTTTCTGTGTTTTTCTTTTCCTCTAAAAGCAAGGTTTTTATTTTTGTGGGGCTAAAACTAACAAACGGTTTATTATAGCTTTTAGCCCTAAACCCATCCTCCGAACACTTTGGACCAGTTCTTCCGTTCCGAGTTAGGTGATCCACTACTTCTTTTAACATCAATCCTGGTTTTGACACGTGGGCGACTCTCCATTATTTTTGGATAAATCTCATCTCATTCACTAATATTTTCTCGTTGTGAATCGGCGGTTTCTTTTCGGGTTATTTACGTAGCAGTAGCACAATGGAGTGTTGTTTGAATCGAGACCATGTTAGGACATAGTAATCAGTTAGAAGAACGTGTTGATAAGATGAATACGCGGGTAAATCGAATAAAAGTGAATGGAATAATGATTGCATAACAACAATGTTGTAATTTTGAGAGGGATGTAAAAATTATGGATACAAAACAACAATGTTGAAATTATATGTGATATGGTTCTAAAATCTAAATGGTTTTCTATGTTATGTTTGATTTTTCTTTCTTCTTCCTTTCTTGTGATGATGACTCGTTGATTAGTTCAGCGTAAATGGAATAGTTATTAATATATCGCTATATACGATTTTCGTTTAGGATTTTCGTAAATGGAATAGTTAGTTAAGGATTTTCGTTTTCCTAAATCAATGGACTTGTTAATAAATTATTGATGGAGTTGATTTGATTCCGGTGAAGTATTATTATTCAACACCAATTTTTTAAAATGTTTCGGTCATAAACCTAAATTCATATATGGTTAAATGACATAACTGAACTCGTACTAATAGCAAGACATAACATAAGTTATCTTTCGAAAAAGGATAAAACCTAAGATGTAAAAGAACCAACTCTTTGCATTTTGATGTTTAAAAAGTATTGATCTTCTCTATCCAAATGATATATCTCTTTTCTAAATTGAAAATACGTATTCAAGTATTTAGTTTGAATGCAAATTTTAGTCGTACTGATCCAATAAGAATTAAACTCAAAATCTAAATTCATTAAATCCAACTTTTGGTTTCGTATTAGTCACCAAAACCGGAAACATACACAAGAAAACTATAGTACTTATTTTTTTTTGTTAGTCTTATGGAAAATTGTTTTACTGGTAGGATTAGGAACCGTGTGATGTATATTTGGTGGAGACCGTTGACTAACTCTTTGCTTTTTCTTGTTTTCAGACACAAACTGCAAAGATAATTTCCTTTTTGTGTAAAGAACTTGCCTTAACTCCAAAGTCCAAACCGATTAAAACCCTCATAGAGAGAGAGAGAGCAAACACGAAAATCTCAAATTAAATCTCAAAATCTCTCGAATTTTGTTCAAAGCTCGATTTTTTTTGTTAATTGCTTCCATGGGTGAGAAGGATTCAGAGACAGCTCCGATTTGGGGAAAAACCCAACAGAGAGAGAGCAATACCCACCCAATGGATTTAGAATCGCCTTCTCTATCTGGGCAGCAGAATCGATCGCAGAATCAGAGTCGAGGCTCTTATGAAGAACGAGGAAGAGGAGTTAAGGAGTTTCGGAGCTGGTACTCTTGGCTCATACCCTGTTTCGTGATCGCCAACGTTGTCGTGTTCGTGATCACCATGTATGTCAACAACTGTCCGAAGAAATCTGGAGACTGCTTCGCGGGTTTCCTGGGTCGGTTCTCGTTTCAGAGCACAAGGGAGAATCCTCTTCTGGGTCCTTCCTCTCTCACGTAAGCTTCTCCTCTTATGGTTCCTTTTTTGCTCTCTGTATCTTCTAAACAAAGAACTGATTTTGACCGGAAGAAGTAGTAGCTGATTGCTTTTTAGTATGAGTCAACGATGTAGATTGTAGAATAATTTGGAGTAAAATACGAGTAGAGTATAGAGGAAGTGTGTTTCTTTCTCGTCACCCTTTTGAAAATTCAGAATCGTTCTGATTTTGGTTAGTTTTTTTACTTGCAAAACAGATTACAAACAATGGGTGGATTAGATGTAAAAAAAGTGGTTAAAGGAGATGAAGGATGGCGTCTACTTTCTTGCAACTGGTTACACGGAGGAGTTGTTCATCTACTCGTGAACATGTTGACTCTCTTGTTCATCGGTATACGTATGGAACGTGAATTCGGATTCAGTAAGTAATCTCTGCCTCTCCCTAAGATTCGATTTTGTGTGAGTTTGTTATATATCTTGTGAAGACCATCTTTAGTAAAACCTTTTGTTTGGTTGTTGTCAGTAAGGATTGGTTTGCTCTATTTGATATCGGGCTTTGGAGGAAGTATATTGTCAGCTCTATTCCTCCGCTCAAACATCTCCGTTGGAGCATCTGGTGCCGTGTTTGGTCTACTAGGAGGAATGCTCTCTGAGATATTTATCAACTGGACAATCTATTCTAACAAGGTACAGTACTGATGATGAAACCTTCGTTTTTTTTAATATGGTCTTAAAGATTGCAGCAGCTTTAATGTGTAATGCTTTGTGCTATACAGGTTGTGACGATCATAACTCTTGTATTGATTGTGGCGGTAAACTTGGGACTCGGTGTGCTCCCTGGAGTAGATAACTTTGCTCATATCGGAGGGTTTGCGACTGGGTTTCTACTTGGGTTTGTGCTCTTGATCCGTCCCCATTACGGATGGATCAACCAAAGAACCGCTCCTGGAAGTAAACCGCACAAGTACAAGATGTATCAGGCGGTGTTATGGACCGTCTCTCTTCTCATCTTGCTAGCTTGGTAAGTGTGACATTATTAACTATATATATGTATATCAGTCTTGAGATTTGCTTGAACAAGACAAGAAGAGGATAACACGGAACCGGTTTCTTTGCTTTGTCAGGTTCATCTCCGGTTTGATATCTCTCTTCAACAATGTCGACGGAAACAAACATTGCTCATGGTGTCATTATCTTTCATGTGTTCCAACTTCTAAATGGAGCTGTAACCGAGAACCAGCCACTTGCACGGTAAAAAAAAAACTTTATTGCCATTTTCATTCCCTGGTTTCTCTCCGGCCTCGAGATCGAATCTCCTTTCAAGGTCTCTGATCAACATTTTGTTTTTTTTTGTCCTGTAGACGTCTCAATTAGGCAACCAGTTGAGCATAACTTGTATGAGGAACGGGAAGTCGGCATCATACATTTTGCCAAATCCCTCGAATTCACGGATCAATAGCTTATGTGTTCAGCTTTGCCGTTGATTTACTGGTTATAGAGAGAACACACATACCTGATACACACACACACACCATTGTATCTTCTCCGTCTCAGATTCTTTCTTGCTTATTATGTGTATATATAGAGAACACACATATACACCAATGCTGTTCTGTATTATATTTGGGTTTTGAGACACCTGGTAAATTTTAACATAGTCGTGCTTAAATTCTAATTTAGACGAGAAAATTCATGATACGAATTGGTTTTTGTTTTAGAAAATATAAACTCAGTGCCATGACCAACCAACTCAGTATTTTTTTCATTCTTCTTTGAATCCTATGTTTATTTTCCCTAGCCTGATATTCTCAGCATTGCAAATAAGAACATTTACTTTTTGAACACAAAAATAAAAATAAAAATGAACGCCGTCTGAGGGGATCGAACCCTCGGCCACGGGATTAAAAGTCACGCGCTCTACCACTGAGCTAAGACGGCTGCGTTGTTGATTTAGTCTTCTAAATGAAATAACGCAACATGAACCATATCAAAATCGATAGCATATTTTAATGCAATTTGGCTTTATCTTTTCTTTTTTTTTGGGTCAAAATATCTTTTCTTTATTTATGTAGACGAGTCAATTAGGTAACATTTTGCCAGGTCCCTTGGATTCCTGGATGAATAGCTTATGAGCTCAGTTTTATCGTTTGATTTGCTGGTTTTACAAAACACACTCCATTCTTCCATTACAAATTCATTCTTGTTTATCTTCTGTATATTTGTAGGAGTCCTTGTTGAATAAATAAATTAATGGTTTACCAAAATATATTTCAGTGTTAGATCTCCTGTTAATTTTCATACATTGTGCTGGTTCAAATTTCTGTAAGAGAGATTAGCTAACTTTTCATTTCTCTTTGTATCAAATCTTATACACCGTGCCCTGATCTTAATTTGTTTTAAGTATTAGACATTTGATGCATTGCAAAAAAAAAAAAAAAAAAAAAAAAACATCTACAATTTACTTTTGAAAATTAAAAAAACATTCGTAAGAAAAATTCGCCGTCTGAGGGGATCGAACCCTCGACCACGGGATTAAAAGTCACGCGCTCTACCACTGAGCTAAGACGGCAACCATGCTTACAATTATGTATAACAGTTGTTATTAATAACTTACATTAAGACGCAACAACTTGTTTATTGAAAGGTTCACCATATAGAAACGAAACATTATATTCGCACAAAAAATAAAAGAAACGAAACATTATAAGCAATTTTGAACACATCATGTTGCTAGACAAACTCAGTACGGCTAAAAATGAGAAGAAGCAGCGAAGCAAACGATGATTAATTTGCCCCAACACTTCCTAGTTTCACACTTCAAAGATGAAACTAGAATAATTAAAATAAAGAAACACATGTGTATATATAGAGATATCATTTGGCTCACGCTGTGTTTTCATTTTCGTTTAAATGCATTGACCGTAGCTCAGCTGCGTCGAGCTCTCTCACAAAAGTGTCAGGCCTATAGAATCCGGTTTGCAGATCGGGCATCCACCATAACTTTTCTCCTCTCCTCGTTGTTGTAACTTCACTTTTAGACGTTGTCACAATGTATGGACCTAACTCTTTTGCTATGGTTTCAGGTCTGTAGTATCCAGTTTCACGGTCTGCTGTCCACGGTGGCTTCTCTCCGCTGTTTCTTATTGCATCATATGCCCTTTGAGAGGCTTGTGTGATCATAATAGATCTTCCCCTACCATTATAAAAATTAATTCCCAGTCAGTTTAATACGCTATGTGTTCCTAATAATTAACAACAACAAAAAATTGTCTGAATTTCTAGTTATACAAAATGGAATGACTTACATTACGATTCTGTTGTTGACAGAACGAGAGAAACATTGGAGGCTGAAAAGCGATTGAGACATTAATCCCATCAGAATTACTAAGGTATAAAAGCTAAGAGAATATCTATAGAGATAAGAAAGATATGGCTTTATATAGTTTTAATGTTTTATATAGGAACTTGCTACTAATAAGAATGTGTTGTTGTACTAAACTAATACTTTTGACTTTGTAATGTTGATTAGACTTTGGAAAAGACAAATTAAAATTAACATTGACAGATTCTGCACGAAAGAAAACAAATATATATAGTAGGGAGTTTATGAGAAGTAGTAGTCCATTGCTCGATCGGACGTCAAATTAAAAAACATTAAAAAAATTACAAACTGGACAATGACCTAAACTTACTTAAATTTAAGCGTACGTGCTATTTTTTAATTAAGTTATTATTTAGATATTTGAACAATACTTGTTGAGTGAATTGGTCGTGAAAAGAAGGGTTTCTCTGAACGCCTGAGCGGTCATATACTCAAATCGTTTTGAAGGGTCAATATAAAAAAAGTGGCTTTTCTTCGAATAAAATAACGACATTTTTGTTTGGCTCAACTAGTTAGAACATACTTTAATACTTTACGTGATCAAGTGTAAGGAGCAAGAGATAACTCGGACATTTGGTAATTACAACGTTTTGCAATCTGATTGTTGTATGTAGCGTACAAACTCCTTCGACCCTTTGACTATTTCGATTCGAAGTTCGAACACTCAGATGATGTACGTCAACAAGAACCAGAATTCACCCCCAAAACAATATATTTGTAAGTCATTTTGTACTATTATTTTTCCTGCATAGGGTTTGTTGACAAACAGTATAAGTTTAATTTCTTCTTTTATTTTATTTTTCTTTGATAATCAGAAAATTCCATAGCTTTCGTCTTTCGTCCATAAGACCATAATTTTCCTATATGCTTGAAAGTTGAAACCTGCCTTTGATAATAAACTAGTATATATGTAGATGATGAGGTTTCTGTCCTTGTTTGATTTCTTCTTCCGAGAGGAACTCATCGGACCTGAGAGAGATTGTTGTGTGATATGTCGATGTTCGTTCGCGCAAGCAAGTCTCTAAAACATTCTGGAATCGGACCTGAGAGATTGCTGTGTGAAAGGTCGAGTGTCTCTAGGTTCTGTAAAGAGCAGAACTGTGATGGGATCTCTCCGTGGAGCTGGTTGTGGCTGAGATCAAGAGTTTGTAGCTGAGAAAGCTTTGTTAAACCCATGGGGATGTTTTGGTCCAGCTCGTTTCTGCTCAAGTTCATGTAGTAAAGCCTTGGCAAAGAGTCGAGTGTCGCCGGAATCTCAAAGCTGAATCTGTTTGAGGAGAGATCAAGGTACTCAAGAGTAGCTAAGAGTCTGATCCCTGAAGGGATTCTTCCGGATAGCTGATTATCGTTTAGTTGTAGTTTCGACAAGCGGTTGAGTCTGCTGATTGATTCCGGGAGCTCGCCGGAGATTCTGTTGGACGATAGGTCGAGCCGGCTTAGCTGTGTCATGTTCCAAATCTCCGGTGGGATATGTCCGGTGATGTTGTTGTGGGTGGCGATGAACGCGGCCAGCTTTCGACTTTTCTCCCACCTCGGTGAAATCTCTCCGTGGAACTTGTTGTTGCTGAGATCAATGAAGTTGAGATACGGGTACTCTCCGAAAGCCTCTGAGATATCTCCGGAGAAACTGTTCCCTTTGAAACTCGCTCTGATCAAGTTCTTGCAATCTCTCAAGCTTTTAGGAATGGTGCCTTCGAGGTGATTATCATCAAGCGTGAGATTCGCGAGGTTGACGCCGCTGCTGCAGAAGGTATCAGGCAAGACGCCGGTGAAGTTGTTGGTGTCGAGTTGCAGGACGGTTAGCGCCGAGGAGTTTGCGACACCCGGCGGGATCGGGCCGGAGAGCTGGTTATCACGGAGGAATAGCCATTGAAGCTGAGACAACTTGCCAAACGAATTAGGAAGAGGGCCAGTGAGTTTGTTCTCACTAATCTCCATATCAATCATTGATTCCATGTCTCCTAGCTCCTCAGGGATAGAACCGTTAAGCTTATTCGCGTAAAGATGAAGAATGGCTAAGCTTTTGAGGTTTCCTAAAGTAGAAGGAATCGAACCGGTAAGGTTGTTTGTGTGGAGGCTAAGGGTATCTAAATTGGTCATATTACCAATCTCTAGAGGGATTTCACCAGTGAGCCTATTTTCAAACATGGTGACAAGTGTTACGTTCTTCAAGTTTCCGAAACTGGCAGGGATTTGACCGGTTAGGTGGTTTCTTTCAAGGCATAGCTCTTTAAGGTTTGGGAGGTTTCCGATTTCAGGAGGAATCGAACCAGAGAGAGTATTGAGGAAGAGGTAAAGGTTAGCTAGTTTGGTTAGGTTTCCAAAAGAAGAAGGTATTGGTCCGGTTAAGAGATTGTCAAACAAGGCTATTTCTTGAACCTTAGTCAACAAACCGATTTCAGATGGAATCGATCCGTTTAACTTGTTCCTTACAAGATGGAGAGTTTCTAGGTTACTTAGATTACCAAGCTCACGTGGGATCTCACCAACTAATTGGTTAACGGACAACTCGAAGTAGATGAGTTTGGGGAGTTGTCCGAATTGAGGAGGGATGGTTCCAGAGAAACGGTTCATGCTAAGATCAACGTAAGTGAGATTTGGGAGAGACGAGAAAGGAAAATCTTGGAAAGTACCTTCGATACCAGTATTGGTAAGATTTAACCTTACGATGCTATCGCGTACGCAAGAAACACCGTACCAAGTTGTACAGAAGCTGTCTGGGTTGACCCAAGAAGAGAGCTTTGAAGATCTTGTCTGGTTCGTGAAAGTTGACTTCCATTTTAGAAGAGCATTAGCTTCTGAAACAGTAGCAGAAGCTGTAAGAGAACAGCTCAAGATTGTGAAAATGATCAAAAGGACTTGAGGCCTGTCTTTACAAGCCATTTTCTCTCTATATATCTCTCTCTATCGATCTTGAAATGAGATATATTAAAATGGGTTTTTATATTCCCGGGTTTGTTTTGTTCATACACAATAGAAGTATTATTTAAAGCGTTCTGCAAAATTCAGTTCGTTGACGAGTCGTGAGAGTTGATTTGTCACTTGATACTAGACAACAAATAAGTCAGTCAATAGTTTGAATTTTCTTTAAATATTTTTTCTTCCTCCAGAAAATTACTTTAAAAATAGCCGTTCACTTTGACAAATGTTGAAATAACAACAATTCACGATTCTTTGTAATTACACTTGATGGATAAACTGTTCCTTTTATTTAGTTTAAATCAGCTCATCCCACATATTATTGTCATTTGTATTATGCAAATGTTATTTCACTTTGATAACCGGACCGGACTGTACATTAAAACATTTAGCACGGTCTTCCCAATTCGTGTAAACGGGTATATCGTCGAGTGGGACCTTTAAATGAGTATCGATTTACCAAACACCTTTGTTTTCTCCTTAAAATTACACTATTTGCCACTGAGCACTCCGGCGAGTGAGGCCGGCATTTTGCTTTTTTTTTCCTATTTCCCTCCCGAGAAATTTGGCAATTTCCCTCAGTCGCAATGTTGCACGAGCTTCTTCTAGCCCTCCTGGGTTTCACCGGAGATCTTATCGTCGACGAGCGTGAGCAACGGAAAACCCTAGGCCTCGATTCCCCTCTCTCGGATGAATGTACCTTCAAACTCGCTCCCGACATCTCCTTCATCGAACCCAGCGAAAGGTACTCTACTCTTCTTCTCTGCGCTTCATGATCTGTGTGATTGAGCTGATTCCGATTCCGATTCCTTTATCTCGTTTGTTATGATGCGCTCCTTGCAGGGACCTGATCGAGACGTTGATCAAGCTAGGGTTCTACTACAGGGAGCTCGACAGGTTTGCGAAGAAGTCGCGGAACTTGAGTTGGATAAGGTCCGTCACCAGCGTGCATCCGTTGGAACGCGCCGATGAGTTGTCGAAGCAGAGCAGAGAGGAGAAGAAGCCAAGCGTGTACCGCAGAGCCATTGCTAATGGAATCGGTGAGATCCTTTCTGTCTACAGGTCTGCTGTTCTTCACATTGAGCAGCTGCTATTGGCAGAGACTACGCCTATTCTGGCTACCGTAACGCAGGGGCTCAATAAGGTACATTCACAAAACACTTTGATACCATTTGATGATTGAGAGCTTTATGAATTTTTACGATACTTGTCTTTGTTTCTCTATCTAGTTTTTCGTTCTTTTCCCGCCTCTCTACGAGGTTGTTCTGGAGATTGAGCGTGATGATATTCGTGGAGGGCAGCTTCTGAATGTATTGAATAAAAGGTGTCATTGTGGTGTCCCTGAGCTCAGGACTTGTCTCCAAAGGTATTCTCACTGGTGCTTTTGTTCCTCGCTTGTTCCATCTACAGTGAACTGAAATCATCTTTTGATCCAGTGTCACCATTTGTCGAAGTGCTTATTCTCCATATCCATGTGTAGGCTTCTTTGGCATGGGCATCAGGTCATGTATAATCAACTTGCGGCTTGGATGGTCTATGGGATTCTCCAGGATCCTCATCAAGAGTTTTTCATTAAGAGGTATCATTTTTATCTTGGAATTTGTCTCGTTAATGACGCCACTACTGGTTCTCATGAACTCTTTTATGGTTCTTCTCAAACAAATGTAGAACTCATTTCTGATTTACTTGCAGACAGGAAGATGGGGATTTAGATCATCGCTCATCTCAGGAAGAACTATCTGAAAAGTTGGCTCGTACCTCTGTTCATGAGACATCTTTAACTGATTGGCACTCTGGATTCCACATTTCTTTGGTATTCTCCATGCCGCCACTTTCTATTTTCATTTCTAGGTGACGTTACCAGATTATTGATGTTTCTGTGCTTATATTGCAGGATATGTTACCTGATTATATTCCTATGCGTCTTGGTGAGTCAATTCTTTTTGCTGGGAAAGCCATAAGGGTTTTGCGGAATCCGAGTCCTGCTTTCCAGTTCCAGAAGGACAAGAGTTTTCAGCAAACAATGCGCGGCTCCCAGAGGATACGAGGATTTATGCATAGCGATTTCCCTGAGAGGGAAACTGAGTTAGATGCAGATCTTACTGGGGAAGAGTTGCTTCCACAATCTGAGGCAGACAAGATCGAAGCTATGCTCAAAGATTTAAAGGTACTGGTTCGGAAACTGTCCCATGGCACATAATCTTTTTGGTAGCAAAGTGTATCAATCATGTTAACAGGGTTGATTTCGGCTTCAGTGATGGAAAACGTGATCTTTTTTTCTGTGTATGCATGGAAATAGTATTTGCCTTTCTCCTAGGATCATGTTAGAGCTCAGATTTTATGCTTAACTTAAATGTATACGTCTACGTGCAGGAACTATCTGAGTTTCACAAGAGATCATTTGAGTGCACTGTTGATTCTGTTCGAGCAATAGCAGCCAGTCATCTTTGGCAGGTTCTCTCACTTGACAACTTTTGGTTATATAATCTCTTAGATCATTTGTTTTTTGTGTGTGTGTGACACTGCCTTCCTTTTTACAGCTTGTTGTTGTGCGTGCTGATCTAAATGGTCATCTTAAAGCCCTAAAAGATTATTTTCTCTTAGAAAAAGGAGATTTCTTTCAGGTAAACTCCGTAAAATATCTGCTGGCACTCTTAAATGGAAAATAAGGGTGGTTTATGTCCCTGTCGTTTGTTCATGTCCTCGTGTTCTGGACTTTCTGATTTCAGTGCTTTCTGGAGGAAAGTCGCCAGTTGATGCGTTTGCCTCCTCGCCAGTCAACTGGAGAAGCTGATCTTATGGTACCATTTCAGTTGGTATGTGGTTACAACACACAAGGGTTTTCACAGTATAAAATACGTGTCATGTCATATTGTTTTTATAACGCTCTGTCTTTGGGGAACACACAGGCTGCAACAAAAACCATTGGCGAGGAAGATAAGTATTTCTCTCGGGTATCCTTACGGTCAGTAACACATCAAGTACTTAATTCGATCTTATATTAAATGGACTTTTTTTTCCAGCTTTTGAGTTAAGTGGGAAGCACACATTAATAGTTACTTCTCCCAACTGTTCCATAATTTGGCTGTTTTAACTGGTGCTTTCACCAGGATGCCTTCATTTGGAGTCGCAGTCAGATCTTCTCAAGCCGACATGGCGAGATCTAAAGTATCTCTTACTGGGAAGGCGAACCTTACATCAGACACCTCTGTGGATGGCTGGGACGCTATTGCTCTTGAGTATTCTGTTGATTGGCCCATGCAACTATTTTTCACTCAAGAAGTTCTTTCTAAGTAAGAATCCTTGGCATTGCGTGTATCTCTTTTTCTTCTAATTTTTCTCACTTCAAAGTCCTTGCATCGATTTAGTTGGCTGTTTGATGGAACTTGATACTTTGTCTGAGAGCTATAGACTTGTGATTTAGGTATCTCAAGGTGTTCCAGTACTTGATAAGGCTGAAGAGAACTCAGATGGAATTGGAAAAATCATGGGCTTCTGTAATGCATCAAGACCACTTGGATTTCGCTCAACATCGGAAAGATGGTACAAACGGATCAATATCGCAGCAAAGACGACAAGGAATACGACCCATGTGGCGAGTCAGAGAGCACATGGCGTTTCTGATAAGGAACCTTCAGTTTTACATTCAGGTAAAGAAACTTGCGGTGTCTCACAAGGGTTTCAAAGTTGGTCTCAAGCCAGTTTGAAAAAACGTCTAAGGTTTTGATCCTCTCTTTGTTCTAAGGTTGACGTGATAGAATCGCAATGGAAGGTGTTGCAAGCTCACATCGACGATTCTCAAGACTTCACTGAACTCGTTGGCTTCCATCAAGAGTGAGCTATTGTTACCGTTGGGGTGTAAATAAATATTGGTTCCGTTTCTTTGCTATACCCCAGCTACTTTTACCTACTGTACTATACAAATGCAGGTACCTCTCTGCTCTTATCTCTCAATCTTTCCTCGACATTGGTGCCGTCTCGAGGATACTCGACAGCATCATGAAACTCTGTCTCCAGTTTTGCTGGAACATTGAGAATCATGAAAGCAATCCAAACACTTCGGAACTTGAAAACATCGCCGAGGTGCATTATCTTTTCTCATTCCAGTTAACTATTAACACCCAATGCTCTTTTTTTCATTAGTATTTTTTTTCGGTATTTAAGGAATTCAACAAGAAGTCGAATTCCTTGTACACGATTCTGAGAAGCAGCAAGCTCGCCGGGAGCCAGCGAGCCCCGTTCTTGAGACGTTTTCTTTTACGCCTAAATTTCAATTCCTTCTACGAGGTACTGATTTCTAAACAAAAGATATTTAGTTTTTTCTCTTTCTGGCTCGAAAAACGTTGAGCTTCTTACCGACTCTGTTTCCCGGTAACAGGCTACTACAAGGGGCCTGTTGAATGTTGTCCGGCAACGCCCAGCTCTTCCATTGTAAATGTCCTACAGTTCTGGTTAAAGAATCTCGTTTCGAAGCTTTTTCAGACATGGGGTTTGAAGTTTTACAGCAGCTATGACAGATCGGTCTGATCCTCCAAATCACGATCACATGACGCCAGTTTTTGCTCACACGCCTTTCCTTTTAAACTCAAGAGCATAAACTGTCAGTTGTGTTTCCTTCGAGCTTTTTATATGTGATGTAAATTATGTAGGGGACGACTTTAGGTCTGGTTCATTTGATTATTCGAATGCTTGATGAGGTGAGTTGTATAATCAATTCAGAACGGTTTCTTACTCAACAACGGTTAATTAGCACTAACCGGGTAACAACAACTTCTGTAATTTTCGATTATAAAAAAAGGTTTTATTTTTATGCAAATATTCATAACATCGAGTATAATCAACATCAAGCTACATATGATCTACGTCGGTATACTGAGTAAGCTTGTGTGACCAATTAAACACTACTCAAATTTGCCTTATTCTGTAGTGAAAATTGAACTTGTTTGTGTTCATTCAGTTAATAATAACATTACAAAGAAATTCAAGATGGTATTACGATAGATCATAGTTAGTAATATATCCAATACGCTACATAATTCGGAAAATTAGGTCTTCTTATTCACTCACACAGTTGTGTTATCCAACCAAAAAAAGTTAAAAAAAAAAAATAGGAACAAGACAACATTTTTTTAACCATACTACAAATAAATGTTCAAAATGTCTTTAGACCAGAATCTGAAAATATTGAAGAACAAAAACAAAGAGCAGCAGAGAAGGAAGATAAAACCCAGTAATGATAAAACTGGAAAACCCGCAGGGCTTTTCTCCGGAAGCAGAAAACTTAACTTCAAACTCAAAAGCACTTTCGGTGAACAATCGACGGGCCTGACTCATCATATTCCGCCTTTGCGATCCACATCTGCAAAAGTTAAGAACACAAGACCGATCAGTCAATCAGAAACTGACCAGAAGAATCATTTTGTTGAGGGAAAGGAAACTGATTGGATTAGTTACCTGCTGGAAGGTACTGAGGGAGGCCAAGATGGATCCTCCGATCCAGACGGAGTATTTCCTCTCGGGCGGCGCAACGACTTTGATCTTCATGCTGCTCGGTGCCAATGCAGTGATCTCTTTGCTCATTCTGTCAGCAATCCCAGGGAACATCGTCGTTCCACCACTGAGCACAATGTTACCATACAAGTCCTTCCTGATGTCCACATCACACTTCATTATGGAGTTGTAGGTGGTTTCATGGATTCCGGCGTTCTCCATACCGATCATAGACGGCTGGTAAAGAACCTCTGGGCAACGGAACCGCTCAGATCCAATGGTGATCACTTGCCCATCGGGTAGCTCAAAGTTCTTCTCCACAGCAGAGCTGGTTTTAGCCGTCTCAAGCTCCTGCTCGTAGTCCAGAGCAATGTAGCAGAGCTTCTCCTTTATGTCCCTCACGATTTCACGCTCAGCTGTTGTGGTGAAAGAGTAACCACGCTCAGTGAGGATCTTCATCAGAGCATCTGTGAGGTCACGACCTGCGAGATCCAGACGTAGGATGGCATGGGGAAGAGCGTAACCCTCATAGATAGGCACCGTGTGGCTCACACCATCTCCAGAGTCGAGCACGATACCTACAACCACAAACCAACAATTTTCATCAAGACATGGTCTTTGAATCTGCAGAACCAAAAAAAACAAAAAAAATTGCATCTGCTGATTCTGTGACTTACCAGTGGTACGACCACTAGCGTAAAGTGAGAGGACAGCTTGAATGGCAACATACATGGCAGGAGCATTAAAGGTTTCAAACATGATTTGAGTCATCTTCTCACGGTTAGCCTTTGGGTTGAGAGGTGCTTCAGTGAGCAGAATGGGATGCTCCTCGGGAGCAACACGGAGCTCATTGTAGAAAGTGTGATGCCAGATCTTCTCCATGTCATCCCAGTTGTTGACAATACCGTGCTCAATAGGGTACTTGAGGGTTAGAATACCACGCTTGGATTGAGCTTCATCGCCAACATATGCATCCTTCTGTCCCATTCCAACCATCACTCCCGTGTGACGAGGACGCCCCACGATACTTGGAAACACAGCCCTCGGTGCATCATCCCCAGCAAAACCAGCCTAAGTCGACACACAGCATAAAACCACCTTAGAGATCATGAGATTAGCTACATTGTAATATATATGGTTCAACTAATGAGTTATATAGATTCAGGTTTAAGAGTGATCCACAAAGATTCATTTTTTCAGATATGCCAATAAGTTTTCAGCTCAGTGATATGTTGGAGAATGTAAAGCAGAAGCTCAATTTTAGCATTACCTTAACCATTCCAGTTCCATTGTCGCAGACAAGGGGTTGAATGTCCTCACCGTCAGCCATTTTCTACTTTCTGCAAACAGTTAAGACCAATTTGGCATAAACAAGAATAATCAATCAATGTTCTTATATTCATATATGCTATAACCAGTGGGAATATATATCTAAACAATCACCATTATATAATAAACAAACAAAAAACAATTCATTTTCAACGAGCCAAGATAAATAATATCCTAAAAAGGCATAGTCAAATTCTAGAAGGAATGTTGTGACAAATATTCCAGATCCAGAATCACGTTTATCATTTCGATTTTATATAATGTTAAACAACATCAACCAGAGAAACACATTTGAGGGAGAAAAAAAAAACATTACACTTGCGCTCGGAAAATTACTGGCATTGATGCAAATACCGATCTTTGAAAAAGCAAGCGATATTCAAAATCAGAACAAACAATTTCAGATCGAATATCAAGAAAAATGGGATATTTAGGTTCATCGATTAAGCCACAAACATATTAACGAAACCCTAGATCCAGTAAACAAATTTAAACAAGAGAAAAACCAAAGTGACAATTGTCAATCAAAACGAGGCAGATAAATACCGAAATTCGAATCATTACACAGACAAATTACGGTATAAAATTTTACCGGAAACGGAAGAAAAAGGAGATGAGAAAACCTTTGTCGCAGCAGGAGGAATCTCGGAGAAACGGAGAAACAATCGATCAAAAAAGGTAAAATGAGAGAAGACACACAAAAAAAACGAATGGCAAGTAAAATATAAAACGGGTCAAATGCTTCGAATTCGGCTCACCCCTTTTTCCGGTTCAAGTCCTTACTGAAAAGACGTTTATAACCTCTGTTTTTATTATTTTCCTCCCTCGGTCAAGGCTTTGGTTAAATAAAATAATCACTTGTTACATACTTCCAATCAAATGATTACAAAAAAACCAAGTAACAAAGAGAAAATATATAAAATAGTTTAAAAAAAATAACGACAATTTTTAACAGTCAAGAGTCTGTAGTAGTTGAAATCATTTTGATATTAAGGATTTTTACGGTTTAATACTTTAATTCCCAGGTGAGAAACTCTGGCCTCGCTTACTTTGTAAGAATTGGGTTGATATAATCAGTTATACAATTTTAAGTCCAAAATTTAACCCGAAAGTAAAGGCCCAACAGGGGCCCAAAATGTTTGGGAAAAGGGTTAGGGTTTTTCGTTAGGCTCAGTATATAGTACACAGTTTTCAGTTAAACGTGCTCCTTTCGTCTCGACCCCGGAGAAGCTCCATCTGCAGACAAAGGTATCATCACACTTCCGATTCGATGCTCTTTCTCTCTTTGATTCCCCTTTGTCCGAAATTGTCATTCTTATGATGATGGTTGCAGAAATGAGGTTTCCTTCATTGATTTTGCAGAAATTGGGATTTTTTTTTTTTTTTTTTTTTTTGGCAGAAGATGACAACTCCGCAAGTGAAGACCGGTTTGTTCGTTGGGTTGAACAAGGGACATGTTGTCACCAGACGCGAATTGGCTCCTCGTCCTCGTGCTCGCAAAGGAGTAATGTTTCTCTCTTTGCCTCCGTTTCTTGAGCTTATACTGTTTGGATTTAGCTTTCCTAGTAAACTAGATTGTGAAATCTTCGTTTAGAGTGCATGGAACCTAGTTTCTGGTTATGTTGCTTGATTCATGGTCTCAGGGTTGATAAAAGTTTGGAGATTTGTGAATGTTGTAAGTTCACTAGAAAGTCTAAAATCCGAGCCTCTGTGAAACCATTTAATACAAGCAATCTTGTGAATGTTTCAAGTTGGCATTATCTTGCAATAATGTTGCAGCAAATTTTTCATTTTGATTCCATGTTTCTTGCTTTTATTTGTTGTGGATCTGATTGTGGTGATGATCTTTCTGATGTGGCTCAGAAAACGAGCGTTAGGACACTGTTTATCAGATCATTGATAAGGGAAGTTGCCGGTTTTGCTCCCTACGAGAAGAGAATCACTGAGCTTCTCAAGGTTGGTAAAGACAAACGTGCCCTTAAGGTAGCAAAGCGAAAGTTGGGCACACACAAGAGAGCCAAGAGGAAGAGAGAGGAGATGTCTAGTGTTCTCCGCAAGATGAGGTAAATCCCTAACTTAATAGTATAGCCTAGTTTCTTAGGTAGTGAGTTAAGTAAGAGGGAAACTAACCTTAGTTGAAAATTTTGATTCCTGACACTCATATTTGTGATTTTGCTTGTGCACACTTAGGTCTGGTGGTGGTGGTGCAACTGAGAAGAAGAAGTGAAAATCATCATCTTAAAAGTTTTGGCTTCTTGTTGCATAGTCATGATGATGATTCCTAAGCTTCTCATATTTTTTATGTTCCTTTTGCCTTTGGGATTTACAGAGAGTTTTGTCCACGACTCGTGATAATGCGTTTAATCTTATATATCCACCACTTTTGATCATTTATTTTCCATTAAAACACTGGAAATCTTACATTACTTTGAAAATTAACGAACTCATTATTAACATAGGTTGACAAACTTATATGTATAATGTTCATCTTCGAAAATAAGTTGCTCCTAATTACACATATGACTATGACATGGATAGCAACAGATCCAACTGTTTACAAGTCGTCTCGTCTCCGCATTTCCTCTCAATCAATCACTCACCATACCAATACTTTCACCATTTTATGGTACTTCTTCTTCCTTCTTTCCAAATTTCAATGTATTATATGCTAACTGCACTTAATAACAATCATCAATGCCACTATTGAGTATATTATTCGTTTCTCAATTATTCGTTTCTCAAGTCAAATTTTCTAATGAGTTTATGGACCCTCTACCAAGGACGGTTCCCTGTACTTGTACTGTAGCCACTGAAATTTACTTTTCTTCGTAAATCGACATTTCAGAATTTCTCTTCCAAGGATTATAAACATTGCCAAAAGCAGTGGATCAAAATGTTTCTATTTCTGACATTATTGTAGCTGGAACCTTTTTTCATTCAAGTTTCCATTATTAAAAAAAACAACGATGTTTCACAGACAATTTCATTCTTCCAATTCAGTGCTTGGATGTGTGACTAGTTGATATCAGGATAAGTTGTTTGAATCTAATTCAAATAAATCAAAAGGTTGATATGACTGTATTGAGTTAAAATGCAACTGCTTTACATAGAATAAAAATTTGAACTAAGGAAAATTCATGGTGTTGAGGGTTTGGGTACAATAATCGTATTCCAAAAACTGTGAAAGACTATAGTAAAGAAAATTTAATTTGCATTTATTATATAAGGGTTTTCGAATGCACACTAATGCAAACGCAAAATTTAGATGTACCCACAAACACGAATGCTAAATACAAGTTCGAAGACGACATAACATTATATGTAAATACAAACAGGAACTCTGGAATATGTAAAGTTAATACAAACGCCACGTGTGCTATAGATGCAAAGATAAACGTAAAGGCAATCACAGACAGAATAAAACACGAACGCGAACATAAAAATAGATGCAAACATAGTTGAATGCAAATACTAACGAGGATACGAACACAAATCTGAACGCGAAGGCCAACACGTATATTAAACGCAAATGCGAATGTCAACAAATAAAAAATTGTTAATGTTTTTGAACTAACTCTGTTCCTCAAAATTTGGAGGACCACTTGTTCGGCACTTTTGGCTTGCATTCATGAGAAGTCCAAATCTATTTCATAGAAAGAGAAACGGAAAAACGATCGCCTCGTGATTTGAAATTTTTATTGTTTATTTATTTTGGTAATCAGTATTCTCGTGAATTCTCCCACTATTTTTGTGATTATTGATAGACTTTTTTTTAAAGTTATATGTTCAAGAGTGTTCTCTTTCCATTGTGAAAGACATGGCCACTAGGGCAGTCGGCAGATACATGTAATATCATATTGATAGATGATGATATTTACATACTTATCTCTAATAATATCGTTCATCTTCCCGTAATGGCAAGCTCAACTGTATAAGCAACCTCATCTTTCAAGTTCGTTGTCTATTTTTTTCGTAGAAAGAAAGAAACACGTGATTTTATATATACTTCCGTGTGTCGAAGCCTGTCCATGTTAATAGTCAAAGATATTCAACTTCTCCTAACAAAAAGTCTTAAGTTCTCGGGTCGTTGTGAGAGCTACAACTTAAACTGGTCTTCCTTCTCACGAACAACAGTAAAAATCAGTTTAATTTTACTAATATCATTATAACCGTATATTTATATTATTGGAAAAAGAAAAAGGTCTACTTCATCACGACAATCATAAATAAGTGAAAGATGAAATGGGTTGAAATAAGTGTGATTAATTAGTTTATAGCATCTTTGAGACAGTCCACTACTTTTAAATCATTTTGATTATTACAGACTAGTTCTCTCTCACTCGTTAAACTCTGCATTTGGCTTGTAAAGTCTGCCACAAACTATGCTTATTTCAATCTTGACTATCAATTGACAACCATTACATTTCTAATTACTCCTATATATATAAAAAAAAATGTTGGAAAGTCGTAAGAACCCAACATAATAAAGATACCATATCTTGGAAAAATCAACACTATTGATGAAAATAATGCCAAGCTTTAATATTTTAACTGGCAAATATTATGAGAAGTCATATAGATACGTGTCACCTGTTTCCGCTAGCGAAAATCCCATCTACGCCGACGTAGCAATATGTCAACGCTGATGTCTCGCGTACCACGTGCGACTCACATGATTCCTACTTCGATTGATTTATAAGCCAGTCTATTATTTTGCAATTTTTCCGTTTTCAGATAGAGTTTTCTTTTTTCGTTGCTATCAAGAAGTTAGATATATATAATGTGGTGGCAACGCAAATAACTTGTTTTGCGCATTTTAAAAAAATCAAATAGCATGTTATTTGTTCAAAAATACAAACGAAAGTTGTGTAACTCGCGAAAATGACACGCTAAATCATAATATTCGTATTGAAAGAAAATCTAAAAATTTGCATAATTTTGTTTTGAGTCCCTACCATTTATAAAACTTGCCGACGACTAATAAGACGAAGTTGGAATATATATAAGCCACGATTTGTTGTGTGAGTACATATTTACTGTTTATAGTTTACTCTAAACCTGAATAATTCAAGGTCACACGTGAGATGCAGAGATAGGCGCACCCAACTTACAAGCAACAACATGATTACTTTTTTGAATCTTCAAACAACAAAAGTTATAAAGTTTTGCCTATAAATTTCGTCACAAAACTTCTTCTTGCTTGAACTAAAAATATCACATGTTCCAACTATAGTCTTTCGAAAGAGAGATAAACCCCAAAAAAAAACACACAAAAAAAGAGTTCTCGAAATCCCAAAAATGCCCTTCAACATAACTGCCGTGAAAACCTCATCTAACGGAGTATGGCAAGGCGACAATCCCTTGAACTTCGCCTTTCCGTTACTCATCGTCCAAACGGCGTTAATCATCGCCGTCAGTCGCTCCCTCGCTGTGCTCTTCAAACCCCTTCGACAACCCAAAGTCATCGCCGAGATCGTCGTACGTAATTCACACTCTCTCTCTCACACACACACCAACTATTTACAATTTTGCCATCATCCTTTATTTACGGATTTGCCATCATCCTTTATTTACGGATTTGCCATCGTCTTCTTAATTTTTTTTCAAGGGAGGGATTTTGCTGGGACCGTCTGCTTTAGGGAGAAATTCGGCGTACATGGACCGTATTTTCCCGAAATGGAGTATACCTATACTCGAATCAGTCGCGAGCATAGGACTCCTCTTCTTCCTCTTCCTCGTCGGCCTCGAGCTCGATTTATCATCGATCCGTCGAAGCGGCAAACGCGCTTTCGGGATCGCAGTCGCCGGAATCACGCTCCCGTTTCTCGCCGGCGTCGGAGTCGCCTTCGTAATCCGCAACACTCTCTACACCGCCGCCGAAAAGCCGGGATACGCCGAATTTCTCGTTTTCATGGGAGTCGCTCTCTCCATCACAGCCTTCCCTGTGCTCGCGCGTATCTTAGCAGAGCTTAAGCTTTTAACCACTCAGATCGGAGAAACCGCGATGGCTGCGGCCGCTTTCAACGATGTGGCCGCGTGGATTTTGCTCGCTTTGGCGGTTGCGTTAGCAGGTAACGGCGGTGAGAGCGGTGCGAAGAAGAGTCCGTTGGTGTCGCTGTGGGTTATGTTATCGGGCGTCGGGTTTGTTGCTTTTATGCTGGTTGTGATCCGACCCGGAATGAAATGGGTCGCGAAACGCGGGTCTCCCGAAAATGACGTCGTGCGCGAGTCTTACGTTTGTTTGACTTTAGCCGGAGTTATGGTTTCCGGTTTTGCGACGGATTTAATTGGGATTCACTCGATTTTCGGGGCGTTTGTTTTCGGTTTGACTATACCAAAAGATGGAGAGTTCGGTCAGCGATTGATTGAACGGATTGAGGATTTTGTCTCCGGTTTACTATTACCTCTTTATTTCGCGACGAGTGGATTGAAGACTGACGTGGCAAAGATCAGAGGAGCTGCGTCGTGGGGGATGTTAGGTCTTGTGATTGTTACGGCTTGCCTCGGAAAGATCGTCGGAACTTTTGCTGCGGCGGTGATGGTTAAAGTTCCGGCGAGAGAGGCTTTGACACTTGGTTTCTTGATGAACACGAAAGGTTTAGTGGAGCTCATTGTACTCAATATAGGCAAGGAGAAAAAGGTTAGCTTTTCTTTGCCCTTTTTTCAAATCTTTTGATAATTGTTACTTTTTCTGTTTTTAGGGTTATTGTTTTTGCTTTCAGTTATCTGAATATTATAGAATTAAAAACTAAAACCTAGTAACATCATTTGGACATTTGGGCCATCTTTAATCATTAATAAAGTCGATCGTTCATGTATATGTTTGGGGACAGCATATCCATTTAGTCTCATCTTTATCATAAAATTTGGGGACAAATATCAACTTTAGGTTGGTTTTAATTAATTAATTTCAGGTTCAATGATCAACGTAACTTATAACTTCTATATATATAGCATATATTAAAAAGTTCGTGATTCGGTATGTAACATCCGAATAGTAAAAAGACTTATACAATGAAAAAGTCGTAAACATGTACTATAGTATACAAATACAACTAGAATTAATACTGGTTGGAAAGATACGTTTAACACTTTTCTTTTTGAATTCGAATAGTTCTAGTCTGATATTGAATTATTAGGGTGAAAAATCCACGGAACCAATATCATTGGCTCTGTTTCGTTTCCCACTCTGAGGGGTTAATAGAATAACAAATCAAATGTTAATATGCATGAAAAGTGCGATTACGTTTTCGAATGGGCCAATGTTTCCGAAATCAATCACCTCGTACAGATCCACTTTCGGCACCACACATATAATATATTATATTATCTTCTTCGTTCCTGATAAAAAAAATGATAATAATAATGCAATGACAGAATGGAACAATAATGATTACCCATTAATGACTTGACTGTTTATGTGGTTATTAATTAACAGTACGTGCGTTGGGTTGGATCTGATTAGGTACTAAACGACGAGACGTTTGCGATATTGGTGCTAATGGCACTCTTTACAACGTTCATAACGACGCCGAGTGTCATGGCCATTTACAAGCCTGCACGTGGCACCCACCGCAAGCTAAAGGATTTGTCGGCGAGCGAAGACTCCTCCAAGGAAGAGCTTCGAATCCTCGCCTGCCTCCATGGCCCAGCCAATGTCTCCTCCCTCATCTCTCTCATCGAGTCCATCCGAACCACCAAGGTACCTTTATATCGATATCTTTGGGTTTACAATCTATAGATACACACACATGGTGTATTACCATTTCAAAACTCAATCGAACTGATTTATTTTGGCAGATATTGCAGCTAAAACTGTTTGTGATGCACCTCATGGAACTAACGGAACGTTCATCGTCAATCATAATGGTGCAAAGAGCCCGTAAAGACGGGGTTCCTTTCGTCCACCGTTACCGTCACGGCGAGTGCCACAGCAGTGTCATAGGAGGCTTCCAAGCCTATCGTCAATTGGGCCGAGTTGCGGTTCGGCCCATTACCGCAGTCTCTCCTTTACCAACCATGCACGAAGACATTTGCCACTTGGCAGAGACCAAGAGGGTCACAATGATCATTTTACCTTTCCACAAACGATGGAACGTTGATCACGGTCACGGCCACGGCCACCACCACCATCAAGACGGAGGAGATGGAAACGTACCGGAAAACGTCGGTCATGGTTGGAGATTGGTTAACCAGAGGGTTTTAAAGAACGCGCCGTGTTCGGTGGCGGTTCTTGTGGACCGTGGGCTTGGGTCCCTTGAGGCCCAAAGTTCGAGCGTTGATGGGTCGAATGTGGTTGAAAGGGTTTGTGTGATTTTTTTCGGTGGGCCTGATGATCGCGAGGCTTTAGAGCTCGGTGGGAGGATGGCGGAGCATCCAGCCGTTAAAGTTACCGTTGTTAGGTTTTTGGTGAGGGAAACGTTGAGGAGTAACGCCGTCACGTTACGTCCGGCACCGTCTAAATGCAAGGAGAAGAATTATGCCTTCTTGACCATCAATGTGGATCCAGTAAAAGAAAAGGTAATTCTATTTTTGTTGGTCATAGTATTTCGGGGAAATTAAAAGATCTTGTCTGTCTTCTATGAGTGTCAAAGAAATTGAGGTTTTGATCAGTTTATTTATGTTGTTGCAAAAACGAAATTAGGAACTAGACGAAGGAGCATTAGAAGATTTCAAGAGCAGGTGGAAAGAAATGGTGGAGTACAAAGAAAAGGAACCAAACAACATAATTGAAGAAACAATGTCAATAGGACAGAGTCAAGACTTTGACCTTATAGTGGTTGGGAGAGGGAGGTTACCGTCGGCCGAGGTGGCGGAACTAGCCGAGCGTCAGGCAGAACATCCAGAGTTAGGTCCTATAGGAGACGTGCTCGCCTCTTCGATCAACCACATCATCCCATCAATCCTTGTGGTTCAACAACACACCAAAGCTCATGTAGAGGAGATTACAGTTTCCAAAATTGTCAACGAGTCTTCTCTAAGTATAAATGGAGACACAAATGTATGATTAAAAAAAAAAAAGGTCTTGTTGATCTTTGCGGCTTTGCCTTAATGGTTAAAGTCGTTAAAGTTGTAGTTTATCCCCAATATATATATATATATATATATATATATATATATATATAAAGATCTCATCAACTAATAAGAATTGTAGAAAGAGCGTTCAATAGATAGATAACCATGGTGAGATGTACAATATGTGTTATGTTAACCTCACCATGCATAAGTGTCGAACCGTTTAATATATCTCACAACGACGTACGTACACATACACAACATGCCAATCTTATTATGGGCATGAAGTGATCAGGTTGAAAACTCATAGTTGATAGTTGTCACGCAAACCGCGCTAGTGTAATCGAATGCATATTGTTCTACCTTTCCAAAGGACTTTACCCAATTTCACCACTTTAATTTGTTCATATTGGTTCTCCATTTTTCTTAATTAACGTTTTCATGACACGCCATAAAAAAATTCATCCCAACCATATATAATTTCATACGCGGTTTTATCTGAAAAAAAATATATAATGGAAGTATATGTATAACCTGCTAAACCCAATGAAATCAAAATCAAAGATTCAATATTTAAACAGAAGAAACTAAGGGTCTAGATGTAAGAATCGTTTAAAAAAAAGTATCTGCTTCTAATTTTCCTTAAAATATGTAAACTATAAGATTCATGGTTTGGCTTTACATGCAAGTGACAAGGAAATAATGATGTAAGTGACAAACTACTAGGACACAGCTCAGCAGATTCAACCTTTTCTCAAAGCACAAACATATACAGTCATGTATCCTTCTTTATCCGTGATCCACTATATTTAATTCCAGTCACATAGGAAATAGATGATGACACAACCATAACATGCACAAATAACCGGTTATCAACTTCTCATATAACAACTTTATATTAGGAAATAAATGTAGGATAACCATTTAATTTAAATATATTTTGTGGCTAATATCACACTTCTATTTTACACAAACTTTGGAGCGTAGAATAAACTGAAAATCTAAACAGACTTTGTGTTTTTTTTTTTTTTTTTAATGTGATTTCTAATATGGATTTTGAATGGTTCTGTGACTTCTGTCGTTTTGGAGTAAATGTTAAAAGCTATAACTCCGTTCGTGTGATTACTCATATATATGAATCTACGAGCCTGTTTTGTTAATGTTTTTTGTTGTTTTGTTTATGCTATCTATCCATTTTTCAACCTATTTTAAACACAAATGATAATACATAATTGTTTAGTTATATAGTATTGAATACATTTAATTTCAGTAGTCCTCTGTGGAACCTCGCACGTGCCAAAGACACGTACCAATGAAAACCGAGTTACTCAACATTTAATAGGAGCAAGAGGAAAACGAAAAGAAAACGCATTAATCTCTCAGCACAAGTCTGCAATCTGAATCAGATCTGCTTCAGGTCAGATTGATCGGTGTTCGGAGCTCCGGGCTAAATGGCGGCGGCGAGACAGTTACGCACTCTCCAATCTCAGCCTGAAAACAAGGTATGCGTCGACTGCGCTCAGAAGAATCCGCAATGGGCATCGGTTTCTTACGGAATCTTCATGTGCTTGGAATGCTCCGGGAAGCACCGGGGATTAGGCGTTCACATCTCCTTCGTCAGATCCGTCACCATGGATTCATGGTCGGAGATCCAGATCAAGAAGATGGAAGCTGGAGGCAACGAACGGCTCAACAAATTCCTCGCGCAATACGGAATCCCTAAGGAGACAGATATAATCCCCAAGTACAATTCCAACGCCGCCTCCGTGTATCGTGACCGGATCCAGGCTTTAGCCGAAGGCAGGCCGTGGAGGGATCCGCCAGTCGTCAAGGAAGCAATTTCCGGCGGACGAGGAGGAGGTGCTGCGATGAATAAGAAGCCTCCGTTGGCTCAGGGCGGTTACGGAAGCAACAACGGAGGATGGGATAGCTGGGATAACGAGGATTCCAACAGATCCTCATCCGATATGAGACGGAATCAATCAGCGAATGATTTTAGAGGATCGGGAGCTCGTCCCGGCGACGGAGGAGGTGCACCGGTGAAGTCGAAGTCATCTGAGGATATCTACACGCGATCACAGCTTGAGGCATCCGCTGCGGGAAAGGAGAGTTTCTTTGCGAGGAGAATGGCTGAGAATGAGTCTAAGCCTGAGGGACTTCCTCCATCGCAAGGAGGCAAGTATGTAGGGTTCGGATCAAGCGCAGCTCCAGCACCGAGAAACAATCAACAAGATGACGTTTTCTCCGTAGTGTCTCAGGTTATTTGGATGCATTTTTCAATTCCTTTTTGGATAATTTGTAATGGGTGAATTCCGATTCCGGGTGATGATTCGTTCCTCAAAAATGGTAGGGTTTTGGAAGATTGTCTCTGGTTGCCGCATCTGCAGCTCAGTCAGCTGCAAGTGTTGTTCAAACCGGAACGAAGGAGTTCACATCCAAGGTACTTTTTAACATGTTCATGCTGCTTTGCTTTCATAAGTTGAAAAATTCACAACATTTAATTAAGGATCAATATGGAGAGTTCGTGGGAACTAGTTGTTCTGTAGCAGATTTAATGTCCTGTATAGCTTCATAGTCCTTATTTGAAAAAAATGGATTCTTTAGGCTGATTTTCCCCGTCTTAATGCCTTTGAAACATCTCTAGTGAGATCCGTTATAACTCTTTATAGACCACTATTCTTGGATTCTCTGTACATTTCTTGTTTGCCATTAAAAATTTAGGAAATGCTAATTCAAAATCAGATAAAGAAACCTTTTTTTATATTCTTTTGCAGGTGAAGGAAGGTGGGTATGATCACAAGGTGAGTGAAACTGTAAATGTAGTAGCAAACAAGACGACAGAGATAGGACAGAGGACATGGGGAATCATGAAAGGAGTAATGGCAATTGCGACACAGAAGGTCGAAGAGTACACGAAAGAAGGATCGACGAGCTGGAACCAGCATAATGAAAGCGAGAGCAATGGTTACTACCAGAATTTTGGCAATGGAAACAAAACAGCGAATGCATCATCTGTCGGAGGAGGAGGATCACAGTCATCATCTAATTACAACAATTCTCAGAAGTCGAATTCTTGGGACGATTGGGGAGAGATTGAGAATAAGAAGAAGGAAGCAGCAGCTCCAAAGGTGTCAGCAGCTTCTAATGATGATGATGGCTGGACTGGTTGGGATGATCATGATGCCAAAGATGATGGGTTCGATGGTTATTATCAAAGTGCAGGCGATAAGAAACCTGTTGGTCACAACGGGAAATCAGACACTGCTTGGAATGGTGGAGGTTTTCTCTAAAGGTAAGCAACGCTTGTAGCTGATGTAAGTGTGAGCTTTTATAACGCTAATATTCATTTTATTCGATAGGTGATACGGAGTGCAGTGAGAAAGTGTATAATTAATTAAGGCTGGGACCGTCGTGGTCTGAATATAAGTTGAAGATTGGTACATCATCTTTACAACTATTTTCATCCATTACCAAAGGTATCTTTTTTTTTCTTCATTAGTTTGCAATTTCTTGATAATCTTTTTGTTTTTGTAAGGAGTAAAGTATTTTTTTGTATAAGATCCATAGCCGACTGTTTTGCTAAAGATTCTCAGTTAGTCTTTTATATTTTCAACTGTAATCACAACTAAACGTTCTTTTTCTTCCCTAAATTGTCCTTCTTGTTCTTAGCGTACGTTATTTTTCAAAAGGTATATACATTTCATTAGTTTATCCTGCAAGCCAAGAATAACGGAAAGCATCAAGCAAGAAAATAGACCTTTTTTAAAAAAAAGAGTAAAGGGATTTAACAGATCAAAGAATTATTTGAGTGTTTGGTTCGATCAATGAGCAGAACCGCCGAATCATGATTCATTGTCTCGGTTCTTCTCTGACGCATATTGTTAAACCTGAAAACCGTCAAGCTAACCGATGAATTACTCCAGATTTTTTTTTACAGAAACTCATATTGATAACATCGTACATATATTGTCTACAAATTTGGAAGTGAGATTTTTTCTCGAATGTATATCATCTTGACCGGTAGGTTCTCCTCGGCTGGCGACTGTCCAAGACGCCACCAAGAGTAGCCAAAGCGTCCTGAAATTTCCTGATTTTAAGCAAACCCTTCACCATTGAAACTTCTTCCTCTGAAAATCTCGCTTTCTGCATCACCATGTTCATTAACTTGACCAGTGTCTCCTCCATCGACAATGTGAGAAGACCTTCAGCCAACATGTACAGAGAAGAAAACTCAGGCACAAACCCTTTCTCCAACAGCTCAACAAGAAAGTCCACTGCTTCACGGATTGGTCCTCCTCCGTTACACAGCCCACGGAAAACGATTCTGTAAGAGACAGCGTCTGGTCCCGCTTCACTCTTTTCAAGCATTTCTCTAAACAAGTTTATAGCTTCCGTCGTTTTCCTCTTTCTAAACAGCCCTTGAACCACCGGGTTATAAGCGTGCGGTGTCAAAACGATCCCTTTCATCTGAATAGACCTCAAAAGCTTACTTGCAACTTCAACTCTACCTGCTTTACACAAACCGCTTATCAAGGTTCCATAGGTAACAATGTCTGGCTCGCACCCGTTTGAGGTCATGGCCTGGACGATATCCGCAGCTTTCTTTATGTCACCTCCTCTGCAGAAATGTGTTAGAAGCGAATTGTATGTGAACTTGTCAGGTTTCTGTCCTTCCATTATCATTTGATCCATGAGCTGAGCCGCGTCTTCTACTCGCCTGCTTTTACAAAGCCCATCGATGAGTGTGTTGTACGTCACGGAGTTTCTTGAAACCCCATGTACTTCCATCTCATCGAATATCTCCTCTGCTTCTCGTACCTTGTTGGCTTTGCAATACCCATCAATCAAAGTGTTGTAAGTTACCACACTCCGTGCACAGCCGCTCGATTCCATCTGTTTAAGCATTTTCAGAGCCTCGTCAAGCTTCCCTCTCGAGCATAAGCTATCGATCAGCATGTTGTATGTGAACTCGTCGGGCTCACATCCTTTGCTCCTCATCTCATCGAACAGCTCCATCGCGACCCGGTGGTTCCTAGTCAAACACAAACCTTGGATCAGAGAGTTAAATGTACAAACGTCGGGGAGAATCCCTTTGCTGGTGAGAACACGAGCAAGCTCCGTGGCTTCCTCGACCTGATTCTCCTTGCACAACGTGCTGATCAGTGTGTTGTAAGTAACAGTGTTTGGAGAACAGTCTCTGCTGATCATCTGATCAAGAACCTCCACTGCTTCTTTCACTTCTCCCAATTTACACAACCCCGAGATCACCGAGTTGTAAGTATACACATCTGGATCATACCCTTCTTGAAGCATCACATCCATGATCTCAATAGCATGCTTCACATGCCCTGCTTTACACAAACCGTTGACTAATGTGTTGAACGTGTACTGATCAGGGAAAAAACCGCCTTGGTTCGACATCTCCTGGATGAAATTAAGAGCGTCTTCGACTCTCCCTTCTTTGCAGAAGCCATGAACAATCACATTAACACTCACGTTAGACCAAGAACACCCAAACTCAACCATCTGTTCCCTGATCCTCAAAGCTCCATCCAAGTCGCCTTCTTCGATGTAGCCTTGCATAATCGTTGTAAACGTCTTCTCGTCAGGAACAAGACCGTAACTTGGCATATCCTCCATCATCAAAATTGCGGGTCTAAGCTGATGAGCTTTACACAGAGCCTTGATCAGAACATTAAACGTGGAGACGTCTGGTTTAATCCCCCAAACACTCATCTCCGCGTGAGCAATCTCCACAAGTTTCAGATTGTTACCGTCGACGAGGAGATTCAGCATCCGGTTATAGAAATGGGTATCGGGTTTTAACCCGAATTCGTCAATCATCCAGTGAACAGTAACTAGAATCTCATCGTGCAGGTCGAATTGAGCGTAACTCTCTATCAAAATCAAGAAAGGGGAAGTACCCATTTCGCAGCCGGAGCTCTTCATGTCCTCCAGAATCTTTCTCATGTCATCGAACGAACCGGACCGGCCAAGCCGGAGTAGGATCTCATCGTAGAGAGCAGGGTCAGGGGAGAAATCGGGTTGTTTGGAGGCCGAATTAAAGAGGCGGAGGGCGGCGGAGTCGTCGGGCTGGCTACGGAGGGAGTCGAGAAGCTTGACGTCAGGGGAGGAGAGAGCGGTGGAGTGAGGCGAAGCGAAGGAGATTGAGGAAGGAGGAGGAGTGAGCTTGAGAGAGAAGGATTGGTGAGTTAAGGTTACGGATTGGGAGATGGAAAAGGGATAGAATTTGAGACAGGAGGAGAACGCCATTGTTGGAAATAGATTGATGTTTTGAGATGGAGAGAGACAATGAAATGGGGTTTAAGGATTTGGGTCGAGTGTTTTTGGATTTCGTGGTAGATTTCAGACTGTTAAGTGATCGAACCGGGTCCGTCTGTAAACCGGGTCCGTCCGAAAATCAAATCTAAAAGAAGTATAGATTTGAACCGGTTGGACCAATGTTGGGGAATCTCGAATTCAAATAAAAAACAAACCAAACTTGCTGTAAAAATTAAAAATTCATGTGAAAAGTGATTTTTTGATGCTGGCAAAGAAAGCGAAATTAATATTTTGATATTCCAATTTTTAATTATTAAAAACAACATTCAAATTGTCTGATTTTTGTTACTTCATTATGTACAAAGATTATACTTTCATTAATATATATATAATTAGAATTGTATATTATTATATGATGAGTTGTAATATCTCTCTAAATATTAAAAAGAAAAACAAATATTTCTGTAAATATTTCTGAAATATCAAAAAGAGAAACAAATACTTATCGCCTAAACTAGTTTTGTCCTTCGTCATCTTCGCTCTTTTAAAAGTTAAATATGGACCTCTAATAAAGCTTTCCTTCTGGTTCGTTGCCGCGTTGCACGTTCTCTCTCTCTATTCCCTCTTCTCTCACTTCCGAAACCCTAATTCGTTCCCCTTCGTCTTATCCTACTTTCGGATTTGTTTCGAAATCGATTTCGCAACCGTTTTCTGCAGATCTTATACTCTCCTAATTTCTTCCAAACTATATCTGATCGACCTTAGGGTTTCCACCCCGCTTTGTTCTTACCAGTATCGGTGTGAATATTTTGATTTTCCCATATACAGATGTGAATAGGGTTACTAAATCCATACATTCAAGCTTTTTTTTTCCCCATTCGATTTTTGGGTTTCATAAAGAACAAACAAAAAAAAATTCCCAAATCACCAGACAGTTTCTTCTCCGATTTGGATTAGGAACCAGTATCCGTGTTTTCCGGATCGGATTTGCAATATAAGTGTTCCCAAAACTTGGATTTGGAATTGTTTCAAGCATTGAGAGTATCAGTCACAGTATCAGGGCTATTTCCAGAATTTCTACAATGGAAGAAGAAGCAGTTTGTTTTGAGATGCCAATGGAAGGAGAAGTGGCTGAAGAGAGTCCGTCAACGAAAAACGAATTGAAGAGAGACCGTCTGTGCATTGGAGAAGATAATGTAGAAGGAGAGCTTTATTCCAGCAAGAGACAGGCGAAGGAGGCTTCAAACGACGACATCAGGTCGGAAATATCGAACCCCGTCGCGTCTCCGGTGGATAATACTTCCAGTTTTCGGGATATCACTAGCCACCCGGCTAAATCGAGCTCAGGTGATCGCGTTGGGTCTTGTTCCGGCAGTGATTCCGGTTCCGACGAGACTGTAAGCGATGAGAAACTGGGTGAGTACGGCGATGCGGTGACGTCTAGCTTTGTATTGGAGATTCCGAAGCATCTTAGCACAACCGGGATTACGAAAATCACGTTTAAGCTCAGTAAACCAAAGGAGGAGGATTTCTGTGACTTGCCCATGATCAAGGAGGCTGCTTCTTCGACTTTAGGTGTGAAAATGTCGAAGAAGATCGTCTCTGTGACTAGCTTCACTAATGTGAAGTCGCTATTGTTGACGGGTATTCTTGATGGTGCTCGGGTGAAGTACATTTCAAGCTCACCTGTGGTAAGTTTGTTCCTTTCTCGTGACATGGGTTTGGATATTCTCATTCTAGGTGATATCTGTTCTTATAGTACTTTGAATGCCTCATTAGAGAAAGCTTGACGGGATAATCTACTCGGGTGGGTATTTGTGTGGCTGTACTGCGTGCAATTTCACGAAAGTAAGTTTGGTTTTCGCGATTCGTAATAGTTTTTCTTCTTGTGTAACAGTACTGCGTGCGTTCAATTTCTCAATCTTTTAACTATGTCATATTTTGTTTTGTGGGAAGGTTCTAGGTGCCTATGAGTTCGAGAAGCATGCTGATAGAAAAACGAAGCACCCTAATAATCACATATTTTTGGAGAATGGAAGGTCGGTTTATAACGTGATTCAGGAGCTGAAGATTGCTCCTGTTGATGTTCTTGAGGAGGTGATTAGGAAAGTGGCGGGTTCTTCTCTGAGTGAGGAGGGCTTTCAGGCTTGGAAAGGTATATCTAAGTCTCTTGGTGGATTTACTCTGCATTGATTTCTTGGAAAGCTTCTAGCAATTTACGAGTGCTTTCAATGAAATTTCTTGTACTTTCTTAATAGTTGTCTTGTATCTCACCCCCAAAGGTCCATAGAATTACTATTCTAAAACATCGCTGACTTGCTGTTCTGTTCTTCAGAAATTTTCCAGCAGGATAGTGACATGGTTGAAGATGATCGGAATCATACCGAGGAGAATTCGTTTCAATCCCTTGCCAGGTACTTTGCTCCTACTTTTGTTATAATTTGTTCTGGAAATTTTCACAGATTCATATTTGTGTCCCTTTTTATCTAGCTGTTTATTTTAATGAAGAGGGTTAACATGGTTAAAGTTACTGTTATGAAAGTTGCAGTTATCCTGGTTCTGGTCGATTTCTTGATGAGAGTCAAAGCTCTACTCCATGTTTCCCAGAGAACAATTATTTTAAAAAGAAAAAATGTGCTAAGGTCGCACTAGGCGAACAAAAGCCAAAAGCAAAGAGGTATGTTCCTCAATTTTCTTGCTTAGATATCGACTACTGCTCTATTATTACCTATGGACAATTTGTTAAGAGAAATTACGAAATTTACTGGGTTGTTGATCTTGTAGGCTTAGCTCTCATATGTTTGGTTCGGGTTGCTATAAGAAAGTTTCTGAAGGCGGCAATAAGAAGAGGTTTTATTGCGTTTTTGAATCTCATTATTTGAGTGTCCCTGTTAACACTCGTTCTTAGATGCGATCTCTCGTTGATGACAAAAAATTGCAATCATATGTTTTTATAGGGACAATGATTTACACCGTTTGCTGTTTTTGCCAAATGGGCTACCAGATGGGACTGAATTGGCTTACTATATGAAAGGACAGGTTTGTTATCGTAGGCTTGATGTATTATATTCTTTATATCTCTTCGTGCAATTATAAGTTTGGTTGGCTTTGCTAACACTTGCTTTTCTTACAGAAACTACTGCAGGGTTACAAGCAAGGAAATGGTATAGTATGTAGCTGCTGCGACAGAGAGGTAAAAAATGCTATAAAATGCTGGATGCTGTGAATATGTAACTCGGCCCTTACACTCATTTTCTTTTTCAAGTATAGTGATACATGTTTTATCGTGTTTCTTAACTACAGATTAGCCCTTCACAATTCGAATCGCATGCTGGAATGGCTATTAGGCGACAACCGTGAGTTATCTAGTAACACTGTGTTTCTGCAGTAAAGTTGTAAGACTTATATCTGAAGTTCCTTTCTCTCTTGTAGTTATCGTCATATATGTGTACCTTCCGGATTGTCGTTGCATGACATAGCCCTATCGTTGGCGGATGGCCATGTCATTACAACTGGTGACAGTGATGACATGTGTTCTATTTGTGGCGATGGTGGAGATTTGCTACTCTGTGCTGGATGTCCTCAAGCTTTTCATACAGGTGGGCTTGCGCGTTCATTTTCCTATTCCGAATACAACTTTGTGTTCATAAGAACTTTTAAGCACAAATTTCGGAAAAAAAAATTCAAGCATAGTGTCAGAGAAAATACTGATATATGCCTATTTCTCTTTCCATTTAAGTTCTTAAGAGACGATTTTCAAGATCAGCATTGCTTTGATATCTCTGCTCCCAAGTTGTTTACTGATTCTAATACTTGATGACCCTTTTCATATGCAGCATGCTTGAAATTTCAGTCTATGCCTGAAGGTACTTGGTACTGTTCAAACTGCAATGATGGATCGATCTCTAGTAAAACGGCCATTGCTACTGATCCTAATTTGAAACCGATAGTTATAAGACTGACAAGAGTTGTTAAAGCACCAGAAAGTGAAATTGGTGGTTGCGTGTTCTGCAGGTTTGTTGTATACCTACATTTAGTTTGAGTGCGTCATTTATTTGTTCTCCACTCTGCTTATTCCGCGTACTCCCCTCTCTGATAGGTCCCATGATTTTAGTGTTGGGAAGTTTGATGATAGGACAGTTATTCTCTGTGACCAGGTACTCTTCCTGTTTCTGGTCTCTTTTATCCAAGATTTACTTTAACAACTTCTATCTTGTCTAATGGCCATTTTCCTCTTTGCTCTCGAAGTGTGAGAAAGAGTACCACGTCGGCTGTCTCAGGGAGAATGAGCTTTGTGATTTGAAAGTAAGTTTTGTAAGGTTGGCTCCATCTTTTCTGTGTTGACAAGGTCATTGAACCAATCTCAACTTCTTTCTTATATGCTGTAGGGAATCCCCCAAGATAAATGGTTCTGCTGTAGTGACTGCAGCAGGATTCACACGGCTCTTCAGAGTTCTGTATCCTGTGGGCCACAAACCATTCCCACGCTTTTGCTAGATACGATAAGCAGAAAATACAGAGAAAAAGGAATATATACCGAGAATGGAGATACTGTGGAATGGATGATGCTTAGTGGAAAAAGTCGATACCCAGAGCAAGTACACTTGCTTTCACGTGCGTCTGCTATTTTCAAGGTCTGCACTGACTTACAGATAATCTTTAATCATTTTGAGTACTATATGGCTTGTAAATTTACTTTATGAACACATATAAGCAAAAATGTTTGCCTTTTCATTTTTCAGGAGTGTTTCGATCCCATAGTGGCAAAGTCTGGTCGTGATCTTATTCCTGTCATGGTCTATGGGTAAGCTGTACTGCAATATACTCAGTTTCAATTTCCCTGTCATTTATATTTTGATAGTAGTTGATCATTCCTGGTCATTCTTCCGATAAATTTACAGGAGAAATATATCAGGCCAGGAGTTTGGAGGAATGTACTGTTTGGTCCTGATGGTGAAGTATGTTTGGTGTTCTTGATGCATCGTCTTTTTTTTTTTTGTAGCACTTCTGAATATATTGATCGAGATCCTAATGGTTCTCTTTTTTTTTTATGATGTATGTTTAGTTCTCTTGTTGTTTCTGCTGCGCTGCTTAGGATCTTTGGTCAGAAAGTTGCTGAGCTTCCTATTGTAGCTACAAGCCGAGAGTATCAAGGAAGGGTAAGATATTGTGCATCTCATGTTTTTTTACTGTGTGGGATTCGCTTAGAATAACTCGTAACAAAACCGATTTGGCTATTGTTCCTTAGGGTTACTTTCAAGGGCTGTTTGCTTGCGTTGAGAATCTTCTTTCTTCTCTGAACGTTGAGAACTTGCTTCTACCAGCAGCTGAGGAAGCCGAGTCTATCTGGACAAAGAAATTTGGCTTCACAAAGATGACTGAACAGCAAGTACGTAAACGTTTCGTCTAGAACAATATTCAATAGTTACTAATAATTGTTCCTGGCAATCTTTAATGATGAATCTAAGCAAAGCTGACCTGTATTGATTAAGCAGTTTTGTTTACTAAAAATGATGTTTGTGTGTGCAGTTGCAGAATTACCAGAGAGAAGTGCAACTTACAATATTCAATGGAACATCGATGCTGGAGAAGAAAGTGCCGAGATTTTCGGAATCAACTCCACTCATCTGATATCAGTTCTCTTGCAAGATTTTGTTTTGAAGCTTCGTCTGGATTTTTTGGGTATTTGGGATCTTTCCTTTTTTCTCTCGCTCCTTTAAAGCGCACTTCCTTTTTTCTTTTCGCAGCAGGGTCATTTCTGGTGTACCTCTGTGAATTTTTTTGTACAAACTCTAATCAAAAGGAACATTAGAATTTAGGGTTGACACAGGAGATAGGTTTCAGACCTAGTGAGATGTTTTGTAAAGGAAAGAAACTAAAATAAAGAGTGGTCTAAAGCAAATAATACAAAACCGCTAATATGTTGTGCCTTTCTGTGTTGTTATGTAAAAGTGTTTTTTTTTCTAAACGTGTGAAGGGTTTGGAAAAAACAAAAACAACCTGTAACACTTGCTAGTGTTAACCCTGCAGCGAATTTGTAGGTTTGATGAGAATAAGAAAAAGAATTTATGTGGAATCACACATATGTCATACACAATCAAAACAAGTAAGCTTTGGGAGGTAAAGCTTCACAGAAGTAGTGATGATTCGTGTGAAACTAAATACGATACCATACCGTACGAACAACAAAAGAAAAGACATTCTGAAACTCAGAGATTTTATTTATAAACAAGAGAGAAAGAGGAAGATGCACGCTGGCTTGGTGATGCCAAAGGACATTCAAGAAGATGCAGCTACGAGAGGCACTTGTGTGGCCCAACCAAACTTATCACGACTGTGTTTGCTACGAGAAGAAGAAGAAGAAGACTGCTTCTTGTCTTTGCTGCCACGGGACGATGATGACGAATTGCTGCTCCCCTTTTGTCCTTTCTTTCCATTCTTCTTCAAACTGTCTCTGCTCTTTGATTTCGGCTGCTGCTGTTTCTTGCTTCTCGTGTGAGAGACAATGGAGGGTGGAGGATCATACACATCTTCAGCCCATGACACGCTCAGCTTCTCAAGAGACTTTCCATGCTTCTCTCGACTGCCTTTAATGGCTGGGATGATATTAACCACACCCATCTTCTGTTACATTACAGAAAACACACAAGTCAGAAGCAGCCAACATCAACAGGGAAACTCAGATAAAGCATTTCACTATTATCTCCAACCATATGTTTATGCATCTACGACTATATTGTTTGGTTTTGGAAGTTGCATAAAACTACCAAAATATGGGGAAAGTGACGATCAAAAGCCTAGAGATATATCACACATCCACAAATTGAAATGGTACTCTTTCTCATGTCTGAACCAAATGACTACTAAATAGCGACCATTGACTACTTACACTCTCCGAGAACATGTCCTGCAACGCGGTCGCTAGGTTCTTGTCTTCTCCTTCATCATCCAAAGACTTACGAGGTAAAGACTCTGATATAGATTTGGATCCTTTGTTCGCATTTTGGTTTATATAACCACTATCATCCCCATCAGACTCCTGAGCATCTTCACATCCGATACAAGAGACATGCTTTGCCCCATTATTGGGACTCGAAGCAGAGCTGCTCTCAAGGTGGGACTCTGCATCTTTGTAATCCAACCTACCACAGACAGAGCTCATATCCAGAAGTAACTGCCACGAACATATTCAAAAAGTAACATCAGACGATTTTGAACAACACTTCAGCTAAGAAAGATTCATATAAGATAAATACCTCTTACGTCGCAAATCGAGCACTTAAAACGGCAAAAACACCGAAGGATTAATCAATGACTAAAATGTTCGCACACAGAGATCAGAATCTTCTTCTTAAATTAGCTTAAACCGAGCTAGAAAAAAAACCAGACGAAGGCGAGGAAGTAAAAAAAAAAAAGGGAAAAGGATCTAAGAGATGAGAGAAGGAAGAAACGAAACTTCAACTAAGATTACCACGCCAATCACTCTTTTCAAGAGGTTTCAAACGATTAGAACATAAACCAGAATGATAAAAAGTCAACGAAGGAACCAAAGAGAGGAGTAGCTCGGAGCTCAGCCGCATTATTATCTTATGCTCTTCGAACCCCCAGAACCGAAGAGCTACCAGAAATGCAAAAAACACAAAACCTAATCCAATCCGACGAATTGCAGAGATCTCAGAGTTAAAATCAGTGGAACGATGCGTGGGAGAATTCAGAGGTACACAAAAAAACACTAAAGTCGGATCATGGAAAACCCGAATCAGAGAGAGAACATATCCACAACGAGATTACGCGAAACCAGGAAGAAAAAAAAAAACCCAAATCTAAGAAAAGACGGATAGGATCGACGAAGTTTTTATATAGATAGATGCAAAGAGGTAGCCAAAAGAAAGGTCAACAACAATATCAAAGGCGAAAGACGTGGCCGCCTTTTTTGGAACGAATCATATCTGTACACGTGCACACTTATTCATGGGCCGTGAGAGTTTTTTTTTTTAACATGTTGGTGATGATAATGTGAGCCTACAAGGTTTCAGATATGGAGGAACAAAATCTTGAGATATTATTCATCCTGTATCTCAGTATTAAATCCGCATGTTTGAGAGAAAATTGTGCTCCAAATTAATTGCTATGATCCGATTAACAAAATTCGACCCATAATTTAAAGAAATTGAGCAATTGAGGAAGATTAACGCAGAGGATAAAACAAAGAAAACGATATTCATTAACATAAAAACCTGTTCATTCAAAGGATCTCACTAATCAAAGACTGATCCATACAATCGAAAGATCTAGAAAAGGAAAACCCATCAAACTAAACATTCAAACGAGAATTGTGAAGAAGAAAATAAAAACCCTAAGTGCTTGTGAATTTGGTAACCGCCTTGGTGCCTTCAGAGACAGCGTGCTTCGCGAGCTCTCCGGGCAATACAAGCCTAACCGCCGTCTGGATTTCCCGGGACGTGATAGTCGGCTTCTTGTTGTACCTGGCGAGCTTAGAGGATTCCTGGGCGAGTTTCTCGAAGATGTCGTTGATGAAACTGTTCATGATCCCCATCGCCTTCCCGGAGATTCCGATATCGGGATGAACCTGCTTCAGGACCTTGAAGATGTAGATCTTGTAAGTCTCGACGCTCTTCTTCGACTTCTTCTTCTTCTTGTCGCTTCCGCCTTCCTTCGAGATCTTCTTCTCCGCCTTTGGTCGCTTCTCCGCCGGGGCTTTCTCTGCTGGCTTCTTCTCTGCCGGTTTCTTCTCTGCCGCCTTGGGAGCCATTGATCTGACTTTTAGAGATTTGAGAACAAACTGAAAGGAGAGATTTGAGTGTTTAAAGAGATCCTAGTCAATCGAAATTTGCGTCTGTGAAGGTTAATGGCGAAACAGATTTTATTATATAGAGACTTGTACTGGTTTTCATTGGTTAGTTGTTTTTCACGCGGATCGCTGACGTGGCGTAAATCCAACAACTTAAGTAAACGGACAGGATTTCTCATGGAAAGTATCATCCATTTAACTATTATTGTAATGGGCTTTTTATATTAGGAGGACTCATGACCTGACCTGGCCGGGCCCTTTATTCGTGTTCGTTAATTATTTTAGTATATAGTAACGGTCCCAAGAATATATAATCCTGTAACATTTCTTAACAAGGTATCATATACGGTGACAATCATTAGATGTTTGCTAGTTAGACGATTATAAATTTTCAATAAACCCGAAGGACACGACCATATATTAAATCTAATGACTGTCAAAATGTGTATAATCCTTGTCGACAAGCGTACAAGATTTTTTTTATAGAATTAAACATCTTCTCTATCATGTCAAATTCACATTTTCACCGTGCTGTTACGCCGGAAACTGAAGTTCCATTACAGCAGCAGAGAGTATTGGAAAATGAGTGATTTATGAAGCCAAGAGCATAGAAATAAACAAACAAGGGAAAAGTTCAAAGCTTTTTGGGATGAATGACCATAATCCTGTAACTATTTTTGCTCTGCTCATCAACACGTATTGTAAAGTTTGGATCCGAAACGACTTCAGATGAATTTCTAAAAGAAAACAGATTAACCCATGGATTTACTGGTTTAAGTAGAAGGGAACAGAACCCGCAAAATCCACCAGCGCGATATGTTTTGTTGTCGCGAGTTGTTCACACATCTGAAACTTTCCCCCAACAATGTGACCTCTCACTGCCAAGCCGCTCCCAGGAACTTAGACCCTGCCATTTCAAACGAAACCACGTAAAAAATCAGTAGTTGATTCAAAGCTCTTTGGCACGATTTTAACGCAAGATAGTCAAGCTACAACTGGTAGTTTCAAGTAAAACAAAAGTAAAATCTAACAGATACTTGAAAGACGATGGATATGCAAACCGAAAAATAAGAAAAAGCAAGAATACGATCAACCGCTACAAATACTATAGAGTTTAATGTTCATCATTAGGGAGTGTAAATGGATATCTGGACATCTATGAACATCATATGAAGATTTTTACAAGACTGACTTCAATAGTTGCATGGACCAACATGGTACTCAAGAAAATAAAAATCATTTATGGGGCAAGAAAACTGTAGTGAACAGTATAAGAAAGCAATTGGTTTGCAGATCGACCAAGTCAGTGAATATTAGTTAACATGAAAACTAACAATGTGAAGAAAAACTTGCAAAATGAAGTGAGGAGAGTTAATTGATCATATTTAGTGACCGTGTGCCATAACCATATTCGAGTCACAAATGCAACGACCACAACCAAACATCGACCTACCCTGTAACTACACTCAGAAAACAACTTGTGCTAAATTCACTATCGGAAATGATCAAAACACTATCAGGCTCCAATTTTTTTGAAATGGAAAAGGAATTGTCAAAGCAAAAGCTAAAGGCTTTTGACCATGATCCCTGAGAGTGAATCAGATTTCAAAAACAGCATTGAGGGCAAGTAGCTAACCGAGCTTGTATCCGCCTTATTACCGAACCAACAGCAAAAATCATCCAAAACATATGAGCGTTTGTTACATTTCTCACTGAATTCATACTCTATACATGACCCAAAACTTTGATTCGCCAACATTTGATCAATCAAAACTAAATCATCCCAAAAACATGAACCACGGTGACATTTCTCACTAAACGCGGACTCTGTACATGACCCAAAACTTCGATTCACCAAACCTTAAATCAGCAAGATCGCCAATTAAATTGCCAGAAATAAAAAGACAACCTTAAGACTTCTACAGAATCCACAGGTAAGTGACACAACACAGAATGATCAAAGTTCATAAGACAGACACAAGAAACCAACCTTGAGGAACCGATGTTGATGTTCCTGTGAATAACCCTGCCACGAGCGGCGTCTCCGCCATCGATCAGCTCTCTCAGGCCCAAATTCTCGACCTCAGCCTCTTCCTCTTTCGTCTCCTTCTTCTCCTTATCTACTCGGCGGCTCGGAAGCTTCACCGGCAACCTCTCGAAGTAGTTCCCGTAGATATACTCAGGCGTGTACCCGTTCTCTTCGTCGAACAGCATGATATGCCCGTGCCACTCCCAGACGCGATAGTCCGACTCCTCATCCTCGTGGTACCCAACGCAGATGTGGTGCTCGTTGACCGTCACGGCCTGGCCTGAATTCGGCTTCAGAGAATCGCTCCGACCCGAGACGATGACACGGATTAGCTCTTTCTCCAGCCTGGCTTCTTCTCGGTCGAGGTTGTTCTGGCCGTCTCCGTCGTCATCGCCGTCGCTGTCGTCGGATTTGAAGAGGAGGTCGTCTAGGGATTGGGAGAGAAAATGGGAGTTAGGGGGACGAATTTGGAGGCGTCCAAGTAGGGTTTGGATAAGGAGGTTGTCGATGTTGCTGTTTCCATTGAAGGAGCTCATGGTTGATCGCGAATCAATCTTCTTTTCTTCTTCCTCCTCCTTTTCTCGTCTTCGTTCTCTCGTCTTCTACCCTAAGGAGAGGCCACTCGGGTTTTAGGGATAGGAAAGGGTTTTTGCTGACGAAGACTGTTGTTAGAATTTGGATGTAAAAGTGGGTAAGTCCGTAATTTCACAAAAAGGAAAGGTTGAAATGGTAACTTACTTGTACGCATCAATTTTCAAGTTTTTGCAAAACAGAGTGTTTTTGCTATTTAAAACATTTACAATGGTTATTAAGAAGGAATCACGTTGATTTTCGTAGATGGTGAATGAATATCTCTATGGTCTTTAAACCCGTGTATCATTTATTAACCACTGCACCATACATTCCTGGTTCGTTAATGGAATTTTACTCCGGCTAAACAAGATTTAAGCATTATATGAAACATATAATATGTACCAAGATCACGTACATTATTTTCATAAGATTTATTTTTCATCTAAATAGTAAATGTATTGTGTGCTAACTGATAACTCATATAATAATGTAACGACGGCATGACAGAGTAGTAAAATATCGAAATTTTTTGAATTGAACAAGAAAAAGAGTTTCGAGAGCGAAAAACATATTACTGAATAATCACATAACTTTGGGAAAAACTTATTTTGTAGATTAATAATAAGTTTTACATTCTTTTGTCACCCTTCACATACTTTTGAAGTTATGCTTTTTATCACATATCCCCTCAGTAAAATTGCCTAGTAAATCAAGAAGCATATCGAAGTAACTTTTTTTTGGTAAATAATGGATTTTGATAGATTCAATAGAAGAAAGAGTTTTTTTTTAACAATTTATCAATATTCGGAAAATGACTCGAAAGGACTTTAGTATTAAATTTTTTTGACTCAAAAAGTAAAAATTGAAAGAAGAAACAAAATGGGTAAAATACCAACGCTCTTAGTTTGTTTGATTTTTCGACATCATCTACCGGATTCAACAAAAGGACATACACAAATAAATCCTTCTGAGAACCCTAACATATATATATGTATGTATTTATACTTGAGGATACACTTCACATCTACCAAGAAAACAAATGTGAATATGCGCACTTCGTAGAGTCTTTCTTTATTGCTCTGGGCGGTGAAAAGCAATCACCGTCTCAAGGTTTCCATGACGTAATCCGCATAGAGATCCCTACATGTCACAAAAAAGAGTTACATTCAAAATTTGATTAGGTAACTTATTCTATGTTAAAAAGTTAATATTATAACAGTCAGTTTTATGAAGTCTTACATAGAATGCTGAACTGCTTCGTAAGCTGCGGTAGCAGGAAGGAAGTCGTTCACGGCTACTTCCTTGTTCTCGTTCTTCTTATCTGCAACAAGAATCCAAGAATATGAGTCTCACTCATATTAGTGATGGGCTTTAGTTTGGAGTTACTCCTAATCTTATATCAAGCCAATCAAAAGTTGAAAGAAGTTGAAGGAAGAACACGCACAGTCTTCAAAGAACCGGCGGATCTCAGCCAGACGATGTGGTGGAAGCTCCTTGATGTCATTGTAATGACGGTACTCTGGATCGTCAGCGCAGACAGCAATAATCTTGTCGTCTTTCTCACCCTTTATAGCATAAATAGCATATTGTTTCAACTTCTTTTACTTTTATAAGGACATAAGATGACACACAGACGATGTTCATTTTTCTAACCTGATCGATCATTGGCATCAGACCAATAGCTTTGGCCCGAAGAAAGCATCCTGGGATTACCGGTTCCTGTAGAACAAATTCAATATAGTCAAAAAAAAAGTAAGACTCAGAAGAAGCTAGTGGAACTGTCAAGAACAGAAGCTGTGAAACTGCCTTTTTTTTATATTCAAAATTCACCAAACCAAAAAGACTCTAGTCTAAACTCTTTCCCCAATGCCCAATCAAACCGTAGAAATCCACACTTTAAACAATATACTGATACACTTATATAAGCCAAGCTTTCACAACATCTGTAATCTGCTACATTCGGTCCTAGGCTATACAGTAGAGCCTATAGCTAAAAGTTGAGCTGCTGAACTTTTTCAATGCTTATCAGATGCACATAATGAAACAATAAAAACTATGTGATGAATTATACATGTTCTCAACATTGTGTTGGGGTTTAAAAAAAAGCTTACCTGCATAATGACAAGAACATCAATAGGGTCGTTGTCCTCACAAAGGGTACGCGGAATGAACCCATAGTTGTGTGGGTATACAACAGATGAGTAAAGAATACGATCGACCTGAGAACATAAACGATATTTTAGATTATAGTACCACCGACTTTTTCAACAGCGAATGGGACAGCGAAAAAAGTTGTTGCAATGAAACTACCTTAATGAGACCGGTAGTTTTGTCAAGTTCATACTTCACCTTGCTCCCTTTTCCTATCTCAACCACCTGCAAATAATACCTCCACATGCTTTGTTAATGATTCCCTCAGAAATGTCTCAAGATCTAAATCCATAAACTGGTTTCCTAATCAGGCAATGGACATCATTCATATCCTATATCAAAATATGTCAATCTTTATATCTTTTTGCTGCCCAATTATCAAGAACATTTGTAAAAAAACTTACACAATTGAAGATTATTGGGGCTTCAGGACCTATAAAACAAAGCAAATAAGAAAAAAAAGAAGCGTTACTATTAGAAGGAAAGTAATCGTTTTAGAACCCGAAGGAAAAAAGAGAAGCGTTACGTATAGCTTACCTATCTCGAGATCATGCCATGGGTGTGCAGCAACAGACCTCTGTGTCATGGACGAAAGTATCCTCTCATTAAGAGGAGGAAGTGAAGCATGTTTCTCTACATAACTTTTGGTAGCAATCTCAATCGGTGGCGCCATATCTGCAAACAATGCACATATCAAACAGAAAACCATAGATATATGCATCTATGAAAGCAAATAAATACGGAAAAGCATATGAAAATGGTCCAACAAAAATTCAATTCCCCTAAAAGCGGAAGATAAAACCATATGTTCATGAGTTATACCAAAGATCTACACGTCTCCACAATGGAATACACAACGCAATGCTTGACACAGAGACACAAGATACAAAAAAACCTTTATAAAGAAAGTTACAGAAACGTCCAAGAAACGCATGGTTTTGGTTTAGCAGCAGTTCATGGATCCTTAAATGTATCTACCGACAAAAACGTTCCAGAATGGGCTAAAAAAAAGGATTTTTTTATATACTATATAAAAATAAATAAAACTCTTGGATCATTTTTCAGAAATTAGGCAACGGACTAGTGAGAAACGAGCAAAGTTTTACCCTTTATAAAGTTTCAATATCTAGAAATGTAAACATCGCAAGCGTGAATCTATCGGAAACCAAACTCAGATCTACAGGTCACAAAGCCCCTCTGGAAATGAAGTAAGTATTTCTCGAACCTACAGAACTCTATCGCTCATGGCTTATGCAAGCAGATTAAGACACCCAAACCCTAGAAACCCGGTGAGAATGAAGAAACAAAACCGACTAAAGACAACTTCGAAATCTGTACCTGAGCGAATCGGACAATCTTCCGAGCAAATGTGTCGAATCAAAGAAGAGAAACAAAGGCACAGATCTAAAGATGGAACGAAACAGAGAAGCACCGATATAGAGAGATAGAGAGTAGAGAGAAAAGCTAAAAGGACGATGTAGCTGTAACAATACGCGTTCCCGCTCTGTCTCTCTCTCGATGCTTCTCTGCTGCTATTTGAAGGCTCGAATTTGGAAAAGGAATATTATATATCCGAGAAATAATAAAAAGCATCACCGAAATGTTTTTATTACTATTAAATCCGAAATATCTCTTTAATTTTGGAAATAAAAGGAAAGAATATGTCCTTATCCGAAAATGTACACACGTCAAAATAGTATTGGATGATCGAGGGAGAGACATAGACGGAATTCCTAACGGCCGTGGGGTCAAGGTAAGGTCTGCTACACGATTAACGTGGATTGCGAGGAGTCCACGTTAAGTCTCCCGTTAACTACTGTTGATGGGGAATATAGCGTGGTAGAAGAGCTAGGATCGGGTGTTACCGAGTGCACCTGAAGCTCGTGTTCCAATTTATGACAGGCAATGTCTCTGTCGGTGGATTACAAACGGCAATTAAAAGAAAAGGATCATATAATCTTTCAAGTGAATATTCGTTTTCCTTTTCTTTGTAAACCATAATCCAAAAAGAAGGTGTTGCTAGTGATCGTAGATAATTATTAGTTTTGATAACAAATGTTAATAGGATAATATTCGCTCAACTTATCCGATTCTATAGCAATTTTTGAAATGTTATAATAATAATACTCTTTGTTCTCTAAAATTCATACACATTCCTAAATTTGAACTTATGAGATTCGGTACAAATTGTAGAAACCACGGATACGTTACAAGCACCTACTTTTATGATATTTTTTATATGATTACTGTTTAAAAAAATTAGATTTTTGTTTGTCCCACTAATTATAAATAAATCCCATTTTTAGTTACTAATATCAAATGGTATTGGCGTGTATGAGTATTCTATGTTTCTGAACTTTTTGTCTAGGTAAAAGTTGGATGATTTCTTTAATCATGGCTACAAATTGGATTATTGCTGTCCAAAAACGTTGACAGTCTTCTCAAGTGGAGTTAATAAATGAAATAAACAATCACAATCCGCGTAATACCGCAATCACTTTGGTGAATATATGATTAACTTATTTGTTATCTAAATTCTCAAGGAATATATTAACTAAAGTTAGCTTTCCTTTAATGTCAATGGAAACACTCTTAAAAGGGAAGTGGATCGTGTAATTCCGGAAAGACGAAATTTTTATTGGCTGTGAGTTTGTGAAGGTGATGGACCTGGCCGCAGGGGATGATATGTGGATGCGGTTGAGTAGAGTAACGAATGGTCCATGCATGCAGTAGATATCGATGCTACGTTGGATCATTGTAGGAATATTCCTATCCACGCTTTTATTCTTGGGATGATTATTTGCGTAACACCGAAGGCAAAAGAAAAGGTTATATTACTTACCAATTTGTCAATCGCCACGCTGATCACCTTTGCGTTGCGTTGGAGTTTGTTGGATGATTCTCCTAGCTTGATTTCTGAGTTGATTTTTTTTTTTGTTTGCTTAACTTTTTGAGTTGATTTGCATGTGAAGGGACTGAAAAAATTAAGAGCTTAATCACAAGGATGATTTTATTGAGATGAAAAAAAAAAAGAATAGATATATTGATTTGTCTGTAAATTGACGCTTAGGTAATATTTATACATGCACGCTATGCTCAAAAGTGTAAGTAATCAAGAATCATTACGTTAGTTGTCTTGGTTCCTATAATTAATTTTCATTTATTTCATGATTTTACTACAAATGATCAATACCCACATGATTTTTTGTTTTGTTACCTAGTAGTACTTCAAGTGGCATTCGAGTGTCATTATCTGGCTTGTGAAGTAGATCTGGTCGTCGAATTCTTGGACAGTGAATAGAACACGAAAACCGTCAAAGTAACAGGCAATTAAAGTTTCGGCATCATCGGTCACAATGTAATTAGAGGTCTTTGAGCAGCTCCAACGCTGTCATAAGTATTTTACAATAAAAAAATAGAAAATAATGTAAAAGTATGAAATAAGAAGAGAGATTGTCTCTACTTTAATCAGATATGGTCTCTAAAGTTTAAAGTTATTAACAATGACGTGTTTTTATCTGATTAAATCAATTTTTTAAAATTATAATTTTATTTATATTATTAATTTATATTATTATAATATAAGTAAGATCGATACGTTTGATAAGAGACAATCCGTTGTGGATGCTCTTATGTTTAAAGTTAAAAAAATTAAACGCCATTTCTATGAATAATTTGTTGGCTGTGTACAGAATTCTGTTTCTTTTGCTCTTTACGATGCATGGATACCTTAGATGATGATTATAGTCGAAAGAAAACTAAGTGAAAGTGTCGTTAAGAGAAGTGATGAGGAAGTTCAGAGTTAGTTTTGTTGGAGAATTGTTGTATCGGCTCTGAATTATTGAAGAGAGATCAAAGGTACACACAACCATTAATTAGTTCGATTCCTGGAAAAGTATGTGTCTTCCAGTCTAGTCATTATGATTTACATGTCATGATGTATCATAGTTCATGAATTGCAGGTGATTGATATACGTAAAAGGAAGGTTAGACTCTCATGATAGCAAGCAATGTTATAGATACAAGACAAGATGGAGTCGGTCATACAATGATCATTCTTCAGATCATTAGAAGCCTCAATGTGTTTATGTCTCCGGTTTAATCCTTTATATATTCTTATCCTCTAATTTTATCATTTCCGTAGACTGAGAATCCATTTCAAAGACATGGCGGTAGGCTAGAGCATTATGAAACATATTGTACCTCCCTAAAACCAAAAAAGCTCTCGCATATAATTTAAAGTGAGAAAAAAAGATTATGAGCTTCTAATATTTTGCTTGACTAGTAGTCTATACCATGAGGACGAACTCATCATTGGGTAAAGTTCGTTTTACAGTCACATCCCACATTTCTCTTTAATACCAAAATCCATCACCTTGCTTATATTTTTTTTTTTTTGAATTATAATCACCTTGCTTATATTGTTGTTGAGATATATATATTTTTTTTTTCAGAACAAATTTGATTATAAAACCATAGTTGATATTTTAGCGTAGAGAAAAAAAAGTTTGATTACACGATCTATATAAAATGTCCAATGTTGGTTCCACTTGGGCATCAAAAGCTCAAAAGTCAAAATCGAGGTAGAACATAATCATTTGGGGCTGTATATGGGCTCCAGCTTAATTGACCAAGAAAACAATTAATGAAACTTTATCGGTAAAGCTAAAAAAAACGAAATAATTTCAACAAAAAAGATCTCATTGGTGAGCGATAGAGAAGAAGAGATCCTATTTTCATACCTATTGCACAATTGAGATAATTTTTTTTAATGAACTTGTGTACACATATATAGATGACATAAAGAATGAAAATAATGTTCGCCAAGAGAAATTACAAATAGGATTTCAAATCCTAAGTGATGTGCACAAAAAAACACTAGTTAACAAACTTCAAATCAATTTGTGGAACTAAATTCTCCCCAAAGACATATACAAGATCATTCTCCAATGTAGTTAGGTTCAAGTCCAAGCACAAAACCCTCTTGCTACTATTGCATCGATTCAAAACGGGTCTGGTGTAAACCGTAGAAGAGAGAACCGATTGTTCGGTTATCATACTCGCCCTATGCTTTCTCATGTGACCACCTAGAGCTTGACCGGTCCCAAACATTTGATCGCAGATTGAACACTTGTGCATATCATTCTCATTGTTACGATGCTTCACTTGTTCCTGGTCAACGCTCAGCTTAGGTTTCTTGTGGCTGGCTCTATGACCTCCGAGAGCTTGGAACGAATCAAATTTCCGGTTACACGTTTTGCATTCAAAGCGGTTATCATTGGTTTTGCTTCCGGCAGATTGCTTTACATCGATTTGTTTAACCACGAAACTCCGAGATAACATCATCAGGCTTTTCACTATGTCTGCATGCGTGATGGATTCTTCATAATCGGACCGTCCCCTCTTCATGTTTTCCATTTGTTATGTCTCGAGAAAGCACCTGGTTTATGAGAGAATCTTTGTAATGGAGATTTGGGACTAGTATACTATTTATAAGCAAAAAAAAAAAAGAAGAAGGAAAGATTGACTTTTTATAATTGGACCCAAAAAAGTCGTTTAAACTTCCTAATTCAAGTAAATTAAGCAGCATTACTGGTTTGACTAAGGACAACATGTTAAAAATTATCGACTAACATGCAGTTTTTTCTCTTGTTAAACAGAAGAAACAATTGCGTCCAAAATATAAACTAACCAAAAAAAAATTCTACATTGGCTTCTAAAATTAGTAAGTAAAAAACACGTGAATTTTTATTCACGTGTCTTGATCGAGAACGAATGAGCACGTGGAGATTGTTACTATTAGGAAAGTCAAAGGATTGCATTGCACTTTCAAAAATCAAAATCTGGCAACTGCTCTTCACCTAGACACTCTTTATACACGGAATCTACAGACTACGTATGTGTATGTAAAGGGAAGTGTACACTGCATGTATAACATACACACGTCACGTCATCAGTGATGGAAACGTGACGGCGTCTAAACCGGATTTAGATTTATGGTTTTAGATTAAAGAGAGTTGATTATTTGAAAGGTCAATAAGACTTAGAATTGGATAAACGACATTTGTAGATAACCCAAGGTTTGTTCTCTCCCCCACAGTTTCAACTTAGTATTGATGACGACTTTTTGTTTATACGTCAGCAGCACTCAGCTTCCAAATTTTGGATTGCTGAAAACAAAAACAAAGCCCAAAAACCCCTGAATGAGGATAAATAGGCCCAATGGGCCAGTTGGAGAAAACGAAAAACAAAGAAATATGAGAATAATCAGCGATTACCCTATCGCCGGGATTATGCCGGCGGCGACGAAGGAATCAAAGACGCCGAAACGACCAGGAAACAAAGACGCCGAGACCAAACTGCTACATATCGAATCAGTCTCGTTCCTTCTTCAACAGATTCTGGTGAGAAGAAGATATGATATGTCCAAAAATCTGATGACGAAGAAACAGGACTGATTCCATATGAAGAATTTGAAACGGAACACATCTGGTGTAGTTTTTATATGATTTTAATCCCTATATCACAAGGTAACTACACCTATTTTCAGAATCTTAGTGAGACACCTCTACTTCGATTGTATCATTTGCTCTGCTGTTTTCATCTTGCTTCTCACACAACTATTGTAAAACTAGTTCCAGCTTTAAATTGAATAGCTTCATGGTAGCTACATTGCATCCCATTCTTAAAGCAAAAGCTTAGTGAGATTTTAGGTATTGAGGCTCGATCAGTACGGCATCAAAGACATGTTTTGGTATCAGAAAAATCATTGCTTTGTGAAAGTCTAGGCTTACTTGAGTGGTTTCTCAACTTTTGCTTCATACAAGTTTTTGCTTGCCCTTCTCTGTGTGTTGATTCAATCTGAATGTTCTTTCACCATATAAGCCGGAGTTTCACTAAGTTATTTACTCTAGTGTTGGCTTGCTCTTGGAATTTCGTAGACCAGAAACATTTAACAATAACCGGGATTAGACTGGGAAAGGGTAATAATTTTGCAGCTGAAATCACCAATATTAAGACCAGGTCAGCCTAAGTGGACAGCCAGTCTGCAACTAAAATTAAAGGATTATAGAATCGACAACTTGGTAGATCGTTGATTTTTTCTGTAAAAGAATATATATATATGTATTATTGATTTATATGTGTGTGTGTGTATTCTGCATCTTAGGATTAGCCGCTTTGCTGTTCAATGACTTCCGTAGCCCCTATAGGTTAATCAGTGAGAGTCAAAAGTTAGAAGAAAGTTTCAAACCCCAATTCATTGGATAAGTGTATATATTATAGAACCTTGTTGACATTTTCTTATGTATATTCGCTTTCTGGTATGTTTTGTTAACTGGCTAGATCACTGTCATCGTGAAGTTTCTACTTCCAGCAGTATTTTTTATGGACACAACTAAGCCTGACGACCAAAAACGCTTCTGCTTTTCTCCTTGGTGCTGAAGAAATTTCCGGGGATTCTTTTATGATTTTCTTCTTCTTACAAACGTGTTATTCTTCTGGTGACTTGATCATAACTTATAAGATTGGCCTTGACCAAGATTTTTTCTTATGAGATGTGAACATCATCTAGCTCTGACCCCCCTCATGTATGATTATGTGTGCTACAACCGAATAAAGTATGGTCTGTCTTCCTTTTCTCGGTGTCTTGATGAGTCCAAGAACATGCGGTTCAGTGTTCCTGGTGACCTTTTGTTGCCTTCTGCTTTATCCAGCTGATTCAAGAACAGATCCTTCAGAAGGTGATCATTTTTTTCACCAATGTCAATTTTCATAAACATTGTCACTAGACTTCCTCTCAATGTTTTGATAGTCACCATCTTGATTGGTCATTCCTCAGACTCCCAAATCTTATATGTCATTCTACAACGTGGAGAGTGATTTCCAGAGCTTTGGTAATATTTTGTTTATCATCAATTTTGCAGTAAATGCTTTACGGGAGATCAAAAGGAATCTGATTGATCCTATGAGAAATTTAAGCAACTGGGCAAAGGGTGACCCATGCAGTAGAAACTGGACTGGCATAACATGCTTCAAGAGTTCACATGATGATGGTCACTTTCACGTCCGTGAGCTGTATGTCTCTCTTGTATCAACATTTGTCACATTTCTTTTCTTCTTTTTTAGTCTTTATTAATGGAATGGAGGGCTTCTTCTCCTGCAAAGGTAGATCGTTTATGCATCACTAATGACCAATATTATGCATTGTCATACTTACATACACCTCTTGTCAACTACATATTGTGATGTAGACACTTGATGAGGCTGAATTTATCTGGAGAGCTGGCTCCTGTAGTTAGCCAGTTATCATATCTCGAAATTCTGTAAGACTCGAAGTCTGATAAACTGTTTCATTTGATTCATCTGATTGGCTTCTGGTTGCCTTAATGCTTACTGAAAAATATTTTTTTTGTTTCTCTTGGGTTATCTTTTTCAAGTAATGTGATGTGGAACAACCTGACTGGGCGTATTCCTTTGGAGATAGGAAAAATTTCTTCCTTGAAACTCTTGTAAGTTTTGATCACATGATGTACTTTCTATTGCCTTCTTGTTCTGTTTTTTTTTTCTTCGTCTTTTTGTTTATGAGGAGACACAAATTCACTTCAAGACTCTTTGCTACTTTATTTGGACAGACTGTTGAACGGGAACAGATTCTCGGGTAGTTTACCCCCTGAGCTTGGTAATCTTGGAAATCTAAACAGGCTTCAAGTGGACGAGAACAGCCTAACAGGTTCAGTTCCAGTTGCATTTGGAAACTTGATAAGCATAAAACATCTGTAAGTTTGTGGTTAAGTATCATCTATCTTCATATAGAAACCAGCAGTCATTTGTTGTGGTTCATCCTTTACTCACCAGTGGCTATTTGGAATCTTCAGCCACTTCAACAATAACACGATAAGCGGAGAAATTCCCGTGGAGCTATCCAAATTGAACAACCTTGCTCACCTGTGAGCCTTTTTGTTTCTTTCTTCTTGATTTAACTTTTGGATATTGTCTGTAAAGTGTTTATATTGATGTAAAAGTTCTCGTAGGATTCTGGACAATAATAACTTGACTGGGACTTTGCCGGCAGAGTTAACTCGATTGCCATCCTTGACCATACTGTATGTTCCCATGGTTTCTCTTTTAACTGGGAAAGTATAATTTTTTTTTGCTAGCCTTTTTATGACATTTTGTATATGCAGTCAGGTGGATAACAACAACTTCGAAGGTTCTGAGATTCCAGAGGCCTATGGAACGTTTTCTAGATTAGTAAAATTGTAAGTTCTTTCAAATAATTGGGATCGTGTTTCTTTACTCGTTTCAGTGCGCTGAATGATTCTTTTGCGTGCTCATGTTTTCAACTTGGCAGAAGTTTAAGGAATTGTGGACTGCAAGGATCAATTCCTGATTTAAGCAGGATACAAAATCTTAGCTATCTGTAAGTGTATATATATAACTGGAATTTGTGTGTGATTCTGTTTGCTAGTCTTTGAGCTCTTGAGCCTTGTTAAGGGAGCAATACTAATGCACTTCTATCTAATCTCCGCTTCTTTTACAGAGATCTAAGTTGGAACAAGCTCACAGGCACTATACCAGAATCTAAGCTTTCTGACAATATGACAACAATGTATGCACATTTCCAAATCTTACTCCTAACACTTTACTCAAATAAAGACTAACAATTTATCATTGATTTTTGCTGCAGTGAACTATCTTATAACAACCTCACTGGATCTATACCACAAAGTTTCTCGGAGTTGGGATCTCTTCAATTACTGTATGTAAACATTCATTAGTCATTGAATTGAATTTTCCTATTCATCATATTTTCTGCAGTCTCCAATCATCTATGAGTACTTTGTAAGATTTTTTTTTTTCTGTGTCATCTATAATAGTTCACTTGAGAACAACAGTTTATCTGGTTCTGTCCCAACAGCAATTTGGGAGAACAAATTTTTCAAGAACAACAAGCTGCAAGTGTATGGCCTCAACTCTTTGTTTTTCTTTTTATGTGATACTTTCCTAGTTTTCATACTTCATTCTCAGAGGCCAAAACTTGTTTTGGATGCATGCACAGTGATCTCAGGAACAATAACTTCTCTGATGCTACAGGAAACCTGAGAACACCCGATAATGTTACTGTATAGTGAGTTTTCTTTATTCCATTGTCGTAGCAAGTTAAATCACACTAATCTGCATTCTCTTGCCGTGATATTATAGTCTAATTTGTTTTTCAGTTCTGTACTAGTGCAGCCAACAAAAGTTAACATAACTTTTTACAATCATTTGCTATCTACTGAAGCTCTTTTTTTGTGTGTGTCATAAGTCTTCGTGGCAATCCCATATGCAAGAGTACAAGCATTCCCATCGTTAAACAGTTCTTCGAATATACGTGCGGCCAAAAAAAGCAAACATCTACAACCTCAAAAGCTACACCATGCAGTAGTAATGTGTCATGTCCCTATGAGAAGGTGCTAGTTTCCCCAGGAATCTGCTTGTGTACAGCGCCTCTTTCGATCGATTACAGGCTAAAGAGCCGTAGCTTCTTTTTCTTCACTCCATATATCCAACACCAATTCATGGAGTATATGACCTCGTCTCTCCAGTTGGAAACTAATCAGCTAGCGATTGATAGAGTTGTTGATGAGAACAGGCTGCGTCTAAGGATGTACTTAAAGCTAATTCCCAAAGGCAAACCAAAGTTTAACGTTACCGAAGTCGTACGTATCAGGGGCACATTTATGTCGTGGAGTTTTAGTCGAAATGACTTTTTTGGACCCTATGAGGTTCTGGACTTCCCTCTTCAAGGACCGTATGGTACAGTTTTTTGCACCTAGTCTATAACTAACACGACATAATATATGTTATCAAATGATCTATATTTAAATCTTTGGTTGCAGATGATTTGTTAACTCGAGAGAGTGGAATTAGCACGGTTGTATGGGGAATGATAGTGGCAGGCTCTATTGTCGCTGCCACTGTTATTTCAGTGAGTGCAACACTTTTATATATTAACAAACGTCGTGGGAATGTGCGTACACTCGTCAAAAAACGTTTTTGTAAGCACACTTCACCAATGGTATATTCATTTTGTTTTTCTCTGTTTAACCATGAGACTAAGTGCGCTTTCGTTATGTATTACACAGTCAGAGCAAAATCTCGGCAAATCGAAGGGGTGAAGAAGTTCAGTTTTGTAGAACTGTCGGATGCAACTAATGGTTTTGATAGCTCCACATTGATCGGTAGAGGTAGCTATGGAAAGGTTTACAAAGGCATTTTACCAAATAAAACTGAAGTTGCCATCAAACGAGGAGAAGAAACTTCTCTGCAGAGTGAGAAAGAGTTTCAGAATGAGATTGATCTGCTTTCGAGGCTACATCACCGAAACCTTGTGTCGCTGCTTGGTTATAGTAGTGACATCGGAGAACAGGTACGTCCTTTTGTCATATGGAGTTGTTATTTAGCTTTATATCTATGTTTTTTCGACTAATCCATATGCTGTTTGGTTCATGCACAGATGCTGGTATATGAGTATATGCCTAATGGCAATGTCCGTGATTGGCTTTCAGGTAAGAAATATATAGATATCTTAATTCTTTCTTTATTCTTGCAAAGATTTTAAAGTCTCCAACATTTGTCTATCGATGCAGCCAATGCTACAGAAACACTGAGCTTTAGCATGAGGTTACATGTGGCTTTGGGCTCAGCTAAAGGGATCCTTTACCTTCACACGGAAGCAAATCCACCTGTTATTCACCGAGATATCAAAACCAGCAACATTCTCTTGGACTGTCAGCTTCATGCCAAAGTTGCTGACTTTGGACTCTCACGGTTGGCTCCTGCTTTTGGGGAGGGAGATGGTGAGCCCGCCCATATATCAACCGTTGTGAGAGGAACACCTGTGAGTTCAAGTTCACACTAGTCGAAATATGATCCTATATACAACTAGTGGCTTTTGACAGAACAACAATACATGCTACTGTATGTATATGCACAGGGATATCTGGATCCAGAGTACTTCATGACTCAGCAACTGACGGTGAAGAGCGATGTGTACAGCTTTGGAGTAGTGTTGCTTGAACTCTTGACTGGAATGCACCCTTTCTTTGAGGGTACACATATCATCCGCGAGGTACTTTCAGGCCTATGTTTCTTTGAGGGTGATTATTGTTTCCTGAACGAATCAACACTTTCCTTTATAAGATTGTGTTTTCTGTACAATGTGATACTCAACAGGTTAGGACGGCAAATGAATGTGGGACGGTTCTGTCAGTGGCGGATAGCAGGATGGGACAATGTTCGCCAGAGAAAGTGAAGAAGTTGGCTGAATTGGCGTTATGGTGTTGTGAGGATAGACCAGAGACGAGACCATTAATGTCAAAGGTGGTGAAGGAACTCGAAAGTATTTGCCAATCTGTGCCAAAAACCGATATGTTCTCAGAAACCACGCAATTGCTCTGTACCAAAACATTGTCGTCGTCATCGTCTCCTGGACCCTCATCGTCTTTGTCTTTATTTCCTGGAAGTGACTTGGACAGTGGCTTTTTCAAAGCTGTTAAACCTCGTTGACATATCTTTGTTGCAAGTTAGGCTAATTGATGTTAGTGCACCATGAGACTAATGAGAGTTGTGTTATACATATAAATTATAATTAGGAAATACCTTAAACTGGTTTCTGTTGTGCTGATTCCTAACCATAGTAAAATGCCTAAAAAGTTACGATCTATCTAGACATGGATCATGTTTTCCCTCTGATAATATTAACCATAAGTGTAGACGATACTAAATATTCTTGGAGTTTTACTCTGAAACCAATTATTCATGAATCAGTTCCATGGAGCACAATCAAGGTAGGGCAGGTAAGAGAGTTAGAACACAGAGACCCCCAAAAAGAAGAACAAGGGTGAGAGACAAGTCATAGATCCATTAGAGCAACGCTGATCCGTAGAAGACAGCTTCCGCAGGACCAGTCATGTAGATATGGTTGTCTTCCTGTTTCCACTCTATCTCCAATGGTCCACCCGGCAGATCCACCGTGCATTTCTGTTCCACCATCACCAACACAAAGGTTATATGAAGAGCTTGAGGTTCCACATCTATATATATATATACATAGAACACAGCATCTGCTTCCCTAAAACTATCATGATCTATGTATATCTGGATGACTAGTAGCTGCAAGCTGATATCCAGTTTTTTTAGTTCTCAAGTTCTCAAACTTACCCTGTTGGCTCGACCTTCGAGGACAGCTGCAACAACCAGAGCGCAGGCTCCAGTTCCACAGGCCAAAGTTGCTCCTGCTCCTCGCTCCCAGACACGCATTTTCAAATGAGAACGTGATAAGACTTGCACAAATTCTGCAGATTAAACGCAAAGCATTGGAAGACAACATAAGAGATATAAATCCAATACATGATAGAGAAATATTGCTGTATATCTGTCGATGAAAGTTTTGCATAGATCTACCCCATGAATCATCCACCAACCTGTGTTCGTTCTAGCTGGGAACATTTCATGGTGCTCGAACTTTGGACCAATCTCTTGCAAGTTCAAATCATCAACTTTCAGATTCTGGTTGACACAGAAGGAAAAAATTACAAATGATAGAGAGAAATTCCATATGTCGAAAAGAAATACTAGAAATTTGAAGTAAAGCAAGGAAAACACGCACCGGTCCACCCTTTTTACCGAATGTGACGCAGTGAGGATTGCCCATACTAACACACGTCACATTCCAGCTTTCTCCATCAACAACTAGCTCCGCCTGAATCACAGCTTCACCTTTGTTTCCAGCCAACTTCGTGGGCACGTCTTGTGCTTTAAGTATCGGTACGCCCATATCAACTTTAACCTGTACACATATCATCAATCACACTGCAGTGAGCAACTCGTAAACGAAAGATAAAAATCCAAGCTTTAGCTTACCCGTCACCAAGAATATCACTAAACCCTAATACGAGACATCAAATCCAAATATTTTACCTGCCCATCGTCTTGAATTTCTGGAACAATCAGGCCAGCACCGGTATGTATTGTAAAGCTAAGCAAAAACAGATAAAAAACGTCATTAGAGATAATAGCAGAGCATGGTTAAATATCGGAATTTCTCAATACAGCTATAGATATACATACCTATGTTGTCCCTGCAAGTTCTCAAGCTCAGCAATGAACCTGGCAAAGCATCGAACTCCATTGCCACACATCTACAAATAACGAATTCAAAAAGCCAATGACTTTAAACGCAACAAGAACTCACTCAAAACATGATTATTGGAATATGGATTAAACAAAGCCACACCTCTGGTTCACTACCATCTGAATTGAATATCCGCATTGTGTAATCGGTTCCGTTGACTCCTGGCATTGCAAAGATCACTCCATCGGCACCAACACCGAAGTTTCGATCGCACAGCTTCGCTGCTTGCTCTTGAGTGATCTTAGGTTCAGATGAGTCTCTGTTATCCACCTAGAAAAAAACGTAATTTTTGAAAAAAAAGATTTCAGATTTTTGAAAACATGTCAATTTCATCCTCTTTTCATGTTTGGTCATTTCAACGGAGAATAAAAAGTACCAAAATGAAGTCATTGCCGAGACCATGGTACTTCACGAAATGAAGAACTCCCGTTTCTCTCTTGTCGAGAAAACTCGCCGGCGGCGAGATTTTCTCGGCAGTGACGGCGTCCATTGAAGCTGCAGACACGCGAAGCCTAGAGCTTCCAACGCAGTATTTTCTCTCGAAGAAGCCGAACCGAAGAGAAGATGAAGATCCTAGCTTCCTGGAAAATGCATGCAATAGTCGGCTCGATTGCAGCGCGACGGAGACAGTGCTAGTGGCGGCTATCTCCATGGTTGCTGCTTCAGATATTTCCTTCTTCGACTCTCCTCCATATTGGGAGACTTCAGAAAACACATCGTGTTGTTTTGTATTTAATAACTAAACTCCGCGTTGTTTATTTTCCCTTGGACATAATAAACTTCATGTCGTTCTTTAATCGACAGATATTTAATGAAAAGGCCTTTAATTATAGAAAGCCCATTAAAAACTTTAAAAGCCTCTCTCTCTCTTCGCCGTCGCCTTCCTCTGGTTCGCTCTCCTCCTTCTGTCTTTCTCTCTCTATAATTCATTTCAGTCTCTTTCGCTGTTAAATATTTTCTCCTGAGATTTTATTATTCTCCAATTACAATTGAGTGAAAGATAGCAATTCGTATCTCCGATCTCAATTCCGTGATTGATTTTCGGTAGTGTCCAATAAATTTTAATCTTGTGAGAGAGATTTACGGTTAGTTTATTAGCTGCATTACTTTATGCTCTCTTTTTTTCTGTTACTTTTCCCACCTTTTTTAGTTATCTATTGAGATAGATCCCCCAATTGAAAATTATTAGGGTTTTCGAATTTTCAGAATCTTATCTCCTAATTCGATTCGAATTCATCCACAATTATCCCTTTTCCTCTGTGTTCATACCTGGGTTTTTGATTTCAGCTCCGGATTTGCATTTGTAACCCTTTATGCAAAGCAGTGTGCGTCGTGAGAAAGCTAGCTCGATCGCGATGATCATGGAAACGCAGCGGAATGTTGAATTCCCACATCGGAATGTCGATAAGCGGCCGAGGAAACGGCCGCGATTGGCATGGGATGCTGTTCCTCCTCTTCCTCCTCCTCCACCCACGGTAACGAATCGCCCACATATATCAAAAAGCTATTCTTTTGTAGTTTTTTCATATCCCATGATCCTTTTGAAATTTTGATTTTACTCATCCTCTGTGTGTTTTAATCTTGGACGATACTGCGAATTGTGTGAACTACTTCAAAAGTTTCAATATTTTGTTTGTTATTATGCTATTTTTCAGCTGGTGTGTTTGTTTTTTTTTTCAAGGTATTTCATCCTCCGTTGTACTATGGTCCAGAGTTTGCGAGTGGAGTGGTTCCCAATTTTGTTTACCCAAACATGTTCTACAGTGGCCTTCCTCGTCAAGGCTCTCCTCCGTGGAGACCAGATGATAAAGACGGCCATTATGTCTTTGTGGTTGGAGATACTTTGACTCCACGATGTGAGTCTTTGTGTGATACAGAGTCCTTTCGACATCTTATCTGTTTCACTGACTCTGTCATGGAGGTTAGCTACCTTACACTGACATTGCCTATTCTGTTGTGCGTGCAGATCAAATTCTCAGCAAAATGGGTGAAGGTTCGTTATCTCTTGCTTAAATGATTATATGATTCTTGTGATTGGTCCTACTTGTTTTTTTTTATGTTCGATATGTATGCTCCAAGTCAGAGTTGGATTTCCTTATGGCAGGTACATTTGGACAAGTATTGGAATGCTTTGATAATAAAAACAAAGAAGTCGTGGCGATCAAAGTTATACGGTCCATAAACAAGTATCGTGAAGCTGCCATGATAGAAATTGACGTGTTGCAGAGGCTTACAAGGCATGATGTTGGTGGCTCTCGGTAAGAATGTTTCTTTCCTCTTAACTTGTTCTTGGATCAGTGTCGAATTTATTGCATTTGGTATAAGCTTTTCAATTCCTTGCAGTTGTGTGCAAATACGGAATTGGTTTGACTATCGTAATCATATTTGTATTGTAAGTACTGTTACCTTTATTTGATAAGTTTGAGGGGAAAATACATTGCCCCTCATGTTATGTGAGTTAAAAAAGAACTTGCGGATGGGTTTAAATGGTTTCTCACAGGTATTTGAGAAGCTTGGGCCAAGCTTATATGATTTTCTCCGCAAAAACAGCTACCGTTCATTTCCCATTGACCTTGTTCGGGAGCTTGGCAGACAACTTTTGGAGTCTGTAGCATGTGTGTGGACTATTCTTGACCCATACTTCTATATACTAGTCCATCAGTGCCATGAAATTATTTCAATTTTGAAAGTTTTTTTAATCACTTAGGCATTAATAGTTATTATAGTTCATGTTTTCTCTTTTAATTTTTGCAAATTGCATGGAATCCAAAAATACTCAAGCAACCATTCTTTTGAGACTTTTGTTTACCAGTGTACTCAGACTTTGTTCACTCTGTTCTGACAGATATGCACGATTTACGGCTGATTCACACGGATTTGAAGCCGGAGAACATTCTTCTGGTATCGTCTGAATATATCAAAATACCTGATTATAAGGTGATTAATCATCTCCAAGTTGAACTTTTTTGAACTCTTTATATGATATCCAGCCATGAAGGAACTTGGCTAACTCGGTTGATCTTTTTTTCCTTTATGGTCATGGAAATATAGTTTCTATCACGACCTACGAAAGATGGGTCATACTTCAAGAATCTGCCAAAATCAAGTGCCATCAAGCTCATTGATTTTGGAAGTACAACGTTTGAACACCAAGACCATAACTACATCGTATCCACAAGGCATTACCGCGCGCCAGAAGTTATCCTAGGTAAATATTTATGACTTTGTCACATCTGGCTAGATAACAATACTCTTGTATAGCTTTCGGGATTTAATATATTTGAACGTTATCGCAGGGGTTGGATGGAACTATCCATGTGATTTGTGGAGTATAGGTTGCATACTTGTTGAACTTTGTTCGGTGAGTAACTCTCTGTGTACATGTTTTCGATACTCCAGGCTTCATCTCACCATGTCTAAACAAACGTTTCTTCTTCTGTGTGAAAACTTGCAGGGAGAGGCGCTTTTCCAAACACATGAAAACTTGGAGCATTTGGCGATGATGGAAAGGGTCCTTGGACCATTACCACCTCATATGGTGCTCAGAGCTGAGTAAGAACAACAAGATCATCCTATTAGCAGCATCAGATACCAGCGGAAAAAAATGAATTGAATTTGTAGTTTCTTATATGAAAATCAAAACGGTTCTTTGCAGCCGGCGCTCTGAGAAATACTTCAGGAGAGGTGCAAAGTTAGATTGGCCTGAAGGTGCGGCATCAAGAGACAGCTTGAAAGCTGTATGGAAACTTCCCCGGTTACCGGTAAGTAAAATCTAAAAGCTCCATTGATCTTTGGACTTGACATTCCCTTATCTGCAGTATCGAGATTAGCAACACCATTTTTGTTGTTGCATATTGCAGAATCTGATAATGCAGCACGTGGATCACTCGGCCGGTGATCTGATAGATCTATTACAAGGGCTGCTTCGCTATGATCCAACGGAGAGGCTCAAGGCAAGAGAAGCACTGAACCATCCCTTCTTCACGAGAAGCCGGGAACAGAGTATTCCCTTTAACCCAAGCCCTCATCCATTTTTATATAACCACAATAACTAAAAAGAAGAAGAAGAAGAAGAAGAAACATCAGATGTATGTTTCTGGGTTTCTTCACTTTTCCCGGGTTTTTTTTTGTAGCCTTATTACATATCTTCATGTATAGAAATGAAAAAGAAAGAGAGAAAGGCTTGTGCCTTATTCTACTCTTGTCTGTTGTTGTTTTGGTTTCTTTCTTGTGTTCCGACCACGACCAAGGTTGTTCGTATGGCGGGTTTTATAGAGTTAATACAGTTACTTGTACCTCAAAGTCAGTGTTACTATGTGTCATCTTGCTAAGTGTGCTTCATAATTTTTGATGAATACGAAAGAGCAAAGGGACTGACCTTATAATGTTTTTGTACAGGAGGGACATCTCCAAATCCGAAACCTGTTTCCGGTTTGATAGAACCGAAACCATTATTCGCTTTTGGATCGGTTAAACTGAATTGCAGGATGAGGTCCATCAAAGACGGAAACGGTGTCGTATACTAAGCAAGGAGAGCATATTCGGAATCGGAGGCTTGATCTTCTTCCTCAGTTATATATCTCTTCTTTACTTCACTGTGTAGGGTTTTGAAGGTTTATCTCTTACCACAATCATGGAGTCTCTGGGAAGATTACAGCTCAATCACCAGCCATTCCACCTTTCCTTCACTCACACCTCTTCGTCGTTCCCCAAAACCCCTACATCTTTCGCCTTCAGACCTTTAATCCGTCCAATTTCCTCTTTCAAATGCGCTTCAATCAAAGCCTCGTCCTCCAAATCACAAGACTCTATCATCCCTCTCCGAAAATCCGCACCTTTCCGTCTCTTCAAATCCACATGCATCACTCTAACAACCGCCGCGGCGCTGCTCTTGGTCAACCTCCAGCTCAAATCGCCGGCGTTTGCAGCTCCCGTCGCGCCTCCGCCGTCAGTGGAAAGCAGCGAAGAAGTTACCTTGGAAGAAGAAGAGAGAGCCCTTGAAGAGCATTTGGCAACCCACCCTCCTGATGTCGACTCCCTTCGTTCCTTGATGGAGGTAAAGATCAAATCTCGAAAGCTTACAGAAGCGATCCAAGTGATCGATCGTTTGATTCAATTGGAACCCGAGGAATCGGAATGGCCAGTCTTGAAAGCCAACATCTTCACATACAGTGGAGATCTAGATTCAGCTAAAACCGAATTTGAAGAGATTCTCGCTAAAGATCCGCTTCGCGTCGAAGCTTATCACGGCCTGCTTATGGCTTATTCCGATGCAGGTCTTGATTTGAAAGAGGTGGAGAAGAGAATCGAGGAAGCGATGTTGAGATGCCAAAAGGAGAACAATCTCAACGATTTACGGGATTTTAAGCTCCTTGTGGCTCAGATTCGGGTGATTGAAGGAAAGCACAGCGAAGCATTGAAGCTTTATCAGGAGCTTGTGAAGGAGGAGCCAAGAGACTTCAGGCCGTATCTCTGTCAGGGAGTTATATACACCTTGCTGAAGAAGAAAGACAAGGCAGAGGAACAGTTCGACAAGTTTCGGACACTTGTGCCCGAGAATCATCCTTACAGAGAGTATTTCATGGATAATATGATCGCAACAAAGCTTTTCTCAGAGAAGACGCAGCGTGAGATGGCTGGATCAGAGAGCTGAATGGAGAGGATTTTGTGATAATGTTTGAGATGAATAATGGAGTATGCTTAGTTGACTATGATGATTTTCTGATGCAGACTTATGTAAAGATCAAAAGTTTGATTTGATTTGAATTACAATCTCATTTCATCAGGAAGGCTAAAATATTCCAGTTGAGTGGAGAAGAGAAGCTGAGATGATGTGGAAACCCTAGACATAGATTCCAACTCTTTCATCATCTTGTTTCTTTTCAAGGAGAATCCAGCTCTCTGTAAACACTTGGAGTTGGCAAATATGTATCTTACGAATTCTCTCTCTTGGTTTCTTCCTCCGTATCCTTTCCACTCAAAGATCTCGAGATGGGTTGACAAACATCCAGGAACAGAAACCGGTTGGTTCCATGAAAGTGACTCCTCCTCCTCCGCAGGTTCCATGAATGTCTGTCAAGCAACCACAAGGGATAGGATAAATATACTTTTGCTTTTATGAATCCATCAAAAAACTGCATGAATGAAGAAAATACATACCTTGTCGATGAAAAGAACTTTGAGATTAGGAGAATTTTGAAGCAAAAACATTAGTGGTTCTAACCAGTCTAACTCCTGTCCAAGTATAATCTTACAATCCATAAGCTGAGAGAAGTTAATAGTGTTAAACCACGCAAGCTGCAATGAACACAACAAACACATATATTGTAGTAATAAACATTTTAGAAACGTGATCACCATGCCAATGAAGAAAAATTAAAGAAAGAGAACACTAGATAACATACCGTTTGAAAACTCAAAACTAATTCGAGATACATGACTGAGGAAAGAGATGTCATGAACTTGACATCAGGGTAACTAAAGAGGTTGATCATTGCCTTGTTAAGTCGAGGTTCGTTCTCAATGGAGCAAGAGTCTCTCGAATGATCCGCGATGAAGATTTTCTTTAAAGCCGGAGAATTTATAACCAAATTTCCCGCATCCATGTCTTGTCCGTAGTACTGTGCTCCTAATTCCACATAATTATAGAACAAGCACTCCAATAAAGGGGCTTGTATATTGAAAATCTTCACCTTGTCTTGGTCATGTCGTTCCACGGCCAGATGTTTGAGAACAGGACAACTAGATAAGAGACGAGCGAGAGAGTCATCATCTTTGTACACCACAGAGGAAAGGCCAAGTCCTTCGAGTGATGGGAGGCAAACGAGAGAAGGAACATCCACGAGAATCTTGTCGGAAAGACAGAGAGAGACGAGCGTATCGCATGTGTAAAGGCTGCTCACGGACCCTAGTATCAACCGCTTTGTCAATCCACTTTCCAACATCAACATCAACGGGATCACATCCTGGACCGAGTTCTATAGCTAGCTGTTCTAATACAGGTGCCTTGTGGACTTTTAATGACTCATCAATAAACCGCCACTGTCGTCGTTCTTGCTCATCACTTTTGCCAAATAAACGCCTAAGTAAACGGCCAAGTAAACCGCCAATAACTAGTTTCTTAACACCATCATTGTTGGTCTCTAGGTAGTCCAGCTTTGGCACCATCGTCCAAACAGAGCGCCATCGTTTTGACAAAACCATGGTAGCCACTGCATCTTTTGTTGGGACAAGCGACAGTATCTTCACTAGCAAGTCATCGGGCAACGCACCGATCCTGTCTTCTTCTACTACTCCAATTCTCTGACTTTTGGCTCTTTTCTTTGGGAATCGTCGGTATGTTTGTTCTAACAGTATCGGAATCCCTTGTTCCAACAGTATCGAAATCACATATGCAGCATGAAGTGAGCTGGCAGCAACTATAAAAAGCTCTCCTGACATATTCTCCCCCTGAAACTGAAACTTTAGGGAAGGTTTTGATTTATGATATATATATATACAAACATGCAAGGCAACGTCAGTTTGATTTTCATTCAGTAATTTTTTATGTTTCCTACTTATTATCCTTAATGATGAATAGAAATAAATAAAAGGTGATAATATCCTAGACCAAGACAAAATAGGATGATTATCTATCAGCGAAAGACGAGAGGTGTCTATGTTTGCTTGTAGGCCAGTGTTGTGCCATTATTTTAGGACTGTAATGATGTATATTTGCTTGAATTCAATTATTGGGATCTTATATGACGAGATTGAATATGCATGTAAATTGTTTTTGAGAGGTTACGAGATTAAATACCATTAAAATTATTTCACATCCTCAAGTTTCGGTTGCAATTTTCATATGCAAAGTTTGTTCAAAATAAATTTTGATAGATGATGCATTGCTGAGTAAAGTATTGAGTATACTTAAGAAGATTATTGAGAACATTAAAGCTCTACGCGGTGAGGAGGTAATTTTAGGTTGCAACACTTTGGCAAGCTAAAGGCAGCAATTGCAACACTTTGGCAAGCTAAAGGCAGCAAAACCCTACTTTCATGTTGCAACAGTACTTAGGCAGTCTAAATGCAGCAAAACCTTCTTCAAGGGTCTCAAAGACTCCAACAACTCTAAGAGAGCGTATTTTTCTAAGTTTTTGAGAACTCTTAAAAGAGGGTTTTGGTGTTAATATGATATGACATATTAATATACAATGATATGAGCGTTTCTTTTATAAAAACATTTTATGTATTTATGTAGATGTCATATGTATTTTCTTTTTTATTTTATGCTTGAGGAAAACTTGCAACATGGACTTTGCTAGTAATATGGGTCACTACAAGCAGCATCCTATCTTATTACATTCAGCAATGTGTTAAAGCTTCCTTACTCTATTTCTTTAATCTCAACATCTCTCTGATAGAATCAAAGGATCTGAAAAAATCTTTGACTACGTTTGTATAGTATCTTGGGCAATCCCACATTCGTTGTAACTGCTTTGGATTTATATTTTCTGCTGTACACATAGGGGAATGATAATAAACTTTCTCTCACTACACAACTCATAATGTGAATCTATTAAAGGTTTGGTTTGGAATCTCTTGGATCTTCTTTCACAAGCCTGAAAACCTCTTGGATCTTCTTTCACAAGCTCTTGATAAGCAGCTATTAAAGATTTGGTGTTTGTTATTGTGAAAGCATAAGCACACAATGCTTGTATTGCTTGCATCCATTAGTTTTGGATAATCAGGAAATAAACCTCCAAGTTGTGATTCATAATGGAGTCATAAGTTTGATAGAGATTTTTCCCTCCATTAACTGGACCACATTTTTGACAATCACAAACAATGATCTTCTTCTTCCTCTGTAGGTGAAGTTTATAAATGCTATGTTCAATCACCCATGTTCTTGTTGCCTCTGTAAGGTCCCCACAATCCCATCAGTCGATAGGGAAATTAGTCAAATGATTGGTTCATTCGGTTCTCTAAACGAATAATGGAATGTTTCGGTTAACCAAAAACCGAACAGACAATGGACTAGATTCGTTTCGGAGTATGATTGTCTTTATAGTACCAACCGCAGTAGATTTATAATCTGATTACAGTATCATTATCTTTCTATCTATCTTGATGTAATCTAACACATTCTTTGGTTCCGATTCACAGTTTCTTGGCAAACCAACTTACGTGTCCATCTGACGCAAGTAGAATCAATCCCTGTCATTTTACTCTCATATAACTTTATCTATTAACGCACCTAACACTCAATCTTCGCATTATTGTACTACCTTGTGCTACTCAAGTTCCGAAAAAAATGAATGAGAAAAAGCAGATTTAGGGTTTTGTAGCCATTTTATTTATTTATTTTGAAGTTTATCCAAAGTGCACTGATCTTTTTGTAGCAATTTAATTTCTTCATACTCTGATTGAAGGTTTTTGTTATAAAATGTAACCCCAAATTGTATGTGATTAATGCGTACTTTATGAGTAAAGTAAGACGTTGTTGGCAGCTGATCATTGGTTATGCAAATAGTTATGTCGCATTTGGAAATATTTAAACTTTTAAGAGTGGAAAAAAAGTTTGAGTCAATAGAGTCGTTGTCACCTAGAAGCCAAACAAAATGCGTAACACTTGATCATAGGTTATAAATGTGTATTTGACCTACTCTTCCTTGTGTCGTATAGACTCCGATTCCTCTCCTCGTTAATTCCTTGTGATTCAAAACTTCAAAATGACTAACACAATCGTTATTTACAATTGATTTATCGCAGACAAGATAACAAAGATAGTTTTTTTTTTCTTCCTCGGCATAAACATATATACTTTAAGAACTATGGCATTCCTCTTTATTGGGAAGATATATTATGTATCCTATAACAAGTTGTATTATCCGATGGTTGAGTAAGAGCGGTGAAAGATATGTCTACCGGTTGATATGATATCATGGTTTGCCTTTTCAATTAGTTATTGTATGTGCTTTAAATGAACACAATTCCAGTTTTAAACATATTTTGGAGATTAGTATAGGTTTTGACACACCATCTATTTCGAGTATATATCCCCCCAAGAAAAGGAAACTTGTAATATATTTTTTAGCTTTAGAGAAAAATATTGATAATTCATGGGGAAAATTAGAGAGGTGTGTGTAAAAGAGTGTTCAAGCTGAACAAGTAATCAAACACATTGTCCTCTTTTGCTTCTCCGCTTTTTCTTCAACTTTTTTCAGAAAGGTTTGGTTCACTTCCACTCTCAAAACTAATTTATTAGCTTAAATTTTACTAAACCGACATATGTAAACTTGTTTATTATATTAGATTAAGTACGATGGGATGCATCCGGACTTTACAATCATTATCATAAAAACATCAATTAACCACGCTAACTACGACTTTCTACGGTAGACAATCTGATCACGAAAAAATATACCAATAATACATTTAAAAGTAAGTTAGTAGTACATTGCCCTTTTTATAATAAAAAAAAAAGAAAAAGAAGAAGCTAATGTTTTATAATTAATTTAGAAAGATACAAAGATTAACATAACTATTCGCATACAGTTTCATTGTTACCGTATGTTTTTATCACATATAATTGGTGTTATGAGTATCCAAAGTTAGGTTCGATCTAGTAAAAACATATACAAATGTGTTCAAAACGTATTTTTTAAGAGATTTTCTTTAGTGAATTAACATGTCACAAATTCACATATTTTGCTAATTTAGTCCCATGCCTTCAACTTAATATGTGTGAAGATTTTTGCATAATCTTTACACACAACCAAAATCTAACAAGATTGTGACTGTTCGAAAAGAATAGATTATATGTTCGTCCTGTTCTCTCATGGAGAAACGACGTTTGACATCAGTAAGCAGAGACAAATTCTGCTGTGAACATGGACCAACAAAAAATAAGAATATTTTTATATGCAAATTCGTAAACGTAATTGGAATATATTACAAGTTTCCCATTTTTTTAATGTGAATCTCATCCAAAACTCGAATTTCTTATGATCTTATCTCTTTTGTTTCTTTGTAAAAGGGTTTTTAGGTTATAGACTCATTTCTTTTCGTTGCAATACAACATTTAAAATTACACCCATAGTAGGATCGAACGCATAACCGTTATAATAGTATTTATGAGAGCATAGGTCAAGGAATCTGCTTTACCCCCCCCAAAAAAAAAAATTGTCTTTTCTTACTGTTTTTTTTTTGTAATTTTTCTACGCCTGAAAACTTTTCCATGATTAAATTATTACAACTTACATTTTTTATTTTCTTGCATTCAGCTTTAATATGAATATTTGTTGATACTTTATTGACTTACGAGTACTAGTTTACGAACAAGAATCTTGGCTTTTCCATGCAGCTATACTACTTGTACTACTTTAATCACTGGTTTTTGTCACCAACGTTTTTTTAAACACATTGTTCATTTATTTCTTTAATAAAATGTAAGCTTTGGAAACGTTTAGTTTTGTCCCCATAAATCTACTTTACAAAAATATATTCAAAGAATGTTATTTCGAATAGAGTACCCAAAAAAAAATGTAACTTCATATGTTTCACTGATTGTAAAAATAACAATCATAAAAGTAATGATTGTGTGTGTAGTCTATAGACATGGAGGTGGATCTATCATCTATGGATACATCAACGTCTAAAAACCCCACAAATCAAGGGAGATACGTACTGTATATGAACAAAATTCAAAGTTCAAGATTCATTTGCTTTTAAGTTTGTTCTTTTCCGTTCAGTTTTGGATTTATTTATATTTTCATACATAAATATGTTTATATATATTCTTCTCTAATAAGAAGATCATCAACAGAAAAAGTAGGGCCAATGTTAGCTCTTCAACTATAACGCAGTTAATGCAGGCGTAGTGAATACTACTAATTAATAAGCTAAAACATTTTGCATTTAAATCATGTCATGAAACACCCATACTAATCTAACCTTAAATTTTAATACAGTACCAAGTAAGTTAACGGTTTAATTTTGTAAGAAAATGTTTGATAGATAGACGTCATTAAACCTATTTTTGAGCAATGTGTCAATTAATTTACCTTGAAAGCGAAGGCTGTAAGAATTTCTGTCGTTTTCTAGCTAAGTCATATTTGTTGAGCTCGAGAACTAATTCCTTAATTAAGCACTTACAAAATTATTAGTACTTATTGTCACTCTTAATACATTTTGTTTTTTTTTTTTGTATGAGCATAGATTTAATTAAGAAGATATAGTTGAATAGAATTCAACTCTGCCTAACCTAATCTTTTGGAGTAAGACTTTCTAGATGCAGGACTTCGGTTAGAGGTAATATGAACGTTAATACTATATATTATTCTTGATTAAAGTAGAGATCGAATTATCAGTTGAGCTTTTAATTACCAAGTTTTTTTCTCCACGTTGATTGCTTAAAACCAGATTAATTAGCCTTCTTCTGTTATAGTATATCCTTTTTGGATGGTTCTTCTTTTTTTTTTATCGCAAAGTGGACAACAAGTAATTTTCCATAGTTAAGTTAATTGATTCACATTCACCTAGACGATTATATTTCATTAAAAAAACCATTTTTCTAACCAAACCAAACTATCAAGATTTAAGACCTAAATATAAAGAAAAACTTGGGTGTTTTAATGTTCATTTTATTAAAGAATTTCAATTTGTTGGTTACCGAAAAAAAAGTAATCCAATTTGTTGACAAAAATTAAAAATAAAAGGGAGAAAAGAAGAAAACCAAAAATGGAAGAGGAGAGACAAGTGGCAGCAATTCACGGATGCACAGAACTCAGTAAGTATAGTACCAAACACGCACCATTCACACTTCCCCTTTATTTTTATTTTTTTTACCTTTTTTTTTTAATACTTTCATATTTTTTTTAACATTTTGAACTTTCAAATAACTCCGAAGCCTCGTCTTTTCTCCGGCGTCTTCCTCTTTCTCCTCTGGTTCGCTCTCTTCCTCTCTTTCTCTCTCTCACTCACACTTTCTTTGCGCAATCATTCTTACAACCACAGTAATTTTCTCCAATAAACCCGATCTGGATTCATCACCTCTTCGTTTTTCTGATCTCCGAGCTCCGTGAAATGTTTTCCCCGGAGAGTTTCTCCTCCGATTTCGAGTGAGTGAAAGATGAAGAGATTTCGATTCGCCGATTCGAGTTCCCGAGATCAATTAGCTTCGAAATTGCCCAGTTCTCGTGAAGGTTTTCAGTTTCTCCTCTCTCTCTCTTTCCGTTTCCTCTTTTATGTTTCCGTTTCTGCTTAGTAAACTGAAAATGCCGATTTGATGAGTTTCTTTTTGTTCTAGCCTACGCAGTACTCGAATTCGTCTTGGTAAACAAAATTGTTTTTTTTTTTTTTGTTTTTGGTTCGTCGGTTTTATTAATATTCTAGCAAAGCTTCTGAGATTTTCTGAGCAACCAAACATGGCATCTACTGAAAAACAAAATTCCTTATTTTAAAATGAAACTGGAAAATTCAGAAATCTATTATTGTTGTAAAAAAAGAAGGTTATCGTTCTGGAGATAAAAAAACAAACAAAAACATGCTAATTTGTTTGTTGTGGAAAACTACAGTTAAAGCAGTGGGTAGAGAAGATGAGATGGCTACTTTTATCATAAAGTAAAGAAGAAGAAGAAAAAAAAAGATCTTAGGGAAATGTTTGTTGGGTAGTGTCATGATTTGGTTTGTTTGTTAAAATTTCAATTTTTTTTGTCAACAGTTGTTATGATTTTAATTTACATGTAATGAGTGCTCTTAACCTCCTGCTTTATTACATGTTTTATGTTCTTCCCCCACATTTTGTGCTACAAATTACTCTTTTTGTCTCCCAAATTTTGATTTTTATTTAGTTTCTCCCGTTGTAAAGTCGATTGCTTTATCATCAATTGAGTTCACTAAAAAAAAAATTCATCTTATTCTCATTAGTGGATTTCATTTTTTTCAGGGAAGAAACGGAGTCATAAACACAAGTCTCCATCTTCTGAATTCAACTCTTGCCATTGTGAAGCTTTAAGTGGAAACAAGGTATGGATACTCTTTAAGATTATATTAACCATTGAGAGGAGATGTTTGGTTCCAGTTTGTTGTTTGAAAGTGACTTCTTGCTCATATTGTAGCTGCAGCAAGATTTTGCTCATCAAAGCACTGGATTACCAATGAAAAGTTTGTTAGCTCAAGAAATGTCGAAGCAGAAAGAATCTAAAAGGAGGTCACCGAGCATTATAGCGAGATTGATGGGTCTCGATGTGTTGCCGCCTCAGAGTTCTTCTTCTCATAGACAACAAAAGTCTGTGGAGAGTCAGCAAGGCAGGAGCTGTGGAGGCACTTCTTATGATGGTTATAATAAATCTCTTAGAAGGAGCTCAAAGAGTGAGCAAAAGTTTAAAGATGTTTTCGAAGTTTTGGATGCAAAGAAGGCAGAGAGCAACAGAGACTTGTATCATCAGGGGAGGGTGAATGCTGCGAATCTCACCCAGGCAGAGATGGCTTTTATACGGCAGAAGTTCATGGAGGCTAAGCGTTTATCAACTGATGAGAAACTTCGTCATTCTAAAGAGTTCAATGATGCTCTTGAGGCTCTAGACTCTAACAAGGACCTCTTACTGAAGTTTCTTCAGCATCCTGATTCGTTATTCACTAAACATCTGCATGATCTTCACAAGCCACGTTACGGTCAAGCACCATCTCTGAAGTCTCCGAACAGCCAGAGGCATGTAGAGAGTCTGAGAACTCAGAAAGTTGATAGGGATTTGTTAAGGAAGAGTCATAGGTCGCCTCATCAGCATGGTGGTGGTTGTCCTAGCCGTTCTCATACTAGGAACGTCTCTTATGACACACTTGACTTACCAAATGAGGAGCTGGGAAAGAGAAGCGAGTTGCAGCCAACCAAGATTGTTGTTCTGAAACCTAACCTCGGTGAGCCGCGTTCTTCCGGTAGAACTGTTGCATCGCCGAGCTCTTCTTCCGATGAGTTCAGAGCAGATCGTAGGCTTCCATGCACCAGCAATCATGGCAGGCATAAGAGTAATGAAGACATCCGCCTTTCAAGACAGAGTTCAAAAGACTCCGGAGAATTTTCCAAGATAATGTCGAGGCAAAGGAAGGCGAGCTGTGGCAACGGTAGTAGTGCCATGAGCTTTGAGACTTCAGGATTCAGAGGATATGCAGGGGACGAAAGCTCATCGGGGAGTGATTCCGCGAGTGAATCAGAGCTAGTGCCAGTAACTTCAAGAACAAGAACCGCCTATAACCGTAAGAACTACCATCGATCTTTGCCTTCCAAGTCATCAACATCATCTGTAACTAGGGAAGCCAAGAGGAGACTGTCAGAGAGATGGAAGCTGACACACAAGTACGAGCAAGAGATAGAGATTAGTAGAAGCGGCACACTAGCTGAAATGCTTGCAACTTCAGATAGGGAGGCAAGGCCAGCAAGTTTTAATGGGCTCGTTTTCGAAGAAGGGATTAGTAAAAGAGTCGAGAGCAATGTTCAGTGTTCGGAATTGCCAGAACCGGTTGGAATCAGCAGCAGGGATGGTTGGAAAGGATCCAGCTCAAGAAGCTTTTCGAAATCCAAAACCATCACGAACCAGGAAAGCACTTATGGTTACACTATAGTGCTTCCTAAGGAGTTGATCACTCGAGATGGATTAGTGAAGGGAAGCTCTTCTCATCAGTGGGAGTCCCAGTCACAGTCTTTCTTGTCAAGCAAATCTAGACCTGGTAGTAATAAATCTCATTCACCATACAATAGTTCGCCAGAGGTCAACATCAGCCCAAGTTTAACAAAGTTCCTTTATATGAACGATGGGATTCAAAAAGAGAAGCTCTCTCCTTCTAAAGCACGTTGCAGTTTCTCAGTAGATGCAGATTCAGACACTGAGGATAGTTCAGCTTCTGATGATATCAAGACGGCAATGTCTTCTGAAGCTCCAGATTTGTCAACTGTCACCTCTTTAAATGACCCTGTAAGTGATCATTGTGTTTCAATATCATAGTGTGAATGTAACCTCGTTAACTCATCCACATATCTAATTGTTTACTGATGTTGTAGGATATCTCAAGAATGCCAACAACTGAGAATATGAATCATTCTTCGGTTCCTGAACCACAGTCTCGTGAAAGCTCGAAGGAAGGAGACCAACCAAGTCCAGTTTCAGTTCTAGAAGCTTTCGATGATGATGTTTCATCGAGTTCTGAATGCTTTGAGAGTGTTAGCGCTGATCTCCAAGGTAAATCAATCACTGTTTGTTAGAGTTATTTCCAACCTACTCCACATTTGGTAGCAAAATCTATTTTTCAATCAAATCTGCTTATCTCTATCTTATTTTTTAATTCCAACATGGGATAATGCCATTTTTTCTCTTCCAGATATGAAAAGATCATCTGGTTTTCTATTCCATTTTGGAATTGAATTTTTTATTTATAAAGTAATCCTTCAAATTTTAAATAATTTTACTTTAAGAGTTATAAATAATGATTTCCATAATGATTCCTTTTTAGTGATGATTATAAATATTAAAACACTCTAATCTCTTTAAATTAAAATTAAAATAACATATAATAAATGTGTTTTTCTTTATATTATAATAGTTAATTTTGAAGATTATCATAATTTATGGAAGTTTTGGAAGAAATAAAATTAATCGGTTAATTTTTTAATTTTGAAGAAAATTATATACTTAACAACTAATAATAAAATAGAAAAAATAATATACTTAAAATATTCTTTTTGAAATAGAAAATGTGGTAATACTACATTGGAAAGAAATCTTATTTTGGGTAGAAAAATAGAATAATACAGCTTAGTCCACTAATCCTTTCGTAGTGTATCTTTTTATTGGTGCTAGTGTGTATTTCATTGCTTGGGTTAGATCACGGATTATATATACAGACCACTGAATATGTTTTGACGTATTAACCGTTGTCTCTCTACCTTACAGGACTCAGGATGCAGCTTCAGCTCCTTAAACTCGAGTCAGCCACTTACAACGAAGGTGCCATGCTCGTGTCGAGTGATGAAGACACAGATCAAGAGGAGTCATCCACAATAACTGACGAGGCTATGATCAACCAGGAGCTCGGAGAAGAAGAAGACTGGAAGTCATTGTACTTGGTCGATCTCCTCGACAGCTCCAGGTTAAGTGACTCAGACCACACCACTGTCATGGAAACAGCACCTGTAGATCCGGCCTTGTTTGAGGATCTCGAGGAGAAGTACTCCAACGTGAAAAACTCAAACCGGTTAGAAAGGAAGCTCCTTTTTGACCAGATCAGCAGAGAGCTTAACCTGATGCTGAAGCAGCATTCGAATCCACACCCTTGGGTTAAACCCACGAGGGTCTCTAAGAAATGGGATGCAAACAAGGTACAAGAGACTCTGCGAGATTTGGTGACAAGCAAAGGAGAGAGGCCAAGCAAAGATGATGCGGAGGAGAAGGAGTTGCAGTGGCTGAGCTTGGAAGATGACATTGATTCCATAGGTAGAGGTATTGAGGAAATGCTGACAGATGAGCTCATAGCAGAGCTCGTGGTAGATGCAATTTTCTAGAAAGTAAAATAATCATATTATCTGTAACATACTTTTGAAGATGGAGGAACAAAAAACAAGAAAAATGCAAAGTATGTAATGGCAGTTTCCATCATATGAGGTGATGAATAATGAAAGCAAGCGTCTCTAACAAAAATGCAATAATCATAATCTGAAAGTTTCTGGTCTTTCTTAATGAACATTGAGAGTGGAATAGTTAAAGTCTTAAATCTTCGAACACTGATCTGAGTCAAACTAATGAGGTGCCTTCTAGTTTTCCGGATTTGCCCTTGGGAGTGATGATGGAGGTGGTGTTACTGGTGTAGTCCAGAATTGGGCATTTTTGACCTTTGAGAGGCAACCCAATACTTGCAAGGGAGTGATGTCTCCAGTCACAGTAACCTTCTTTGACGCAAAATCTATGCTGAAGGATGTCACACCTAATTAATTGCCAAAAAACATTTTACAATTAGCAAAAGTGTCCATCTTATATTCTTATTCTTTTTACAATGTTCTATAAACTAGAAATATTTGGATTGGGTATAGATAGTGATACACGTTACATGTCCCGTACCGGATCCGTTCCCCCACCTTAGATTTTCTATATCAAACAGAAACTTGAAACCAAAAATGTGTTTTGGCTAGACATGCTTTATATATGTGGTTTTGTAATAACTGGATCTCTTATACTAAAAGACAAGACTCTCCACTAAGTAAAATCTGTAAACTTGTTGTTGAGTGTTGTGGATAAGAAAAATAAATTTAGCAGAAACGTAAATACCATAAAAATAGAGTGGTTTTCTAAAAGTAAAGAAAGAAAGAACAGAGGTTTTGTTTACCTTGCATTCTGGATAGATGTTTCTTCACTTTGCCTTGACAGCCTCTGCAGTGACAGTGAAGAGACACTCTAAGAACAACAACCTGCATTCCAAAACACAACACACATTCACCCTTCAATCTCTCTTGTTTTTACATTCGTGCCACTCATTGTACGGTAAACGACAAGCTTTACTTTACTTTACTTGCCTGCTGGTCTGAACCAGAAGAAGAAGTCTTGTTCATCTTCTCTTCGTCGGCAGCACCAGAGCCTCTTTTTGGCAAAGAAGCTTCACCCTCCTCCGCTACAACCGTATCCTTACCACCACCCGTAGACCCGGATAAAGAAACCGGTTCGGATCCTAGGAGATACCTAGTAGAACCAAGAGGAGTTTTGGTAACGTCACACGCGGGTGTCGCGACACAGCCAAAACTCTTCCTCGCTAAGCTAATATTATCACTGCTGATTAACTTCAACAACGACCCTGAACTGCTCTTCCTTCCCTTATCCACCTGAATCATCTTCCCGTCGCCGGATGAGGATGAGGGTACTCTCGTCATTTTTGAAAGCTGACGGTACGGAGCAATGTAGTCGTCGCCGGAAGAGCACGGTGCCGTGTAAGATCTCCGACCATCTTTGATAATCGGATTATGACGGTCGATGGCTCGTGCCACGACGCGCCGTTCGTCGTGGTTAGCCGTAGCCGTCGATGCTTGCGATGCACAAAACATAACTTTTTGATTTTTTTTTGAGGGGATAGAAACTTTGCAAAAACGAAGCTCAGTAATATATACAAACAATCACATATACGTTATATATACATGTGTGTGTGTGTGTGTAATTGATAATGCGTCAGTGTGTCACATGAGTGTAAGGCCAGAGTAACAGAGAGTTGAGTAGAAACGCTCTTGTATTGTCCACATAAAAACACATTAGAAGTTGAGATGTCACTGTTGACTATTTATTTACTACAATACATTTATTCTCCTTGGATATATTCAAATGTTTGTTTATTCAATTCGACCTGATAAGTCTTTTGTTCAGAAGTGGAAAAGAAGATAGAAAAGGGTATAGAGGGAAAGACTTTAATTACAAGTTTTTATTTTCAACTAGGTAGAAAGAGAATGAATATAGCAATTTATAAAGCGATCTGATTCCTTATAAAGCGATCTGATCTCAAGTTCTAACAGACTGAATCACTCTATCCAACAAACACCCGAAGTGGAAACTGAAATGCTTACCGCTAATTACTTTTTAAAGCTCAAAATCAAGCTGCCTTTTGCAGCTAAATCTTTTCTAGATACATATGCAACCTATAGAAATTACCTTGATTAATTCAAAACCTAATCTTATCTATGCATATGTGAGTTTTCTTTATTTTCATGTCTCTAAAACATGAAACATTTTTATTGGCAATAAAATATTTTTACAAGTTGAAAATGTAATCACGAAACAAAAAAGAATACAAAGCTTTGACAAATTAAGTTTTGTTTCAAATACAAAATGCTATTAAAACAAATATAATAGGAAACAAACAAGCAAGACATTTTTCACAGAGGAAGGGTCCAGATGTCTTTTGAAAGCATTCCAAGTTTGTAATTGTATGATGAACCTAGAGAGTGTACCAGTTCATATCTATACAAATATCATGCGAAGGATAGAGAGGCTAGTCGTTGGAAATATACTATCTTCTTCCACTAAAATTGAGCCCACTGGGCACTAATGATTGGCCCAATGGCATTTTAGACATAAAAAAAATCAGCTAATAAGTACTAGTCGTCGTAATTTGTGTGTCTTGGTGAAAGAACAAAAAAACACAAAGAACAAGAAAAAGAAGAGTAGAAGAAGAAGAAGGAACAAAAAAGACTTAGTGGAGCTCTTGAAGAAGAGACTATACATATATCAATCATTGCGAAAGAAGAAGGAAGATATTACTATCTCTGTGTGACTGACTCAGAGACCTTTGCCTTCGTCTTCGTTCAAGATTCGGTTACGGAAGTCACTGACCATACGAGGCAGACCCTCTCGCAGAGAGATCTTTGGTTCCCAGTTCAGAAGCTCCTTTGCTTTGCTTATGTCTGGCTTCCTCTTGTGAGGATCATCCGCCGTGTTCTCTCTGAACTCTATGGTCGCGCTCGGGTCAATCACCTCCTTCACCACCTGCATACAAAGTTCCCGTTTAATTATGATGATCCCATTCTGAGTTCAAATGAACATTTCAAATCTTGATGCAAGTTTGGCATATAAACCGAATCAAACTGAAATTCTTCAAACCAAAACCAAACAAAAAAAAACCCGATTTGTGGGAGAGAAAAAAGGAAGACGCAAAAGTAAAGCAAACCTCTGCAAGCTCAAGCATTGTGAATTCTCCTGGGTTACCAAGATTGAAAGGTCCTACGTGATCGTTTTCCATTAACGCTACAAGTCCCTCCACCTAGAAAAAGAGATCTTGTTACTGTATCTAGGCAATACTGTATATTCTTTTACACTGCTTGGAGAAGTCATTCATGCAGCAGAATGGACTGAAACAGAGATTGTTTATTTACCAAGTCAGAAACATATTGAAAGCTTCGAGTTTGTTTTCCATCACCATAAACAGTCATTGGTTGTTTGCGGATCGTCTGCGTAGATGTAAAACATCGTTCTGTGAGGATTTTTTGTAAAAGGCTGTAAAGATTAAAAAAAGTTGCTTTATATTGATGAAAGAGCTAAACCTGGGCAACAAAGTTACTAACAACACGCCCATCATCGAGGCACATCCGGGGTCCATAGGTGTTGAAAATTCGAGCAATTCTAACCTGAAAATTGAGAAAGTACTAATAAACATTCCAATATTCAAAATTCTCCTATCAATAAAAGTAAGAAATAGCATCATCAAATGTAACACATCTTGATAAACAGCAGGGGAATGATTTTGACACTATTTGATAAAAAAAAACGCCATGTGTTACATTTCTATGGGATAACTCATAGAATGATTTTGACACTATTTGACACATCATGCATGAGTTCCAAGTTGTATAACTCCATCAACTGTGCCAAGAGCTTGCAAGTATACAATCTATGGGACAACTGTCATAATTTACCTCCACACCTGCACCTCGGTGATAATCCATGGCCAGGGTTTCAGCAGTACGCTTTCCTTCATCGTAGCAACTCCTCTCACCTGTAAAAAGATATCAGCAACTAGTGATCAAACTCTCGTTTATTTATACATCTCAGGAACTCAGGAACAAAATACAGAATCGCCCAGCTCACCGATTGGGTTCACATTTCCCCAATACGTCTCCTTCTGAGGATGCTCAAGAGGATCTCCATAGACTTCACTTGTGCTGGTGAGCAGAAACCTTGCTCCAACTCTCTTTGCAAGACCCAACATATTGAGAGTGCCCATTACATTTGTCTTGTGAAACCATCGTTAAGGAATTAGCCAATGCAAGCATTTCATCACGAATCATCATAACAATTGTTGTTAGAGATGCAAGCAATTTATCAGAAAGATACTCTGCGTATCAGCTGTATGCTAAGTGAACATAGAAGCTAAAGTTTCCTAAATTGAAACGGTGGATTTGGAATCAGAACTAGCATTAAGGAAGCAAATCACGATGCGTTAAATATAGAGAAGTAATCAAAAAGGATATGATAGTCTTGACTGGATTATACTTGTAATGAACAGGCGATGCTGGGCAAGCTAAATGGTAAATCTGATCCACCTCGAGGAGGATTGGCTCAACCACATCGTGGCGAATGAGCTCAAACCTGGGATTTGAGAATAGATGAACCAGATTCTCTTTCCTTCCCGTGAAGAAGTTATCAATCACGATCACTTCGTCTCCCCTCCCGATAAGCTTATCGACGAGGTGGCTACCGACGAATCCAGCTCCACCGGTCACGACGATCCTCAGTCTCCGACGTCCGATGCCGACGGGAACGCGACCGGTTTTACCTCCTCCGTAATTAAAGCTCATCCTGGAAGGCGAGTAAGTATCCACGACGTTGCTGGAAACAGATCTGGTGATGAGGGAGGTGGACTCGGCGGCGCCTAAACGGGAGAGAGAAGGCTGGAGGATGAAGAAGGTTGATCCGATCAAGATCCCGACGAGGATGAAGAGGAGTCTCTGTTCACGGAAGAGGTAGTGGAGCGATCTGGGGAGCGATCTGGGATGCTTTAAGGCCTTGGGAGAGTAAGGACTGGATTGGCTCGTGGGAATTGTCTCCTCGTCGCGCTTGGAGCTCATTTGCTTGTGAAGCTGCTTCATCGTCTCCGATAGAGAGTTGTCGTCGCCGGTAGAAGGAGATCTCTCAGAACTGCCGCGAAAAAGGTTTGGATCTGGACAGATTCAACCGTTTAAAGAAGAAGACGAGGCAATAAAAGCGATGGGTTAGTTTAGTTACACGGCGATTACTTGATGCGGCATAATGCAATACTTCGCTCTCTTTTTCTTTTTCCTTATATATATTTTTAGTATGCTTCAAACGAATTCTTCTTCACACAGAGTATATACGTATGTGACTCACAAAGTCACAATATTTTTCTCAAGTAATAATTAAAAAGTATGAGAAGATATTTGAGATGATTCTCAGATGAATGTGTATGCAAGTGTGTTCAATGTTTGATTTATCTTTTCAGCTTATGTGAAGTCTATTCATAAATTATTGAATTAACCATATTTCTTCTCAACTGAAATCATACTATCACTGGAGAAGTCCTTTTGTTTTATGCCTCGTACTTTTTTTTTTTTTTTGGTTATTTATGCCTCATACTTGTAGAGTAGATATATATAAAGATGATCTTTGTATATATCTACTCTAACACAAAGATCTTTGTATATATCTACTCTAACAATACTATCTTCTTCGTCTTCTGTAAGATAAATCAAAACATATAGGTGGAGCTGATAAGAATACTTCAAAAATAAGATATTTCTATCTAATATTCCACTCTTTTGGCCTTTTGGGTAATTGGTTTCCTTATTCGTCATAATGGAAATTATTATCAGTGTCGTAAGTTTTTCATTGGTTACATTTTGTTTCTCGCTGACACTGATAACATCCATCTCCTCAAGCAAAGTTTCATAAACCCATTTGAAAACATGTTCAAACTTTACCTTATAGCATAAACACACATAAGAAACAGTTTCCATTGAATTCATCAGACCTATTAGAGTATTAGACAAAACAAAACGTCAGCAAACCTTCTCAGAGTGTTTTTGTTTTGATATATTTTTCGGATTATAAAAGTTATTAGCTTTTTTATATTGGAAAATTTACCAAAATCCAAAACTAACTTTTCAAAGAAAAAGTCTTACTAAACTAAACAGCTTTATTTCAAAACCAGAATTTTCTTAACTTATTATCTATCAAAAGCACTATTAAAGTGTATACATTCCATGAAATATGCCTTTCATTCGTTTAAGCTTGATAGAGACAGGCATGATGAAATTGTGTACAGTTTTCTATTAACTCGCGAGGTTTCTTGTAAGAATGGGTTAATGAGAGTAAAATATTCAAGAAAAACGGATATAACAGCCACACCAAACTTCTATATGCCTAATTATATCTAACTCGTCACGTTAGACTTTCTATTACATATTTTCTAATGACAGTTTTCTTGTTGGGTTTTCGTATGTAGCTCTACAACTTTAAAACTAGTAGCCGAACGTCTCCACGTTTTGATGCCAGAATTTTCTTCATTTCCTTTTTTGTTACACTAGTCCTCCGTACATATCCTTATACAGTTTTTTGTTTGAAGGCTTCAGTCACACATGATTAATCAAATACTTTAAAGTCGATTACACGCCATTACGCATAATGACATGCCTTTCTTTAATCTAGTAGATAGTACTACCATGCCAAATTCCTAATTATGAGAGTATCTTTTGATTAAATGTACAAATAATCATAACCAATTGCAAAAATCTAATTAATTAATACCCCAACAGTAGATGTAAAAACAGTTACTTTCGAAGATTAGAAAAAGAATTCACTGCTTAAGCTAAAAAACAAAACCATCTTCTTAATTAGTCAAATATTTGTCCACACCGAAAAACAATGTCTTACGAAGCCTGTGAATGAATATAGAAAACTCGTGACTAAAACCAAAAAATAAAAAACTCGTGACATATGTAAATGAATCCAGGGAGAAAATTTAAATTCCCATTGGGGCAGAAAAATGTTACTATCGTCTTTACTGTTAGGACAAATCTTACACACATGAATCTACCCATTCTTTTTACAATTCCACAGAATCCGGATAAATTCAATACAGATGAAATAAACCCGCAAGTTTATGAAGTAAAAATCTTTTACTTTTGGGAGCAAAAAAACACTTAAAATAGGGTTTTCACAGGGTACCTTAAGCCCCAAGAAAGAGACGTATGCATACATAGATGGAAAAAACTGTGAATGAATTTGCCCAACTCCTCACCCACTCTTAAATTCAATTATATACATACGCCCATATAAAAAGGCTACATGTGTGTATATCAAAAGCTATAAAACCCAAAGTTAGATATTTAGAGATCACCAAACTAATTGACAAGTTTCTATCTCATTATTCCACCCCAAAACATCCTATAAAGTCTCATTTCTATCGAAAGGTTCACCCAGACAATAATTCTCGTGATGTCTGTTCTGCTCGGGAAATTATCTCCGGCCAGACGGGTCGTCAACGGCGATGACCTTCCTCTGTTTTACAGTGACCAGAAGTCCGTGGATCTTCAGAGAAGCACACCGAGAGTGTCTATCACACTTGCAGAGCTTCTCATGAGTGTGGAAGACGAGCAGAACGGGCAGAGTCGGGCTTTGGATGTTGCGGTTGCCTCCAATTTCTGGCCCTCGGTTCCGTCTTACTCCGTGCCTTCTTCTTCTCCGTTTGTTCTTTCCTTCAAAGACTTGACTTACAGCGTGAAGATCCGTAAGAAGTTTAAGCCACTTCCCTGTTGCGGGGATTCGCCATTAAATGGTAACGATATGGAGATGAACACTAAGGTGCTGCTGAATGGTATCTCTGGTGAAGCCCGGGAAGGAGAGATGATGGCCGTTCTTGGAGCAAGCGGGTCAGGGAAATCAACGCTTATCGATGCATTAGCCAACCGGATCTCGAAAGAGAGCCTACACGGTACTATCACTTTAAACGGGGAAGCTCTTGAATCGAGACTGCATAAAGTCATATCGGCTTATGTGATGCAAGACGACCTTCTCTTCCCGATGCTCACCGTGGAAGAAACTTTGATGTTTTCCGCGGAGTTCAGGCTTCCAAGCTCTTTATCTAAGAAGAAGAAGAAAGCACGTGTCCAAGCTCTGATTGACCAGCTCGGCCTGAGGAACGCGGCGAGAACAGTGATTGGTGATGAAGGACACAGAGGTGTCTCTGGAGGAGAAAGGAGACGGGTCTCAATCGGAATCGACATAATCCACGACCCGATTATCCTCTTTCTCGACGAGCCAACCTCAGGTCTCGACTCAACCAGTGCCTACATGGTTGTCAAAGTGCTTCAGAGAGTCGCGCAAAGCGGCAGCATTGTTATCATGTCGATCCATCAGCCGAGTTACAGAATCTTGGGCTTGCTCGATAGGTTAATCTTCCTTTCCAGGGGAAACACAGTCTACAGCGGCTCACCAACGCATCTCCCTCGGTTCTTCTCAGAGTACGGCCACCCGATTCCTGAAAACGAGAACAAGACGGAGTTCGCACTCGATCTTATCCGCGAGCTGGAAGATTCGGCAGAAGGAACAAAAACCTTAGTCGAGTTCCACAAGCAATGGAGGGAAAAGCAAATCTCAAGCCAGAGCAGAGGAAACAACAATGTATCTCTCAAAGACGCAATCAACGAAAGTATCTCCAGGGGGAAGCTAGTCTCCGGAGCAACAAACCTCAAATCCTCATTTCAAACTTTTGCAAACCCGTTCTGGAGTGAAATGGTGGTGATTGGGAAACGATCTATGCTAAACTCAAGAAGACAACCAGAGCTTTTCGGAATCCGACTAGGAGCTGTTCTAGTCACCGGAACCATCCTAGCAACGATTTTCTGGAAGCTAGACAATTCCCCAAGAGGTATACAAGAGAGACTAGGGTTCTTCGCATTCGCCATGTCCACAACATTCTACACATGCGCAGAAGCAATACCAGTTTTTCTACAGGAACGCTACATATTCATGAGGGAAACCGCTTACAACGCTTACCGGCGATCATCATACGTCCTTGCTCACACAATAATCTCGATCCCAGCTCTGGTGATCCTATCCGCTAGCTTCGCCGCCACAACTTTCTGGGCCGTAGGTCTCGCTGGAGGTTCCGAGGGATTCTTCTTCTTCTTCCTGACAATCCTCGCAGCGTTCTGGGCCGGGAGCTCATTCGTGACTTTCTTATCCGGCTTAGTTTCGCACGTGATGATCGGATTCACGGTGGTTGTAGCGATCCTCGCCTACTTCCTCCTATTCTCCGGATTCTTCATCTCCCGAGATCGAATCCCTCTCTACTGGATCTGGTTCCACTACCTCTCGCTCGTGAAGTACCCTTACGAAGGGGTCCTGCAGAACGAGTTCGAAGATCCGACGAAGTGCTTCGTCCGAGGGATCCAGATGTTCGACAATTCGCCGCTGGGACAAGTTCCGGCCGCCGTGAAAATCAGCCTCCTGGAGAGCATGAGCGGCGTTCTGGGGGTCAATGTTACGGCGGAGACGTGCGTTACGACGGGAATCGACATCCTGAAACAGCAAGGGATCACAGAAATCAGCAAATGGAATTGCTTGTGGATCACTGTCGCTTGGGGATTCTTCTTTAGAGTTCTCTTCTACTTCACACTCTTGATTGGAAGCAAGAACAAGCGCCGCTGATTCACAAATCTAATTTCTATAAATTTTATTTTGTTTTAATAAAAAAAAAGAGATTAGAGTAAAGTAACAAAATGGTTTATCATCATCCCTAATTAATTTTCTTTTGTTTTTCGAAAAATGTAACTATGGTTTGTAAAGTTCTTGTCTTAAATGAATTCATTCACTAAAGATGTCTCTTGTGATTCAAATAATAAAAACTGTTTTAAGGTAAAAATATGCAAAAGATACAGTTTACACAAAAAGATGCGAAATGTAATCTTGCCTAACATGGCAAGGGGGAAAAACGAAATTATCCTTTTTAATGGGCTTAAGAAATGTAAAATTAGGCCCACTATTTCTATTCCGCGTGCATTTTTTCTTCTTCTATATCGGTAACATCGACGTTTATCTCGGTATTTAACCTAAACCATCGATTGAAACGAAGACATCTAATCGCAACCGTTGAATCTCGTCGGTTTCAACATTTATAAGATAGGGGTCAAAGGAGTCTGCAGTATTGTCCGCGGTTCACTTGCGTTGTTTCGAAATTTTAATTAGGGTTACTGCGATTTCGCACTCTCCAGGTATGAAGATTCTGTGCAATTGGATCCTCTTTGTTCTGATTTATTGTTCGTCGCTCTCTTAATTAAGGGTTTTTCAATCGGTTTCTCAATTATCCGCTGTATATTTTTCTTCTAGATTTCTTCCTGCGCCTGATAGATTGTGCTACCAAAAATTTGCAGCTCGACAATGCCTCGCTTTGATGATCGCTATGGAAACACTCGCCTCTATGTTGGCCGCTTGTCATCCAGAACTCGAACCAGAGACCTTGAACGTCTTTTCAGCCGATACGGAAGGTATTGATTCATCTTTTTTTTTTTGCTTGCCTTGATTGAGCTATTTGTTATTTTGTTGTGTGTTTGGGTAGATTAGTATATGAAGTTAAAAAAAAAAGAAAATTCAATTGATACGAGTCCTAAATGATTCTGATTTGCTATTTGAAAGTTTACACTAGAATCGAAAGGGCTACACTTTCATCGATCCGGGGAAATTTTTGGTTTAGGTATAATTTTTTTTTTCTTTTTTTTTTCTTGACTGGAATGATCTTGTTGAAGGTTTCTGGGGGTTTGCCTAACCTGGAGATGTTTGATGAGTGGGTGGACTTTGGTGTGATTTGGTGGAAATTCTCGCCTGGTGTATAGAGAGTGCATCGGCGATTTTTGTTTTCTAGTTTTGATTGCATGTTTTTAGTGGAAGTGGCCTCAAATCTCTCAAAAAATGGTGTTTCCAAGTACCTTTAAGTAATGATGGCCTTGGTTTTCTGGAAATAATTTCCGCAGATTACGTGATGTGGATATGAAGCGCGACTATGCCTTTGTTGTAAGTTCAATACTTATACCTATCACCTATATCCGAGGGTTTGACTTTTCAAAAAATTTGTTCGTAAACTTTTTTTTATATTGTGCATCTACCATGTTGAGAACAGGAATTTAGCGATGCTCGTGATGCTGATGACGCAAGGTACTACTTAGATGGACGCGATTTCGATGGAAGTCGCATCACTGTGGAGGCTTCGAGAGGGGTTTGTTCTTTTTTTCCCTCTCTCTGTATTACTGATTTCTCCATTAGTTTGATGTAAATTACTGATGTTTTGCAAAAATCCTGAATTTATTATAGGCACCTCGTGGCTCTCGGGATAATGGTAGTAGAGGTCCACCTCCTGGTTCTGGTCGCTGTTTTAACTGCGGTGTTGATGGTCATTGGGCTCGAGACTGCACAGCAGGAGACTGGAAGAACAAATGTTACCGCTGTGGTGAAAGAGGACACATCGAGAGGAACTGCAAGAACAGTCCTAGTCCAAAGAAGACCAGGTACTTATATTTCTTAATTCCTTGTTTTTGCACAGTTCCTTTAAAGCTTTTTCTGATATACTTTTGTAATTGTAATAATCCAGGCAGGGTGGAAGCTACTCCAGGTCACCAGTTAAATCCCGCTCCCCTCGCCGCAGAAGAAGCCCAAGCCGCAGCCGTAGCCGTAGTTACAGTCGAGGTCGTAGCTACAGGTTAGTGTTGGTTTGAGCCTTTAAAGCATGCACTAGATAATTACTTTATAATTGCAAGTATGGATTAAAGATAAGAGGACAAAGTTAACTAGACCATAATGATTTTGTTGGTTAGAAGCTTATAATGATTCGGAGATTTGTCTGAAATTGTGTTAGTTTGTGCCTTTAACATGCACTAGACAATTATTCTTGACAATGTAGAAATGATTTTCAGCTTTGTTGGTTATTTATGCAAGTACGAATTAAGAGAGACGTTCTGGTGTTTACAATGCTATTTCAATATGAAGCTATAGGTCTTTTCTTAATAACTGATGCATTTTTGTTTTCATCAGCCGATCACGATCGCCCGTGAAAAGAGGAAGAAGCGTGGAGGACAGATCACGCAGTCCGAAGGCAATGGAGCGATCCGTATCTCCCAGAGGCAAAGACCGAAGCCTGAGTCCAGACCGAAGGGTCATAGATGCAAGCCCACAACGTGAAAAGCAAGATGGATCAGACTATGAAGGTAGCCCAAAAGAGAATGGTAATGGCAAGAACTCTGTGAGCCCCATTGTGAGAGGTGAAGAAAGCCCTGTTGGACTTGATGGTCATGACAGGAGTCCCATTGATGATGAGTCTGAGCGTATCCGTTCTTCCCCTAAAGGCAGCGAGTCACCTTGATGGCTCATTGCCCCCCCCCCCCCCCACCAAAGCTCAGTAGCTTTGTGTGCTGTTGTTGTTTCTTTGTTTCCCTTCTATTGCTTTGACTTGCTTTCTTTGTTGAGTCGTTGGTTTGTCTCTAAACAGCTTTCAAACTGTGTTTGTCTTTCATAAATTTGTTTTAGCAAAGACATATTTATAAGATTCTCGTTTGTAGACTCTTTCTTTTTAAGAAAAAAACTTCGACGATTTATGCATTTTATTCTAATATATTCAGTTTGTTTCTTATTCTACTATAATAAGCTCATGGGAAAAAAAATGCTTTATGTCCTGAAAGACGGCATTAACATGTCATAGGATGAAGCAAATGTTTGTAACTTTATATGTTGATCACTGTGATTCCTTTTTCTCCTCTCTATCTCAGTCCAAAACAAAATGTTTGTGAGATGAAGGTGCTGTGTATGTACATAAAGGTGACATTGAGTTACAGTAACTCAGTTACTAGGCCACACTGACCTTTATAGCTTCATAGGGTATCTTCAAGGCCAAGTTCGTCATCGTCACCATCTTCGAAAAGCTTGAGAAACCGGGCTTGCTCTTGTTGCCGTTTCTTCTTCCTCCAATACTTATAACCAACCACAAGAGCCACCGCAACTACACCTAACACAAGTACTACAATCAGTACCACAATCGCAGGATGCATCCCGCTCCTTTCTTCTTCCTTCTCAGAGCCAGATTCTTTATTCGAACCTGCAGAAAAGAAAAACACGCATATGATCTTCCCAATCGAGAACATAACTCAACTACGAATCTAGAACGAACAAAGAGACACATGGGAGAGTTTTGTTCTAGCTGGAGGAAACATTATTCATGTAATGTCAGATGTAACTCACCAGCTCCGACTTGTGAGCATCCATGGCAGAGAAAAGTAGCATCAAATTCTTTATCCTTGAGGTGTGTGTATCTACCCTCGGCAGTGAAATCAGAAGGACAAAACTCCCATTCGTCAAACGTATCATGATATCTAAGGGCGTCTTCCTCATAGACTCCACATCTCTTGCATTTCGTCCCGTTAAGTTCGGTTAGTGGCTGAAAATACCCATAAACAAAACAGAGCATATTATATCTTAAACACATTGACGATAAACAGCCTAACAAATATCGAAACTTCTTGCTAGAGCTATGAAATTCAGCAACATAACAATCAAAACCAAAATCAGCAAGAAAGCAGCAATCTCACTGTTGTTCTACATTTCGAAGGGAAAAGTAAAAACAAAACAAACCTGCCAAGATTCTTCGCCTTTGAAAGAGTAAGAGACATTCGTTCTCTTCACATCAGGGAACACCGTCTTGTTCTCCCCATTGCATTGGAAATAGACTGTAGGCTTTGTCGAGAACCAATCGTGAGTCGTGAAAATCCGAATCGAATCTAGTGTAACTTCTTGTGTTCGTATTGTTCCTGCGAGGAATCATAAACAAACATTGGATATTACAGCACGAGCAACGAAACAGTGAAATTCAAAAACTAGAAGGACGAAATCAGATTAATTTGTTACAAGAAAGCGAGACAGTGTGTTTACCCGGGAACGAGCCGAAGAAGATGAAACAAAATACGAACCCGCGAAAATCCCAGGAAGCCGACGGAATCCGGATTGACATCACGAATCCCTATCGAATCGCACCGATCAACCCCGATCAATGTATAAAAATGGCGGAGGAGGAGGTGTAATTGGGGTTTCGATTGACAGGAGAAGCTTAGTCGGAAAGAGGATGCACACAGCACACCCACGCACTGTTTGGATCTCGTCGAGCTTTTATGGCTATGGCGTTCGAGAGAAGCGTACTGCCTTCGTATAGGAAGTTTAGGAACGGACCGAGCCCATTGACCGCTTTGGTTTGCTGACTTTTATATTTTAATGTCGACTATGAATAATAAAATTGACGACATGTCAAATGGAGGAGATTCCAAAATTAATATATTTAACCAAACATCCATGACAAAAAAAAATCACCTAAAAATATAATAAAAATTAAAACTAAGATGGAGAACTAATGTATGAAGGCGGATCTACATATTGATGGGGTGGAACACGTGCCCCAGACTAATTGCATAGATTTTCTAATGAATAACTACTATATCTTATATGTTAGATTAGTTGGTTTTGGATAATAATATTTGAAGTTTTTCAGGAAAAGTTTTGTTGTATTTTTCATGTTTTCTTTATTTATTTAATTTTCATGTAAACTATTTTTATGTTTTTTTCCAATTTCTTCTATCATTTTATTATTTTTTATTATATTTTATATCTTTTTCATTTCTTTTATATTTTTAATATACATATTGTTATTTCTCTTTTTTTGAATTTTAATAAACTAGTTTTTCTTGTTTATTTTTTTACAGTTATATACTTAAAAACAAATAATTAAAGATACTAAATTTTATTAGATGTTCATCAAATAGTTTATAGTCTAATTTTGTATAAAAGCCATTTTATTATTATTTATATACTTTTTAAAGGGGTATCCCCTACACATTATTTGAGAAGTAGAATTAGTAAAAATTGCTGATGTGTCACACTCACAATCAAAGTTAGTGTATTGTATTGATGACATGTAAATGTGACATGTCAAATTTCCTAAAATAAACGAAATATTTTGATTGGTTGAATTAAAATTAAAGAAACTTAAAATTAAACATAACTACACTAGATTATAAATAATTTTAAAGTAACAAAAAAGATAATTATTATGATTAATATTTTTACATATTCATAATTAGATAAAGTATTAGTACGAAAATTTTACAATACATATACATATTTATACATTATAATTTCATATTAAAAGAAAAATATATAATATTAGATTATCCAATAAGATAGTAAATATTATATATATATTAATAATGTTTAAAGTATGATATATTCTTATTTTAGAAAGTTATTAATTTATGAAAATTTATAATAATAACATCTAAAAGGTTTAAATTAGATACATTATTAAATAGTAGAATTTAAAATAAAATAGAATCATGATACAATAATTTAAAGAATAAAAAAGATTTAAAAATAATAAAATAATAATTAACTTTTATTAAAAGTTTAAAAAGTAACATAACTTAAAATAATTTGTTTGTTCGAACCATTACTTATTATGGAAAATGAATAAAGTATATACTAATTATTACTATTTTATAGTATTAATATGACCATATATTTGTATATAATTTTAACACTTTTTATACTGCTGTTTTTTTAAAATTTACATAGTTTTTATTACCATCTCATCTTCTCTCTTATCATATTTTACATATCGAGAATTTAATATCATAAATAAAATAAAAATAATCGAATGAAAGAATAAATGATAATAAGATGAAAAAATATAAATAAGAAGTAAAAACAAACATAAATTTTTACAGTTTTAGTTATTCGTAAAAATATTGCAGTTTGTTTGACAAAGTTATTTAAAAAATTTTGAAAAGACACGTTATTTTTAATGAACACATGTGTATACCAAATTTTATAATACACACTTGCTTTTACAAAAATATGATTTCACAAATTTCATAACAAATTCTTATCATAATTTTTATTGAAAAGGAAAATTACTAATGGATTATCTAATGTACTCCATTTATCTTCATGGTAAAGTGAAATCTTATATTTTATTTTTTTAGAGTTTTTTGTAATTTTTGTTAATATTTAATTTAATTTTTAATTTGAAATTATATATCACAAAACGCAGAAAAATAATTTACCAAAAACAAAAATCGCTGAAAAATAATAAATTTTGATTTGATATTAAACGATAGAAATGATTTTCGTGATTGTTGATAAAAGCCGAAAACTATATTGTGTAAAAACATAACGTTTGCTGAAAATATCAGAAAAACTAACCAACATCTAAATATTATAATTTATTTATTTCTAGCTCATACTTACATGCATATATATACATATTTATTTCTTTTATAAAATTCAATGATAACATATTATAAATATATATGTATATATATATATATATATATATATTACAAAACATATGCATTGCTATTTTCTTTTAACACATGAAAGTCAATACTCGTTTTTTCCACAAATTTATGTATGAATATAAATATTAATTATGCAAAGGTCAAAGTCTCATACGAACATGTCGTTCATGAAATTTGTTAACCTCGATTACAGTGCAACCTTCTATCCGCTCTTAGGATAAGTAAAGATGCTAAACTCAATTTGATTTAATTAACATAGATCAAAAAAAATATTATATATGAATAGAGTATCATAAATATACAATATTAATCATATATTAAACATATAAATTATTTTATAGTCTGCACACGGTGCGGACCGATCACCTAGTATATTTTTTATATGTGAAGATATCTAAAAATCCATGAAAATAGTTTTGTTTATCAGTATATTTTTTAAAACTTGAAGTTCAAAATTTATTATAAAATATTATTTTTCAATAAAAAATTTACAATTGTAATTTTTTATTGTAATATTTTTTTATACCCATATAAATAATTTTTCTGGGTCTGCTCCTGTACATCGTGAGAAAAATTGCTTAGCTAATCAAGCATATGATACTTTTCCATATTATAAAGATGATTGCGAGGACCCAATCTATAGGCACAAAGGAAGTTCTCTCTTGAAATATGAAACCATGACATTTTTCTAATATACGTCAGGTCGTGTTTACGCCTAACAAAATATCGTGATAAAACTATTACAAGTGTGATGATGATTACTTTATAGTGGAGAGTTTGAATTTAAAAAAAAAAAAAAATACACCTAATTTCTAATTGTTTCATTAGGATCTTGTTATTTCACTGGCATCAGAATAAAAAGAAGAACCTATTTCCCATTATTTTTACTAGAACAAAGAATAAAAAAAAAGACAATGTTTTGTTTTCTTTCTTCAAAATCATATACAACAGATCATACAACAACAAAAAAAAAGTTATATGTTTATTTTAACCAAAAAAAAAAACATTATTTGTTTATATATCCTAAAAGGATTAAGAAGGCTGGCATGATCCATCATCATCTTCTTTGGAAGTTGAGTTTCCCAACAAAGAAAGCAAACATTGAAGCCAACACAATAGGAAAAGCGATTTGAACAACCGCCGTAACCGCCAAACGGTCATGATGAAATCCAAAATAGTCTTGTAAAAATTTCGAAGCCGTCGTGGATTCTCCAAACACGTTGATCTCTTCATGAATATCTCCATACTGAGACGAGAAAATCCCGTTGAGTGTCCAAGACGTTGGTGTTATATGATACAACCAAATCCACCACCCTGGAACTTGCTGCAGAAGAAAGAAAAAACATTATATACTAAACATCTTCCTTCCATGTAAAGATAATTCTTATATCCTTTGTTAAGATAAAAGAACCTTACCGTTTCAGGGATTAAAAACCCGGAGAAGAGGTTAAAATTAACAAAGAAGATCGACTGAAGAATCGAGGCAACCATGAAGTTTGGTGTTATGGAGATGAGGAACATGGCGAGGTAGTTGTAAGTGAGAAGAGAGGTGAACATTGAGTAGACTGACCAAAAGACTTTGTAGGTCGAAGGATAGAAACCGATCATCGGATATGTTACGACCACAAACTCGACGGCTTGTATGAACAGATACGGTATCTCAGTCACAACTTGACCTAATGCGTAAGCAGTCGCTGAGTACATCCCTGCGAATCTCTCTCTGTACATAACGTTTCTCTCCGTTTCGAAATACTGAAGAGCTGATGCACAGTTGTTTATCCCTAGGAAGAGCACAGCCCCGTAGATCGCTCCAATCACAGTGAACAAACTCTGTTGAGTATCTCTGTAACAAGATAAAAACTTAAATGGCATTATTCGAAAATCTTTGATAGTGGATACACAAGATTTCATGGTTACTTACATTTTCTGGCCTTGTTTCCAAAAGAGCGCGCCGAAGATCAAAGAGGAGATTAATGTGTGAATGAGACGCATTAGGTTATAAGAAGGGCTTCTCCAATAAGACAAACTCATCTTCCATAGAATAGATTTGAACTGTCCATACCAACTCTGTGCAAATGTTCTTTTAAACTGTAAATCACTTGATCCTGAATCTGGTTCGCTCGACTGTTTCACTAGCTCTGAGTTGCTCCTATGAGAATCAATCAACACATGTTTTTTTTTTCATTAATAACCTTTTTTTTTAGAAAGCACAAAGCAAATAATTTGAAGATTCACTCACTTGAAAAGAGCGGACTCATGGTAGATTTTTGCGAAATCGAGACCAAGCTCAATTTCTGCAGATTGTGAGCTAACATCAAGCATCCATGTTGCTGGATTGTGGTTGTCTCTTATTTTAGGAACACCTGGTACACTCTGTTATTTAACATAAACAACAACAAAAACATAAGTTTTTTTAATCTATCTGGTAACAACATTCATAGAGCAAACTATAAGCAAATGTACCTCAAAATACTCGATGATATGACATGAATGTTGACCCAATGGTCCTGTGTAGATCATGCGACCACCTCTTTTAAGAAGGACCAACTGAAAAAAAATTCAAATTTAATTTTAGGACATAGTAACGTTTTATCTTATTTTGGGGTCTAAATGTGAAACATTGTAATAGTTTGGGGTAATTTTGCAATTACCTCGTCGAAGGCTT